TCTCAAAATTTTGACAGAAGTAATTTTATCAAACTGAAAATATTATTATTAGATACTCTGAAGGTTTTTCTTTAAAAATGGTACTCTTTATTTATTTCGAAAAAATGAACGGTTTGCGAGATAAATCGGTTTTGAAAAAAATTGGTAACAAATACAACAACAATTAAAATTTATTTTTTTACAATAAAATCATTCCCGCTAGTGCCAGCCTACAGATTCACCATAAACATTTACTGGTGGTGAATTAAGGGAATGAATAATGCCGTTTCTTGTAAAATCAACATCTATGACCAAAATACATCTACAAATTATTATTGCTCTTGTCTCCATGGAGTTCTTTTCTATTGTTTTCGTTGTTAGACCCTGTTGATTTTAAAGTACTTGTCAAAGGCGCGTGACAGAATAAAAATTCAATTTTATTGTGGTATTCGTTTTAAGCCGTTAGAAATAACATTTAAAAATGGAAGAATATTCCTGTGCAGAATATGCTGATATGCACCTAATTTATGGGGAAGCATTATGCAACTCCGTGGAGGCAAGAAGACTTTATGAGGAAAGGTTTCCGGGTCGACATTTGCCGAGTCCAAAAACTTTTGAAAGAGTTGATCGTAGTTTAAGAGAAACAGGTAAAAAAAAATAGTGAAAAACGTTAGTGAAACTAATTTCTTCCGAATCCTTTATTTAGGAAGCTTTTTGCCACGCCGTGGTGGAGCAGGAGCCCCGAGGAGAGTACGAGACCCTCATGTAGAGGAACAAATATTGGAAGACGTTGCTAATAATCCTTCAAATAGCATAAGGAAGCTTGCGGCGCAAAACAATGTTACAAAATGGGCTGTACATGAAACTCTGAAAGAACAATTGCTTTACCCGTACCACATCCAAAAAGTACATGCTATGTCTCCAGATGATTATCCAAAAAGACTTCAATACGCCAATTGGTTTTTACAGCATCATATTCGGAATCATAATTTTGGTACATCTATTTTGTTCACCGATGAAGCAGGTTTTACAAGAGACGGCATAATTAATTCGCATAATCTACATGTCTGGGATGAAGAAAACCCTCACGCTTTAGTTCAAACTCGCTACCAACAAAGGTTTATGGTGAATGTGTGGGCTGGCATTATCGGGAATCATTTGATTGGTCCATTTATTCTGGAGCAAAGACTTAATGGTGCTCTTTATTTGCAATTTTTAGAGGAAAATCTAAATATTTTGTTAGAAGAAGTGCCCCTTCAAATAAGAACTGAAATGTGGTACATGCATGACGGTGCACCACCCCACTTTGATCGTTTAGTACGTCAACATCTGACGAATGTTTTTGGTGATCGATGGATAGGTCGAGGCGGACCTGTATTATGGCCACCTAGGTCGCCCGACCTAAACCCATTAGACTTTTTTCTGTGGGGTCATTTAAAAAATAACGTTTATTCAACACCCGTAAATAGTAGAGAGGAACTTCTGCTGAGGCTAACACAGAACTGTGACCATCTCCGCAATAATCACGGAATATTATTTCAAGTGCACCGGGAAAACATTCGTAGGATTAGAAAGTGCATTGAAGTACGGGGTGCTCATTTTGAACATCTACCGAAGTAACATTTAGGTACCTTTGTTCATTGTTGAATGTTCTTTGTTGCATGTCTTGTAAGTAAGTTATTTTTCAAATGTTATTTTTAATTGGTCACTACTTGCTCATAAAGTATAGCCAACCCGTTCAAAGATTTCTGGACTTGATAAAGTTAAAGAAATTAAATGCATGAAATAATATGTAAAAAAAATAAATTTTAATTGTTGTTGTATTTGTTACCAATTTTTTTCAAAACCGATTTATCTCGCAAACCGTTCATTTTTTCGAAATAAATAAAGAGTACCATTTTTAAAGAAAAACCTTCAGAGTATCTAATAATAATATTTTCAGTTTGATAAAATTACTTCTGTCAAAATTTTGAGAAAAATTGTGATAGGGCCAGTCCGTTTCTGGACACCTGATAATAGCAAAAAGTTGATTTTAGCATCAAATCGTAGAGCTCCATGTGTAATACAACGTACGAAAATTTTATTAAAATATACAGGGTGGTTTCAAAGTTATAACCCTAAACGTTAATTTCTAGGTACCCCTTTGACCCCCCATAACTCCGTTAGGGGGCACATTAGGAAAAAAAATTATAGGAAGGACTAGTTTTATTTTGACCTCCCCTATACACTCCCGAGAGATTAGGAGGTACTTACCGGACACCCTGTATATTTCACCGGGAAAATTCAACCCACTTCTACGTTTTTTTTTTTATACGGACTACCAGTTCACACCGTTCGAGGCCACTATCTAAACGCTCCAAATAGCCGCGAGACTTTTTTTCTATTCATTTTTCCGCACCAGTCAGGCGCGTCAACCAATTGCAAATGAAATCTAATGACCTATCAGCTCTAATTTCGATTTGTAACCAATTAAAATCCACGCTTTCTTTCACCTTTAATCGCCAAGTCAAATTCGTTGCGCTTATGGTTATAAGAACAGGACAATTATTGGACGAGTTCAGTTGGAAACGAAGTGAAACCGAAAACCCAAGAGGCTTTAAAAAAAATTGCGTATACCTTAGCTTCTGTAGGGCATATTCATTGCGTTCATGATTAACATAGGCCTTGACCGAGAGTTCAAGCCGGCAGTTGAAGGAGGGGAGCCACACTGCTGACCCAGATTAACCTGCTCTCGACTACTTTGTCCTTGTCGATTTGATTGGGATCGACGCAGCGGCGGGTATTTGGGGGGAATCGGCCAGAAAGCGCATTTAAGTTCAATGGATACATTACATTTATGTATTTTCTATACTGAACTACCTTTTTGTTTAACTATTTCCCCACAAAACTGGTTTTTCGTTGAGAATCTGGAAGAATCATTGGCAAACATGATTTTCTTTTACTTTTCCAATACAAATAGATCGAATTCGATAAAGTAACTCAGTAAATATTAAAAAATATATATAAATAAATAGGCTATTGATTATATCCAAAAAAAAAAACAGGGTTAAAAGGAACTATGAGCTGTCAAGCTATTTTATTGCAAAGGGTCATTTTAGAATTTTTTTAATTGTAGCTCGAAAACGAAGCAAAATTTCGCTTTAGTTCATAGGAGAAATTATTTAGAGAATTGAATTTCCCATAGAAATGGCTCATTTAAAAAATTTGAAGCAAAAAATCGTTAATAAACAATTTAAAAAAAGTAAAAAGATTTTATTTATTTTACAAAGGAAATTGCTGTAAAATAAAACTAGATGAGATTCCCTTCAAAATAATACGTTTTCAAAAGTTTTTGGTCAAATTTAAATATTTTTTAGATTTTCATCGTTTTTCACATAAATTAGACATTAACAGTAAAAAAAAAAACAAAAAATCTTATTTTCTACATTTTTTACAATTGTTTATTAACGATTTTTTGCATAAAATGTTTCTTTTAAATTTTTTAAATAAATCATTTCGATGGGAAATTCAATTCTCTACAAAATTTTTTCTTTGGACTATATCGAAATTTTGCTTCGTTTTCAAGCTACAATTAAATAATTGAAAGGGGTTTTCACCCCTATCTTCAATTTCAACCCTTTAATTTAATAGCACCCGCGGTTTTTTAATTTTTAATGACCCTTCGAACAAGTCGTGATGAAAATCCTTGAACGAATCCTTCCTCTTTTGCAAAAAATGAGAATTAAAACGTATAAGGGTAAAAGCGACGAAAATCGAAAAATTGGCTAAGTTTGAGCGGGCATATATCAGTCAATTCTCATCCAAAAATACCATACAACCTCTTGTTTTGAAGGAAATTTTATCTATTTTTTTTTTATGAAGCAATGCCTATATCCATCTTTTCTCAAAAAAAAAACTAGAGGCAAAAAAGTAAAAAAAATAAAAAAATCGATTTTTTAGCTTTTTTTCAAATTGTTTATTAACGATTTTTTGCATAATTCTTTTAAATAAGCCATTTCAATGGGAAATTCAATTCTCTAAATAATTTTTCCTATGAATTATAGCGAAATTTTGCTTAGTTTTCGAGCTACAATTAAAAAACTCTAAGCGGTGCATTTCCACCCCTATCTCCAATTTCCACCCTCTAATTTAATAGCACTCAGCTTTTTTTTCATCTAAAATGACCATTTGAACGATTCATGTAATAAAATATCTCGAACGTTATAGTTCCTTTTGTCGAATATATCAAATAGATGCTATGGGATTTTCTAATGCTTAGAAATATAATAATTCGAAAAAAAACGGAAAAAATTAGAAAACACTCGCTCTTTTCTGAAGCAAAAAATTGGAAAAATTGAAAATATTTAGGAAACACTTAAATAATTATTCAATTAAATATTTTTTATGTATTTTTTTAACATACAGAAAACTGAAAAAATAAAAATTATTATTTGTTAACGTTGAATTTGTTTCTATACAGTGTTTTTTTAATTTTTTGCGACAATTCACCTCGAAAATGTACAATATACCACAATCTTTATTTTTCATCAGTGATTGGAAGAGAATTTTCTTATAGGTTAGCCTCATGGTTCACCCGACTTAAATTCATTGGATTATTTTGTCTGAAGAGCTCTGAAGGATAAAATTTATATTACTTCCAAGATGAAATAAGACGAATCTAGAAAATTTACCAATTACCGTTTGTATAATAAAAAAAGTCTTGTTTTGTGTTCACCAACTGTTTTTCTCAATTTTTAATGAAAAATTTTGCATAGGAAAATGGTATGAGATTTTAGTTAATCTTCCTATTAACAGATGGCACAATTTTTATATATTTTTGATTTTCAGTTAAGTGATTTCACACAAAAATAAAACAATACAGGCCAAGTTTTTTTGTCACATTATTCAAATCCGTTCACAAATTCTTGAGATATAACAAGATCTCAAAAACAAAGCCCCATGTGAGCGAATAGAGTAGAGTATATTTGTCTTTGCTGTAATTTGTGATCTATTACAAATCAAACCGCACATATTTCTTCCAGATCACGACACAATGAAGTCCGTCATATGGACCTTCACCCTATACTGCCTCTGCCTGTCTTCAGCTCAAGGTATACTGCCAAATCCAACGAACCTAAACGGAGCCCAGATTCCTTCCCAGATAAGCTTCCAAGATGGCTCCTTTTCGGGAGATTCCATCAATGTTAAAGCTTCCATGCAAACCGGACAATCTGGATTAGCTGTGGAACCGTTGTCCTCACAGGCAGATGCCCAACAACGAAACTATCAGACGGGGGGAAACATAAATCTGGACGGGCAGTTTGTGGAACCCTATAATATCGAGTACAAGTACCATGACTTCGACATGATGACGAAATTCTTGAGGCAGACCACGGCGAGGTACCCCTCATTGACGGCACTCTACTCTATTGGAAAATCGGTACAAGGTACATTACGAGATTATAAAAACGGGACATTTAAAAACTAAATGATTTTTTCAACAGGAAGGGACTTGTGGGTAATGGTCATCTCGGCTTCGCCCTACGAACACATGATTGGAAAGCCCGACGTAAAATATGTAGCCAACATGCACGGAAATGAGGCTGTCAGCAGAGAACTGATGCTCCATCTGATTCATGTAAGTAATTGAGACAATTAACGTTCAACAAGATGGAGCCATTTGCGCTCCTGCGTACAATTAACGTTCGACAACCATTTTTTTTTGTATATGAAGAGTGTAGACCTTCGAAGCGTTAATCGAAATTCCGTTTACAGTACCTTGTCACAAGCTACACCACAGATCCTTACATTAGATGGCTGCTGGACAACACTAGGATTCATATAATGCCCTCGATGAACCCGGACGGCTTCGAAGTCTCCAAGGAGGGCACTTGTGACGGGGGACAGGGAAGGTACGATTTCATCGACGGAACTATTACGAATATTAAAAATTCTCTCTCAGGTACAACGCGAGAGGTTTCGACTTGAACAGAAACTTCCCAGATTACTTCAAGCAAAACAACAAGAGAACGCAACCGGAAACCGAGGCGGTGAAAGAGTGGGTCTCGAAAATCCAGTTCGTGCTGTCGGGGAGCTTGCACGGCGGGGCTCTGGTGGCTAGTTATCCTTTCGACAATACACCGAACTCACGTAAGTTTAGTATTCATAACGATTTAATAATTTTCAAAGGATTATATTATTTTTAATAATCGGTTAAGGACGTATCTTAAAAAAAATTATTATTATAAAGTTTCCTGTGCTGCAAAAAGGAATTTGTAGGTCCTCGGCTCTGTGTTCTTGTAAGTTGAATATATTTCCAATCATCATCATTCATCCAAATCATTTTTAAGCAATCAAATTAATTTGTAATATATTTGTATGCTTAAATCTTCATAAATTGAACGTTTTTCTAATATTTAAATTTACTCAAATCAGTTAAACCTAAGAACGAAAATACAAGATTATGACACTTCCATTAAATCCTCATCAGTCTTACTTATTTACAAGGTTGACAAATATCATGATATTTATATAAATATCAAATATTGGATATATATCTTGATATATATCCGATATATATCAAGTCTTGATATTTATTTTTTTTAATTAATTAGTTTATGTATAATATTATAGTAGCGAAATAAAATTAAGAAACTATTTAGGTAAATATTTTTATTCCAAATATCAAAAACAGGAACGAAAAAATTAATATAAATTCTGAAACTAATAAAAAATATTAGCGTGAATATTAGGTACTAGGAAAACTAACCAAATTACACCAAAGTCAACATAAATTTCATAAATATTAAAAGAAATACAAACACACAGCACCTGCTCGGATTGACTCACCTGGAGAAATAATGAAATAAAAATATTCATTCAATTTTACTTTGTTGAAAAATTTGGGGAATCACATAAATAAACATGTTCGTCAACTATTAGCATATGGTTTTGCTGCCATCTATTTTAGCAACTTTAAACCAGTAGGAATCATTATTTAATTTTTTATAAATATCATGATATATATCAAGGAATAAATATCGTGATAGATGTCAATGATATATATCGGATATATATCATGCCAACCTTGCTTATTTATCTAATTTATTTGATTAATATTTTACAATTTATAAAACAACTTTTAAACCCATTATAATCTTTATTTATCACTTTGTAACTGCATTAATGTTCAAGATTACTTAATAGCTTTGAAATTTATCTCCTTATAAAATCATTAATAATTCAAATAAACCAAACTAACTGGAAATCCACGTTATTTTACCGCAAAATTTCAATCATCAAGCAAAACACATATGGGATCGATTGTGTATATGTATACCGGGTGCCTAAGGATATGTGGGCAATATCTCGGATTTATACAGGGGACGTTATAATAACATGACAAGTTCCTATAAAAATTTTCCCTAGAGGCCCCTGAAAATCGATTTCTTTAAATAACTTTATTTTTGAATAGCTTGAACCTTAAACTACAAATATGCACTCTAGGTTGATATCAATAAAATGAACTGTTTTCGAGAAAAAACTATTTTCGTTTAATATGATTTTTATTCCATAATTTTTTATGTCGATTCAACATGAGCTCCTTCTAATGTTATACATTTTCTAGCTCTGCGAAATAAATATTGTAGAATCGCCTGTTGTCCATTTTTTTTTAAATAATTAAATTACATAGTATTATTAAATGTTATTAAAAAAAATAAATTTTCAGGGGCATTTTTTATAGTATCTTGTAATGTTATTTTAACATCTCCTGTATAAATCCGAGGGATTACACACATATTCTAGGACACCCTGTATAATAAAAATAAATATAGACGTAAAAAAAATTATGTAAAAATTTTTACAACATATTTAAGTCTCAAAAGTAACGACCTGTATCTACAAATTTTTTTCTAAAATTTACTCGTTCGTCCAGTATTATTTATTCGTTAAACTAATGCCAACCCGCCGCCTATTGATTAAAGAAATATCTAAGTAACGTACACGAATATTTATTGCAATCTTAAAGTTTTTTTTACTAGACTCTGTCAAGTGTAAGAAGCACGATGAGGTATTAGCAGTTGTGATTGTGCATCATGTCGAGCTTTTATACCCGTACAAAACGTTCGGTTTTTACAGCCTTAAAATTATCAACACTGACAGCATTTTTGTAACAAGCTATTGCGAAGACTTTCAGTCAATTTTGGACCTTATACCAGATCGGTTAGATGGTCGAAGGTAATTGTACTTTTTAAGTAACGTGCTTCAGTTTTTTATATCGTGTTCTTAATTTTATTTTCAAGATATTAAGAAATTTCTAGTATTTTTGTTGTTTTAACATCACCACTGACAAAGATCAACACGTAAAAATAACCACGATAGAAAGATCTTACTGTTTCTACATTTCAACAATCATTGAGCTTATCACAAACCATTTAAACTACATGCCACAAAACGCAGCATTTTATAATTCATCTCAATTCGCTTTTAACTCCTGCTCTTTCAACTTTTATTAAATTAACAAAGCACAAATACGAAATTTTTGTTACTTTATATTCAATTTGCAAAATTTAATAGACTTGAAAAGCAGAGCTTCCCTCATCGCCCTATTACGACCGTTACACGACCATTTTAGTGTTCCAGACGTACTCAGCACCCTCGTTGACCCCCGACGATGACGTCTTCAAACACCTAGCCCTAACGTACTCCACGAACCATGCCAAGATGGCTCGAGGCGTTTCCTGCAAGTCTTCACAAACCACCTTTAGAAGAGTAAGAGGAAATAACATCGGGCCGACATAGTTTTATCGCTTTTTATTCTAGGGTATCACAAACGGAGCCGAGTGGTACCCCCTCACCGGGGGCATGCAGGATTTCAACTACGTCTGGTACGGTTGCATGGAGGTAACGCTAGAAGTGTCCTGTTGTAAGTACCCGCCGGCGCATGAGCTTCCTAAGTATTGGGAAGATAACAGGGTGGTAAGTGATCGGTTGCGGTGGTGCGGTTATTCCGAAAGTGTATAATTTTTTTCGTTTAAGGCTCTGATTAAATATTTGGCCGAGGCTCATAGAGGCGTTCAAGGGTTCATCGTGGACGAGAACGGAAACCCGATCGAGAAGGCTTCTTTGAAAATAAAATCGCGGGATGTAGGGTTCCAGTCCACCAAGTACGGGGAATTTTGGAGGATACTTTTGCCCGGAGTATATAAATTAGAGGTAAGTACAAATTTTTTTTTATATATGTTATAGGAGCCAGTATACAGGATGTAACTTGAATCGGGGCCGTATTTCTATGCCTCTGACCTCTAGAAACTTTGTTTTCACAAACTCTGTGGTGATTACTGAATTGTTTTTAACCTATTTTTTTAATAATTCTCATATTGTCGCTGGACAAGTTGAAATATGTTTACAGGGTTCATAGTTCAAAAGTAATAAAGAATTCCCTGACTTTTCCAGGTTTTCCCTGACTTATAAAAAAGAAATCCAGGTCACTTGTAGTTCATTTTTACATACTAATTGGTGTTTATGCATTAAATTTTTTTTCGACTGGACTCCAAAATCTTTTTTATACCCTAACAACCTCTTATAAAGGTTTCAAAACCACAAATAGTTTTCTCTTTCAAGAACCCAGGGTCGGCTTTCACAAAATTTCCAGTTGCAAACATCAAATTCCCTGACTTTCATGAATATTTTTAAAAATTCCCTGACTATTCCCTGTTTTTTATGAAGAATAACAAATTCCCTGACTTTTCCCGGTATTCCCGGTTTTCCCGGCCACTACGAACCCTGGTTTATATTCGTTCTTTAAACTGCATTTAAATTCTTGTCTACACCGTTACTGGGCAGCTCTCGAAATTTACATATTTCAACACAAATGTTTAAACTCCAACAAATCCATACATTATATAATGACGATCTGTGATAAAATCTGCATGTAAATCAATTATATATAACTCATACGATTTCTCTTTCTAGGTTTACGCTGATGGGTATGTGCCGAGAGAAATCGAGTTGATGGTGGTAGAGCAACATCCTACTTTACTAAACGTCACATTACACACTGCCAAGGTAACAAACATATCCTATTTAAAAAAAAAACATAACACTGATTTGGGGCAGATTAACCATATTATAACCTCATATTTAACGTATATTTAAGGTTAAAGGGTGACTGAATTAATAATTTTCTTCGATATTTTATGTTCAATTAAAACAATTTGTACAAAACGATCCTGTCGACAATCGTCGCGTAATCGTAGATGTATTTTGTGGTGGAGGAAAATTGTACATATCTTGTAAATATTTTAGCCATGGCAATTTTTCGAACGTCCAGTGACATCGCCACCGAAAACGATTCTGTCGATCAGTAACGCAAATATCCCAACGGTCGACGAAGAGAGCGTTTCTTTTCCAGGTGACAAGTAGAGATTAGAGTGGATGTGTTAGGCTACGCGTAGAGTAAGTAGGTGAAGTTTGACGACCTGTCGGATAATTGTTTCTTTCGCTTTTTATCTTCTAGTCTATTCTGTTGTCGAATATGTATATGTACGGTGGCCATTTTACAAAATTGGTTAAATAACAAAAAAGTTGCAAGGGTTAATTTAATTCAAGTTTATTAAAAAAATTAAGTCAAATTGGAAAAACCTGAAAACTTAACTCTCCTTATTCCTCCATATCTTTTTTCTTTATTATATATAAAAAGTATATATAAAACTAATTTTCCTACTAGATCGTGCTTTCATAGTCAACATTTTCTTTTATTATGGGCCCTATATACAAGATTTTCGCACCAGTGAATGGAGTTCAAAATTACGCAGTTAACGATGTGTCATATTTAGGTTAACCTATTTTATTAAGGGTCAAAAAACATCAATTTCATAATTAATTTAGTTTAATCATAGTTGCCATGAAACACAAATGAAAATTTTAAGTGTTCTGACTTATGCAACGATTTCTTTAATAGTCAATTGTATCACAGTTTCCATGAAAAACAATTGAAAATTTTGAGTATACTGACTTATGTTCCTTTTACAATCTTAAATGTCATAAAAACATGCCACTATATTTGTATTTTAACCAGCTCCGATTGTGAATCCTCTTTAATTTGGCACGTCTGGTGTACACTTTAAATCTATTTTTTAATTTTTTGCATTTTGTGATGTTTTGCAAAAACTATGGCATGTTGCTTTGCATTCGGATTTTTGATGTTACGCTACTTAACAATTGGATACTACAATGCTTTAGGCATTCTAACCCTCATGCTAAACAATATGGCGGTTGTTGACACCTGTCAATATTTTGTAAATTTGTGGAGATAACCGTATTTTCTGCCTCTAGCGTTACCTTTTTTGAACTACAAAATATTCAGGATACCGAATTTACAATATTCACATAACCTTACTTAAAAACAAAAGAAACTTGTGTCTCAACCATAGACTATGGAATATAGGCTCTTATTCTTTGTATTGTGGTCTATGGGTGCCAACGACGGCCATATTGCCAACGTTTCGTTGCTATGCCTAATATTATTCAACTGTTTTGGCTGACGATCTTAGCTAACAATCTGAAAACTCGACGTCACTTGACCCCGTTACGTTTTTTATTGACTGCAACTTTTCAGAGAAAGGACGGGCACTTCTACCGACCCCAACACCAAGTATTCCACCGTCCGATCCCCCAGCAACAGGCCCAAGGAAATGGGATATTCTCTTCGATCACCAACGGTTTATCAAACATAGTTAGTTTCTTTGGATGAACGTAAACTCAGGCAATAGCACGAGAGGAGATCGTAAAACGGTTCATATCCGAAAACTTGCCTCTAGAAATTGTTCATATCAATGTAGATAACGAGTTATTTATTTGTAGTTTGTAAGGGTGTTGTTGTACGACGGTTTCGTTGACTTTTCGAGCGTTAACGCCGAACGGAGAATTTTGCAAGGTGTATGATTCGTTTTACCGTTTCTGGAAGCATCTTGGAGAATTTCCGATTGGTAGTTTAATCGTAAATGGAGTGTTCATTTTCAAACGCACTAGGACTCTTAGGAATTCATATAAAGCAATAGCTGCACAGACTGTTATTATTATTAGAAGATTTTTAATAAATTATTTGTAAATATATCCGCTTGCCGTTGTTTTTTTATTTTAGGGTTGGAATTAGTTAAGGGGTTGTATAATCAATCTTTTTTTTATTGGAAACGTGTAAAAAAATTTAAATAAAACAATACATACAATTAGGAGCTCTCCGGGGGGTCTACCTGTTTGGCGTAATGAAAAGCGGAGATCAGCGCCGTCAGTTGAATGTTTTCGCTGGCCCCAAAGGACAATCTATGCTCTATTTCCGCCATTTTGTGTAACAGACCCGCCATTATTTCAAAAGGCAGTTCGACTGGAAAAAAATATATTAGCAAGATTATACGAGATCACACATGTTTTTCTTACTTCGCATTACGAACTTATGGACTTCCGTAATAATATCGGTTAGGGCCAGACCTTTCAGTATTTTCAATTCTTTTGTATCTGCGGCGAGTTAAGGAGAAATGTTAAGCAACAAAAATAAAAATAATACAAATACGAGTAAAGGATACTTTTATAGGTCGTAGCGATGTTCTCGTTCAGCAACCACTTCACGATATTTTCTATGTCGGACCTCAAGGGGTGGCCTACGCAGTTGTACACGTTATCCTCCGTCACGTCCTTGTAAGCTAACCAGGTGCTTTGTAAGACGTTGAGAACTTTACGCATGTCTCCGTTTGCCAACGTCAACAAAGCCTTCTTCCCGTCCTCACTGATCTTCACCCTAAAAGTGAATTTGTCAAAGTTAAATTGTTTTTTTGCTGCCCGCCAACGCGTTATTGTCATATCCCATCAGATGGATTGACATAGTTTACTTAAACAAGATTAATATCGAAGGTTATTGATACTGACATTCACAAACTAAACACAGTGCTTCAAAAAATAGTAACATACTTTCTGTTAAGAAAAAATAATTTTACTGCAAATCTATCGAACTGGTAAGTATGTTACACCCTATAATACTTACTTTTCTTCGTCGACGACATAGTTCAACCTGGGTAAGATTTGTTCTGTGGTCAGGGGGCCAAAGCGGAACCTAGTGCAACGTGACTGAAGTGCGGGAATTATCTTGCTTAGATAATTGCATATTATACAGAATCGAATGTTTTCTGTATACTTCTCTATAACTAAAACAAAAGAAAATGTAGTGGAACGTTTGAAAAAAAAAAGAAATATTTACTGGAGAATTTTTAAATCAACGTTAGTTGCTGTTAAAGAAATTAAACAATCAAAAATTTAGTATAACATTTATTTAAAACAAAACGACTGCGAAAATACAAGAAATAGAGAATAGTAAGAGAAAGGAATTATTGTAAATTAATTAAGATTTCTAAAAAGTATACTATACATTTTTTTTTACAAAATTCAATATTTTTTTACGAATATTAATTAATCTCAAGAGATTTATTGAAGTATTGTCATTATATCCCATAATAACCGATTTGGGTCCGATAAGAAGGAAGAATATATTATCTAGAAAAAAATTGAACCGGAAATTGGCATCAATCTCAACGGTTACTGTATACAACAAACTGTAGAATTGGATTGTACGGCAGCGTTACTTTTAACTTGTACAGGCGTGGCAGGTACCAATTCTGCTTTAAGCACCGTAGATTGCTTTTCACGCTCTAACTTGCTTAAGGGGACACCAAATTGTCTCGCGATTAAATCGGTCAGGTGGAGATTAACCTAAAAATACAAACTTTAAATACAGCTGACACCATTAGATAATGTCATTACGTTTTCCCCAGTTTTGGCCGAGACTAGGAAATTATAAAGCTGAAATTTCTCGACGAAATTTTGTGTCTGGTCTAATCGGACGACCCGTTTATGCTCCAAATCGCCTAAGGAAGTAAAGTTTTGGAATAAACTTGATTAAATTAAAAAAAAACTTACATTTATTTCCGAGAACAGCAACAAGCGGCGGATCTTCCTTGTACTTTGATATATGTTGAATCCAAAGAAATAGACGTTCGAAACTCGAAAAATTCGTTATGTCATAAACCAACACTATCATCTGGAAAACAGTGGGTAAATACCCGTGAAAAATGCGTTTAAGTACGTACGTCTGAATTGAAAAGGTAGTTTCCTAACATCGGCCCGTTCATTTCCAAGCCACCTATTTCCGTTATCTTAACAGATACTTCTTTCCGTCCTGGTAAAATTACTCTCTTCACGTAGAAATCTGCCCCTAGGGTTTGTGTGTACTGCCTTGTAAAGTCATCGTAACAGAATCGTCTTATAATGCTGCTCTACAAATCAATTTTTTACATAGAACCTTATTAACGTTCCAAAAACAGAAAATATTTCAAATAATTTTAAAAATGTTTCAAATCTATCAGATTAACATTTTTTTTTCATTTTATAAAATTCCAAAAATTATTATTTTCAAACAAATTCGTTTTTCTTACAATTTTTAACGTATGCCTATCCACATACAAATATTTAATATTCAATAAATCAAGTGTAAAATACACAATTTTTAAAAATACTTAAAAATATTCTTAATGTTGGGCGTTTTGTCACCATTAATGGAAAAAAATAACATATCATACAGTTCCTGAAAAGAAATCTGTTTTTACGAAACTGTTTTCTATTATAGTTTCGCTTTTTGCAACTTCATTAATGTCACAGTTTGTATAAAAAGGTAACAACAGGCAACATTGATAAGCAAGCACATACAACTAAGTTCAGGAGCTGCCCAGTAACAGTGTAGACGAAAGTTTGGGAAATTTAAAAAGCGAAATATAACTCGACCATTTTATTACAATATTTTTAGATTAGTATTCTGAGAAACCTACTGCCCTAAAAACTTATCCCCACTTATAATTGTACCCTGTATACTACAAGTAAGCATTTATAAGTTGATTAAAGAAAACGGAAACGTACAAAAATCAATAAAACTACTCAAATGAGTTAAAAAAATGAAATAAATGTTTTTACTTGCTTGGAAAGATAATGGCAAAGCCTTCAAGTTAAAATACAAACATACTCACTTTTCCAACGTTCGGTTCTCCCACAAAAATGATCTTCAACTGCTTCTCAACGGTTTCCTCTTCGGACTCCGACATTCCTTGGAATCATATAGGCATTTAATTTTATTCTATAAGTACCTACATACACCTTAGTATTCGAAATGGGAAACCAACTTTACCATATGAATGGACCGAGATCTAAAGTGCTTTTTAAAATTCCCCCAGAACAACTAAAATACACTGTAAGTAATATTCTCTGTGCATGTGACATAAATATTTATAAAATCGATGGATCAGATATCGTATAAAAGGGAAGGAAATCGGGACGAACAGCACAGTCACATCGACCGACAACAACAAAAATGTTCAAAAACATTCTCCTTCTCGTTTCACTTCTAGTTGTTTTCGGAGAAATATTTGTTAACTGTTGCTTAATAACGAATTGTCCACGAGGAGGAAAGAGGAGCGGAAAATTTGGAGCGCTAGAAGCAAACATAAAACCAGTAAGTAAAATCAAAGTTATAACTAAGAGAAAAACTTGATTTGAAATTATTTTCAGTGCGTTTCCTGCGGACCAGGCCACAGCGGACAATGCTTCGGCCCGAGCATATGCTGCGGACCTTTCGGCTGCCTTATGGGAACCCCGGAAACTTTGAGATGCCAACGGGAAGGATTCTTCCATGAGAGGGAACCCTGCATAGCCGGGGGTGCCTCATGCAGGAAAAATACAGGGCGGTGCGCCATTGATGGAATTTGTTGCAGCCAAGGTAATAATTCGGGATTTTTAAAGAAATTAAAGAATAATTTGTTCTTATCCTTACAGATTCTTGTCATGTCGACAAACAATGCGCGTTGGAAGACAAAAGCAGGATTTTTTCCGATAACACTGTGGGAGTGGATTTGTATAATTTGATGAACCCCTATAATGCAGAGATCTCTATCGAAAAGTAATCAATATACATTTAATTTAAGAAATAATGTGATTAGACAACTTTATACATTACACCCTAGCATATTTTTTTGGAAGTTATTAAAATAAATGTTTCAATAAGTTAAAAACACTTTTACTTACCTTAAATCATAAAACTGTTGAACTTCACTAATACAAACCATTTAATTAATTTATGTGCAATTAAAAATATTAAGAATATTGTAACCAAGGCAATGAATTGAATACAAACATAACCATGAAATTATAAACTATTTTCTATCAGATATTTTTAACCCGCAGTAGATCTGTACACATTCAAATTAACTATAAGCAAAATTATGAGACTTACTTCTTCGGAGAGCATTTTGAGCATCCATGGTCATAGCGTCTGCTTCATCCAGGATGATCAACTTAAATCCAGATTTGAAGATGGTTCTCGTACTAGCAAAAGTTAATATTTGGCCTCTAACGATACCGATACCCCTGTCATCTGAAGCGTTCAATTCCAAAACCTGCAATATCCCATATAAATAAGATTCAAATTAATTCCTTACATTTACTATTACCATTGATGAAAATTGTGCAGGAGTGTAGAGTTGTCGTGCACACGCCAAGATCGTACTGGTTTTGCCTGTGCCAGGGGGACCGTAAAACAACAAGTGTGGAACTTGATCTTCTTTTATAAACTTACTAACTGAAACGAAGCAGAACGTTCAAAGTATATAATTAAATTGTTTATTATTCCAATCTCACCTGTTTTTATAATGTCCTCGTGAGAGACAAGGTCGTCTAAGGTATTAGGCCTGTACTTTTCAACCCTTGAAATTGATTTGATATTAATAACTAAGTTAAATCAATAACTTATATAGACTTACCAAGGCAAGTTGGGTTTTGGTTCAACTTTCTGGGCCATTTTTGATCTTAAGTGTTCAAGAATTTATTAGATAGTATATTTAAGACAATTTTGTGTTGTTAGCTCTGAATATTATAAATTCACTTAGAAAATTAGAACGTAAAACATTTAACACTTTTTTAATTTATAACGCAACTAGGTTTATTACTATTTATTAGGTTTCTAGGTTAGTTTCTTGTTAATGGCGGGAAAAATAATTGTCAACCATAGACCACAGACCACTAGAGAAAACAAATTAGAGATTACAATTTTCACCAAAATGCGACTACCGGAGCCATCTATTATTTTTCTGTAGTGGAACTATATGTTTCAAACTGTAAGGCCCTCATTTTGTAATGCAATTTGGCGGTAAATTTAAAATTAGTAATAATGAATTTATTCTACAGTCGTGTTCGTACATCTATAAATTTTTTATAGTTAATGCCGAAAAAAGGAGGCCGTTAGATGGCGCTATATTTTGTTTTCCCATGATTTGTCACTTTCGATATGAACTACAGTTATTAACAGGAGTGTTCCTTTCAACAAATAAATCAGTTCCAAGTAATAAACGGTTTTCTTTCACTTCATTATTTACACTATCTACACCAATCCATTATTTGGCAAATGTGTTAAGTGTTGGATCAGATATCAGATCTTACCCGTAAATAATCAAAATAAGTGAAGTAATGGGCGGTTATATTGAACAAAAATTTATTTAAAAATAGTTAAATTACAATTATTACAAAACAAATCACCAATCATCCATTTTTATATCTTCTACGATATCTCTCTGACCTCCGTCGTCTACCGGCCCACTTTCGTCTACTATCCTCTTGTTAATTTTCTTACCGCCTCTTTTACCTCTCCTGGGCTTCTTATTCTTATTCTCTTCACTCTCATCTTCGGAGTCACTCGGAAATAGCTCCACCTTCCCGTCAGATTTCTTACTTTCTCTTCGTTTAAACTTATTTATCGTCGGGAGCTTATAATCTCCCAGCTGGTCGTTATTCGTCAGCTGTTTATTCTTCTTAACGGTCCTCAGTTTATTCCAGCTTTCGAAGTAGGCGGCTAGAGGGGTTCCCTTGTTCTTCAGCTGCGTCTCCCACCCCTCGATCTGTTTGAAATCGGTAATGTTGAACGTGGTCTTGGCCCTTTGGCTTTCTATGAACTGACAGTTTTGTTCGATTTTTTCCAGTACCTGCTTGAGTTTCCTGTTGTAGTTCGAGTTTTTGCACTTTTTCAAAAACTGTTTAATCTGAAACCGAGTAATATTCGTTAGAAATAAGTTCCGTTGCTTTCCTTCAGTCCAAACGCAACGGTCTGGGTTCTTACCTGAATTACGCAGAGAAGTGTGAGATCCGGAAAGGCTATGCTGTGGGATTGGGCCGTTAGGTATTCCAACAACTGACCATAAATGGTTTCGATAACGGTGTCTTTAAATCCGTTCTCTTGGAGCTGCGATTTTGACAGCCGCAGCAGGCAGGTGAAATGCAGTGGTTTCATCGAGACTTTTTGGTGTTTCTTGTTGAAGTCGTACGAGGTTAATACCTAAAAAAATACTTTTGTATCAATTCAAATTCGGTCTTAAATGCGGAGTTGTGCCAACCAAACTTGCTTCTATTTTTCTTACCTCGAGCAAAAAGGGCAAAACGGGAATGAAGACGCCAGTGTCCCTTCCCAGATCGATTAAAATTTGAACGACGTGGAAACGCAGCGGATAGTACTGAGCGGTCGGTATCAACTTTACCGTTCCCAGACAGATCTGCACGAACGGATACACCAACTGTTGCATGTGCGTCTTATTATATGCCACTGTCAACAAGTTACCCCAAAGCCGAAGCGAGTTAATAAACTGCCAGTTGTAAACCGACTGGATATTTTCCTTTTTATTTACGGTTATTGCGTTTCTCAGATGGATGGCCAGCTGCCTGATGTACAGAAATACGTGCTGATACGACACGTTGGTGTCCAAAGCGAACATCTCCACCAGAGAACGTCTCATGAAGTTTATGGCGGCCAGACCGTTCAAACTGACGAATTTGGAATTTTTTACGTACGCCAAGTACATGGATTTTAAAACAGTGTCTAGGATACTGCCCTGTTGGTTGTTGGTGATCCGTAAGATGCAGAAGAACGCGATCACGCGGACAGCATCGTCGGCCGTTGCCCATAACGTTATCAACCTTTTAATTAAGGACTTGGTTATGTTTGGATAAGAAACGAGCAAGGTAGACATGTAATGCAGGTGCTTCAAAAGGACAGTTTGTATGTTTGAAGAGGTTACGCACAGCAACAACTAAAATAAAACATTTACGTTGTTATTGTACACCTACTTTGTGATGTAATCACTTACTTTTAAGAGGTCCGTAAAATAAAACTTCAACGAACGTTTTATTTTGATGAACTTTTTGCATTTATGCGGTGGCTGTTTCCAACCATGCTGCAGACCCAAGAACTTTCTAATGGCTGGTCCGAGTTCAAGTACACAAAGTTGGATGACTCCGTTAAAAACAGCAGATCCTGAAACAAAGATATGCAGGAAACACTCATCCTTTGATCATAACATAAGGAAAAATAAAGGCCAAACTTTTATGTACCTTCAACTTTATAGTGTGACGGTTCATCATCTTCCTCACGAGATGAAATCGTGAAAAGGGCTGCATGAAACGCTTGTGTCAGGGTGGTAATAGTTTTATTACTTTTATCTGTTTGTATCTCTGACTGCCATTTTTTTAACATCTTCAACGTAATAACACTCTCATCTTTTGGCTTCTCATCACCTTCATCCTATAATACCAAACAATTAGAAACTGCTATAATTGAAAAAATTTACTTATTTACGGTTTTATTTACCTCAAAATCACTCTCATCACTTGCCACATCTAATGTGTCACTTGGTTTATGCACACTTTTAACATCTTTGTCTTCCTGCTCATCATCGTCGCTCCCCTCATCCGACAAATTAAAGTCTAACAATTTTTTATCATTCTCTTGCAGAAATTTATAGAACTCTGGATCACTTTCTTTAAGCTTCTCTAGATCCCTTTTATGTTTCTTGGCCTCATCTTCGCTTTCATTATCACTATCGTTCTCCACCGGTTCATCTTCTAGATCTGACAATATGTTATTTTCATCATTGTCACTATTTAACAATTCGCTATTTGAAGATTCTTCGACGTTATTAAGATCAGTGTCATTTATAGGAACCGATTCAAATTCCTGAGTAATTTTTTTAGTTTTCTTAATATTTCCGGGTTTCGTTTTCTGTTTGTATTTCTTTACTACCTTTTTAGGCTTATGTGATGTTTGATTCTTTTTTATTTTAGCCATTTCATCAGACAACTACAATACAAAATAACTTTGAAATAACAATTATTAAGAACACGTGAAGTAAATACAAAAGATAGTATAAAAGTTTGGTTAGGAACATGTGTCAAACGTGTCTAACTACTAGAAGCTTTCCATTTTGTTTATTAGGTAATTAACCAATCAACTTTGAGAACAATTCGATTAAGTGAGCGATTATATAAAAAGAATGTTGGTACTATTTAGATAAGTGAGAAATTAGTAGTTTTGGTATACCATTGCAGCCAATCTATTCTATTGTTTTCGAATATAGATATCAGTGTTGCCATAAGGTGGCGTTTTTGACATTTGCCTGACGTTTGTTTTCATAAACTTGTCAAAGTTTATCGCTTACACATTTTAATTACGTATTTCTTTGTTATTATTATCGAACAATTAAATAAGGGCAATTAAAAATTACTTAATGCATTTCATTAAACAGGAACTTGTGTAAACGGAGTTCATTTCCTTTGTTATTATCAACAATACCATTGTATCTTAATATTTTGAAAAAATGTACGCCCCTCGGGAAGAGTCAGTTAATAATAGCGACAGTGACAGTGATAGCAACTACGAAGATGAGGACGAATTAACAAGAATTCTTCCACCCGAAGGTACTAATACTTTTTTTTTAAACATCCTTTATGACTCATATTTTTCAGTGGAGGACGCTACGACTTGTTTAAAAGCCCGACATGTACTAGGAATAATGGGTTTTTTAGGATTTGCTAACGTCTACGCTATGAGAGTAAATTTGTCAGTGGCTATCGTTGCGATGGTTAACAATACGGCATTCCCACAACCACCTAGTAATAACTCATTCGAAACATGTCCTGGACCCAATATAAACAATGCGACTACTCCAGACGTAAGAATTAGTCCATTTACGTTATATTCTGAAAAAAATCTTTGTTAGCCTTATTAAATGACCTTTGATACGAGTATTTTTCGGAGTGTAATCAAGTTATTTGTTTAAGGAACTAGCATTAAGGCTATCTGCTATACTAAATAATTAAATTTATTTACAGAGAGATAACATGTTTAAATAATTCAATTTTGTAGAATGGAGAATTTGTGTGGGACGAGAAAACGCAAGGATTAGTTTTGGGCTCCTTCTTTTATGGTTACGTCCTAACGCAAGTACCAGGGGGGCGACTCGCGGAGTTATTCGGAGGTAAATTGGTATATGGTATAGGAGTTCTGGTAACTGCTGTCTTTACACTACTCAGTCCTGTCGCTGCTAGGATAAATTTCCCGCTATTTATCATAGTTAGGATTCTGGAGGGTATGGGAGAGGTAAGTAACAAATTTAGGATAACATACGCCTCGTTCAACTTGATATTCTAGGGCGTAACGTTTCCTTCTATGCACGCGATGTTGGCTAGGTGGATTCCACCGTTGGAACGAAGCAAATTTGGTGCTTATGTGTACGCGGGTATAGTAAAATGTGATAGTTATAGCGCCTGAAATAAATCAATGACGTTTTTTAGGTACTAATTTCGGTACAATATTATCTTTGCCATTGTCGGGGTGGTTGTGTTCACTGGAGTATGACGGCGGTTGGCCCCTTTCCTTTTACTTGTTTGGTGTTATCGGAATAATTTGGTTCGTCTTCTGGATGTTCTTGATATATGACACACCGACAACTCACCCCAGGATCGATCCCCAAGAAAAAGCGTTCATCTTGGCCAGCATAGGTCCGCAGGTAACAATAATGTTGATTTTGATTCCTGTGTTTTATTTTTTAACAGTCACATGTATCATAAGAAGTACTTTTATATTATTTTGTTTAATTTCTCGGTTCGATTATCGTGGGTCCTGTTTTTTGTCTAAAAAAAAGGCTAAAAGTAAGGATTTTTTTAATCTCGGACATTGTGGAATGTCCTATTTGAATTTTCTACTTGACTTTCAAGGCAGAAGTTTTTGTAACGTATTAAAATTTAGTTTTTTAACTTAATTTAGACTTAATTTGACTTATTTTATTATAATAAATATAAAAATAAAGAAGTATAAATAATAAATAGGTTTGATTAATAAAAAACGGTTTTACTGTTCTTCAGTAAAGGGAGACATGATTTCGTGATGTAACGGTGGTTTTCTTTCCTTCAGGATGAAGACGAANATCCTATTACTTTCCAAAGCATTTAACCATTCATCACAAACATTTATTATTGCCGATTCACAGGAATAGTACTTTCTAAACCCCGATTGGTTTTGCACAAACACTTCATTTTGCTCACAATAATTCACAAGTTGATCTTTGACTTCCACTTCCAATATTTTTTCAAATATTGTTACTGTATTTATTGGTCTACAGTCTTTACAATCCTGCGAATTAACAACTTTTGGCACCGGTATTACATCAGAAGTCTTCCAACTCTGAGGAAAAGTTCCATAGTACAAGGATGAATTCACCACATCAAGGAAACGATCACCAATTACTTCAAACGCGTCTTTTATATTATCCTTCAGTAGTATAAATAATAAATAGGTTTGATTAATAAAAACCGGTTTTACTGATCTTCAGTAAAGGGAGACATGATTTCGTGATGTAACGGTGGTTTTCTTTCCTTCAGGATGAAGACGAAAAGGCGCCTATACCTTGGATGAACATGCTGAAGTGCGTTCCGCTCTGGGCGATACTGATCACGCAGTGCGGCAATTCGTGGGCCTTCTACACCCAGCTAACGGAGTTGCCTACTTATATGGCTCAAATATTACATTTCGACATCCAGTCGGTAAGTTTTTCGACGTCGTAACTGCAATAAACTCCCAACAAGAGACTTTTTGCTTCGTTGAGCATTTAAACATGTTGAAATTCTTGCTTTTTGAGTGCGATTCAAGTATATCGAGCCGTAACTTTGGACTCGTCAGAATTTCCGCTCGATATCTTTGGAACACACGATTGTTTATTCCTTTTCTCGATAGTTCAGTTCTCTTTTTGTAGCGTGCCGTTGAACTAGTGCATAAAGTGTATTTTTTTCTTTCATGTTAGAACGCCTTATTATCGGCGGTTCCATATCTGACTAGTTGGTGGTGTGGTATTCTAACCAGTATCATTGCAGATTGGCTTCTCAGCAAAGGATATTTGTCGCTATCGACGTCGTATAAGATTTTCAATTCTATAGGTTAGTATAACGAAAATTCCCGATCTCATCTTTGTAACAAACGTTCCGTATCTCTTCCAGCTTCGATCGTACCCTCGTTGGGAATCTTGGGAGTGGCGTACGTCGGTTGCGATAAAGTGGCGGCCCAGTTACTGCTCGCCCTGCCGGGAGCTTTCGCGGGGGCCGTCTACGCCGGGAATCAGATGAACCACATAGCCCTGAGTCCCAAATACGCCGGGACGATGTACGGCATCACGAACGCCGCAGCGAATATGTGCGGGTTCTTGGCCCCGTATGTCATAGGATTGATCATTGAAGGCAGGGTATGTACCTCGAAAACGTAAGACAACTTTGATCCTAACGTTTTCTTTTAGGAGACTTTAGGGCAGTGGAGGATGGTTTTCTACTTGGCGGCCGGGATAAACATCGGGGCGAACCTGTTTTACGTGGCATTCGCCAGTGCGAGGGAACAGCCCTGGTCGAGATCGCAGAGGCTAAGTACCGTCAACTGACAGGCGCTTTATCTGGCGATGCTCGTCGATGCCTAGTGAATTATTACTGTAAGATAGTTAGGTAAGCAAGGTTTAGACGATATTTACCGTTTAAGGCGAAAATTGTGATCGTGTTTATTTTTTTATTATATTTAGGTAAGTTTTATCTATGACAGTGGTGGCTTGTTAGTGGGGGCCGAGGGAAATATTATTTTCGGTTTTTTTGCAGCCGTTGTAAAATTTAAGTATTTCTATATGATAAATAATTGTTTTTTTTTGGTGATCGAGTAATTTTCGCTTTTTTTGTGCGATGCAAACAGTGCAAGATATGTGATATACGGTTACATTTGAATATTTTAACGACAAAGCGTTTAAGTTGTGTTATGCTAATAGGCCACCCTGTGTGTTAGCAGTTTTATCCTTAGCTTTAATACGGGGTGTATACCAATATGAAAAACCGACAAAACCAGGAATTATTATGAAATTTTATAGATCTGGGAATATCCGAGGATTTTTCAAATTTTCCTCAATTTTTTTTTAAATGTAATCGGCCCTTATTTACCAGGTGGTAGATGTCACTAGATTATTGTGTTAATATATCTCCAGTTTTATTATATTCAGGTCACTTTCTACCTTTTATAAGATGTAATGAATCTTAGAAAAATTTTCTTATTTTTCTTCATGTGAATATTTCTGGAAAAATCACTAAATATTAATTTACTTTTTGGTCAAAATTTGGTATATGCCCTGTCAATACGTAAAAAATTATACTAAAATAACGAATAATTTATTTTCAACTTTCTCTTTGTTTTGTTTTACATTTCTTTTACCTCTCTATTATTCCTTAAGCAAGTATATTTTGTGCGAAACGGCTAGTGAGATTACATGTGAAAATGTTGTGAAAAATTTACCCTTCAAAAAGGTGCTAGCGATAAATTTTTCACAAAGAAAATATATATCTGCACATAGATATTTATTTATAAATAAATGTATAGAGATCAATTATAAAGCAACCTTTATTTACAAATGTTTTTTTTTTGGGACTAGTATTTTCCTTAAATTGTTCGTAAAAGCGTAGCGTTTGGTATTTTGCTATGTTTCGATGAATTATAGTGGAATCCCAAATAAGACAGGATACACCAGTTGGCACAGATAGATGTTATGAAACGATAAATTATTTGTGGTTAGTCAAATGTATGAATACGTTTTAGTGAGTACAGTCCTTAATAATTATAATCTTATGTATTTATAACATCTAGTGGAGGAAATATGTAATCCCGAGGTGCTGTGGGCACATTCCTTAATTTACATTCGTATGTACTGAGATGATTAACACATTCAAATTTTGAAACATTTTAAGAAATTTATATTAAAACCATTACCTAAGCGTATTTATTGCTAAATTTCCTTTAATAATATATTTTTTTTGGAATTCTAACGATTAAAATGATTTGAATAACGTTTAATCAGCACATATCGTCTCGGTACATATTTAGGTGCATTTATAGAATCGTTTCAGGTGACCTTCATGATTTGTTCTTAATTTCAAATGTGCAAACTTTTAACAAGTCAAATACATATATTTTCAATATTTTTTTTTTGTTTTTCTTTGTAATTCTACAAAATTATCCCACCAAAAAAATATGTAGCCGAGATACAAATTTTTCAGTGCGAGGAAGACATAACCTACAAGGTATATGTCATATCATATCTTAAACATCATTACAGTTTAACACTTACTGCTACAATTGCCATGTAATGCCTACTGCTACAAAACATTACTTTTACTTTGTACATATTGGCGTAGGCCGCTTTGAAATATAACCTACAAAGTATATGTCACTGACATTCAATGCCTACTACTATAAAGCTTTACTTTGTACCTACTGGCATAGGTCGCTGTGGGAGATATGACCTACCAAACTTTACTTTGTACCTACTGGCATAGATCGTTGTGGGAGATATGATCTACCAAGCCTTACTTCGTACCTACTGGCATAGGTCGCTGTGGGAGATATGACCTACCAAGCATATGTCAGTTTAAATGTCATTGGTGCTCAATGCCTACAGGCCGAAAACCTTAGCCATTATTTGAAATATTAATTGATGCCTTCTCTGCTCCTATTAAAGGTATTGGTAGTTTACCCCAACACTGATTTTTAATTTATTATTACCGTTTATCTTTTTACAATAGACTGGTGCGTTTTTATTTTTTTCAAATTTAATATCTCTATATATCTCTAACGGAGATAATGATGACTAAAAAACAAATCATTCAGAAAACTGCAACTTTTTGCTACTTTGAATGGTGTCTTTCAAATTTTTGTTTCTGTACATGCTGAAAACCGAAATTTCTAAATAAAATTATGTTGTTCCTGGCGTATAGTTCAACATCGACGTAAGAGGCAATACAAAAAAAGGGATGAAAAAATATGTTTTTATTGTAAGATATACATGGAATTAAAACATAATATGCAAATCTCATACAATGAGTCCTCGATCCACACAAAGATCTAAACATATTTAAATAAATAAATGAATTATAACATGAAGAGATAAAAGTTTGTTTAAAAATCGAATCGTACTGTACCGACCTTCGCTTTCCCACTCTGGTTATTTCGCCCATCAATATTTCCGATTCACATTAATTAAATATTACCTTTGACGGTCGGTATGGTACAAACCGATCCTAAATTAACAATTAATCTACCATTAAGTAATCTGTATATATATTGTATAAAAATTAACTAACAAAAATTCACAATACTCAAGGTTTTTTCTTTGGTGAAACTAGGTTCGTCGCTTTAGCCGTGTCGATTCCCAGTGCCGACGACAGCACCCTAACCACGCTCTTCACGTCCGGGTTGTCCGTCTCTGTAAATCAGCGTGTAAATATCAAAGCCATTCCCACTATTTCGAATCGCGATCAAATTTTTAAAAATAACCAATTTCGAATCACGACTGACTTTTTCAACATCTCAAAAATACTTTTACTCAAACGAGTTGACCAGCTTCCGTACAAATTTTTAATGCTTCCACCTAAATCGACTTGCTCATACTCGTACGCCGGCCCCGCTACGAACAACTCAAACCGCTACTCACCGTCCGTCGTGATCTCCCGCTCCAACTTCAGCTTCTCCTTATTCATTTCAAGCATCCCCTCCTCGATGGTACCCTTGGAGACGAACCGGTACACCGTCACGGGCTTCATCTGCCCCATCCGGTGGCACCTGTCCTCGGCCTGCTTGTCGTTGTACGGGTTAAAATCGATATCGTGGATAATCACCGTATCGGCCGCCGTCAGGTTTATGCCGAGGCCGCCAGCCCTCGTCGAGAGCAGGAAGATGAAGTAGCTGTCGTCCTCCGTGAATTCGTTTATAAGGTCCTGCCTGGAAATCGCCCGAAACGTTAGTTATTACAGTCGACGGAAGCCTGAAAGGAATTACCGTATGTTGACGGCTGTGCTGCCGTCCAACCTCATGTACTTGTAGTTCCGTATCCGCAGGTACTCCTCCATGACGTTCAGCATGATCACGTACTGGCTGAAGATCAGGACCCTGTGCCCGTTTTGTTTCAGTTCCGGAAGCATCTTGTCGAAATGCATGAATTTCCCCGAGACCAGCATCAGTTCATCCGGAAGGGTGAATTTGGACAAGCACTGGAAAGGGTTTTGGAAATTTTTTAGTATAATCTTTTATCCTTGACAACCTTGATTATTATACAGGGTATCTCAAAATGACCTGAACCCTCCAATAGCTTTTCGGGATTGATTCCTATTTAAAAAGTTCCAGATAAAAGTTGTAGAATAACAAGCCAGTATTAATGGATTTGGCCTTCTCCCAAGGTCACCAAGACCACAAATTATATTCAAAACATTTTTTTGAATAACTAAAACATGAAAATAATGTCTTCCACTTGTACACTTATGACAAGCACTGACACTCAGTGGGATCTCAACGAGTCAGACCATGCCGCATTCGTTGTTTCTCTTTCTGTACACGATATTATAGGAACAATATGCGAGAAGAACAGCACATTACAGACAATACATAAAATTATTTAATCAGATTAAGAAATAGAAAAAATTGTGACGATTCACTGCCTACTATTTCGACTCTAAAATATCTTCAAATAAATAATAGTATTAAAGCTGCAGATAAAAAATCGCCAAAAAAAAAAAACAGTATTATTGTACTTACCGAGTAGTCTTTCGTTAAGGTGTGGATCTCGAAATCGGACATCCACACCAAATCGTCGACGATGTACTGCACCACGGTGTCCTTATACCCCGGGTCCTCCGCCAACAGCTTGGCGATCTCCTGCAGCTGCTCCATACCGTAATGGAACCTCATCAATAACGGGTGGTTGCTCAACTTCCTGAGGTCCGTCATTATGCTCATGCCGTTGTACGAGTTCTCCCCGTCCTCGTTCAGGTTCTTGTACGAAGCTATGAGCTGCTCGTAGTGTTCCTTCTGGGTGGTAGCCATGGGAACGTTTATTACGTGGTCGATTTTTTTCGGCAAGTCCTGCAGCACCTCGCACTTGAGCCGGCGGAGCACGAACGGCTTCATTATCCGCTTGGCCTGTTCGATCTGGTCCCGTTCAAAGGCGGGTATGGCGTCGTCCTCGCCCTGTTTGTTACTTTTCTGGAATAAAAATGGACGTAATCGTTCGAGAATGGCGGTGATGTGAAACTTACCGAGTTTTTTTGGAATAAGCTTTTTAAGTCGTCCGTTTTCTCGGCGAATATTTTCGGCATAACGAAAATCAACAACGACATTAACTCTAACAAGTTGTTCTGTAACGGGGTGCCCGTCAGTAAAATCCTGTGTTTCGCCTAGAAAAAATTGGGAATAAATATATTATTCCTCGTAAACTCGTACGAACTTACGTTAATCCGTATCAAGTTCTCGTACCGCTGCGTGTTCATATTTTTCAACATGTGCGCTTCGTCGAATATAACGTAGTGCATCGGCGTCACCCTGAACATTTTTCTCTCCTCGGGACTGTTACCGACTATAGTATACCTTTGAGTAAAGAAGAAAAGTGTTACGGAACATCGATATTCCTCGTTTCACGAATGGGAAACTAGCGGAGACTTACGTGGTTAATATTACATCGAAATCCGCGAGCATCCCTTTGGCAAGATCGAAACGAAATTGTCTCCTTTCCTCGGTGGTTCCGTAATACATGAACACCCTTAGCTCGGGACACCAGCGGGCAAATTCATTTTTCCAGTTATCTACAAGTTGTCAGTGGTTGCTAAATTGAAGGTCTACGGGGTTTCTCGGAATCAGCCTGCGATATTTTTGCCAGTGCTTTTTACGAGTACAAGTTAGATAAAAGGTTACCGTCAATATAGATCGATATATTTATACCCACAGTCCCCTGTATGTTTTTGCAGATATCCCAGTTCCCAATTTAATGATTGAATAGTTATCGTATGCCATAGGTAAGTAATCATAGAAACCAAACAAAGTATCCACAGGTAAATATTTGTTACATCTGCCTTGTTGAGAAATTTCATGAGTATTAAAAAAAAATTGTGTTAAAATAATAGATTATTTTAATATGACAGTACAAAGTATTTCAGGATATTCCTTATAAATCTCTAGCCAAAAATCAAGGGAACGGCGACGTAACCAACGCGAAGAATAAATAAAGCTCTTATAGTACCTTATACGCATGTACTTATAAAAATAAAAAGTTTTAAGAGTACTTTTTTTTAATTTTGCAAGTATCGATAATAACATTTTAAATTTTTGACTGTCGGGGAACCCCCAGAGAGGTTGTGCGGAGCTCCAGGGTTTCGCGGAACACAGTTTGAATACCGCTGGACTAAGGCATTCTTCGGCAACCATGTTGGTGGAAAGCGGCGTTGATTTATTCACTCCGGAAAGACACGGAAGATGGCATTCTTCCAATGTAGCGAAAGGAAATATAGAAGAATTGTCACAAAGAAAAATTGAGGTATCACGAAAATTGTTTAACCCTTCTCACTCGCAGAATATAACAACTGTATCATTCGTTTAAGAAAATCAAAACATTTGTGAAGATTCTGCTTCAATAACTGCAGTTTCACAAAATGAAACTCAAAAACGACTAAACCTGTGTAATAATACGAATAAAAATAACGATTCATAATAACAATTCAAACTAAAAACATTATTAGTCGGAGCTGTTATTATTAATAGTTAGTTAATTTTCAATATTCTTACTCTACATGTTTTTTTATTCCTATAATTGTTATGAAAATACAAATGTTCCAAGTTTTTTTCGTCTTTCTTTATGTTATATTTTGTTTTTATGTTTTCGTTTTCGTTTTCAAAGAAGTAATAAAAAATGTCGTTCATTACACATCCAGAAATAGATTCTTCCAAGCTTGCATGACTTCTGCTTGAATTTGTCACATGGAAAAATCCTTATTTCCAGACTCCTAATGAAATATGTATATTATTCGGTCCAACTATTCCCATTAAAACTCACTATTTATAAATTCCTACATCGTAATAGTATAATTTTAACTTAACAATCAGTTTTTGTATCCCCTTGTCAAATAAAGTGTTTATCTATGCTTTTCAAAGCACATTTTGTATGGACATAATATAACGACACAATGTTTTAATTGTCAGTGTTGCGAGAAACAACACTAACGACTAAAACTTTGTGTTACGCCCTCTGTGGGCGGCAGTCATGCAACAAGTACCTGCAATATAGCAGGTTGCTTCCTATTGTAGCCATTTGAATGGCACAGTTCGGAGTCAGCACAATAGATGGAGCCATTTGCGCTCCCGCGTACAATGTATTTCCTTGTCGTGATGATATGACGCAAAACAGCTGGATCGTTTGTCGGTTGTCTCACCTATGACACACTGATGAGGACTAAAAAGTCCGAAACCGGTCTGTGCCTGGTGGGTTAAACTGACGAACGATCCTAGCTGTTGCACTAGGTGTTGCCAGTAGGGGCATATAGCCCTTAGAGTAGTTGTTTCTAGCAACACTGACAATTAAAACATTGTCTTCGCTCTCTGTGGTTGGCAGTTGTGCAACAAGTACCTGCAATATAGCAGATCGCTTCCTACTGTAGCCGTTTGAATGGCACAGTTGGGAGTCAACACGACAGATGGAGCCATATACGCTCCCGCATACACAGAACAACACAATCATCGAAATGATACAAGAATACCTTTTCGTTGTTAAGAAAACGATAATTTCTAATTTTTTATTTAACTGAGTTTCAAATTGAACTGTTTGGTTTTGAAAGGCTTTAGAGACATCTGAAAAAAAAAACTTTCAATGGCTGTAGCCCCATCAAATAAAACATTTCTCCGAGTTCATGTTCATATAAACTTTTTCTATAATTTTCCTTCACGAAACACGCCTATCAAATATCGCAGGCTCATTACCGGATGCCCCGCATGAAAAAGTTAACCCGAGCAATTTTACCTAAAGTCGAAGAAGGCACAATGACGAGGTGTGTGCTGGTAGCAGCACCGATCTCTTTTAAGTGAGCGAGAAATGAAATTATTTGCACCGTTTTGCCCAAGCCCATCTCATCAGCCAGGATGCCGTTCACGCCCTGCGAGTGCAGCACCACCAGCCAATTCAAACCTACCATCTGGTAGCTCGTTAACCTCAATCTGGAAGAAACGATCGAAACCACTGCACGAGAACGTAAAATCAACACTTACGTGGAGGACAAGCTCGGGGGCTGCTCTTTCACGCCGGCCCCTGCCGCTACCGCCCTTTCCATCTGCTGGGCCAAGTTCGTGCACTTTTTCATGAGGTGCTTGATGTTGTTCCTGGTGGCGATGACTTGTTGCGCGTAATTCAAAAGGTCGGTGCTTAAGTTTTTGTTATCTTGCAGTTTTTGCACCAGGTTGACCCAGTCGGTGAACGGGCGGGACTCTATTATAACTTCTGCCTTTTTCTTGGAACATGACGTCATCAGCTGGAGCTCGTTCATCGTAGCCGTTTGGAAAAACTCAAATACTTTCTTTTTATCACCAGTTAGCTCGTTACTGATTTCCACGTCGGAATCTTCGTCGCTAAAAGTCAAGTTTTATAGAATCGTAACCCATACTTTAAATATAGGAATTACCTGTCAAACACTCTTTTATCTTTATAGTTATTGCTGCCCGTGCTGTCGTCACTGTCGTAAGATTTCCTTCTTTTCACTAAAAAAAAAATAAAATTCATATTCAGTCTGCAACTTTACATACGTAGGTACCTTTCTTTTTCTTTGTGGGTTCATCGTCAGATTTTCTTTTAAAACTTTGCTGTTGTTCGTATATGACTTGATTAGCTAACTGGGAATTTCTTGACTCGGCTTCTCGTCTATCGTAGTCTTGCCTCCACTGGTTGTACCCTGTATAACCGAGTTGCGTAGTTTTATTGTACATCCTAGACAGTTCAGCCGCTGCTGCATCAGTGTTGAAGCTATGCTTCGATAAGCAGTCATGTATTTGCTAAAAAAAAATATACAAAACGGTTATCACTTTTTTTACTTCATTTTTTTACGAACCATTGCTTCCAGATTTGGAAAAATTTCCAGGAGAAACTTCATTTGCTTCTCTTTTTCTAAGATAGACGGGTTTTTCATTGCTTTTTGACTAAAGCCGTTGTATTTGCTATTAAAAGTGCTATTATTCGTTATGATAATCTGTGAATGTGGTTTTTCACCTTCCTTTTCTTGTTCAGAATCCGAGTCTGGTAAGACCAGGATCCTTCTCCTCTGAACAGGCGACTGGGCACCCGAGTTAACGTCCGTAGCTGTAATTTTGTAAGGTAGGAGATGGTATTATTTAATTTGATAAGTTCAACAACTTACAAGTATTGAGCTCATTTGAAATGTGCGAAAGTGGAGGTTTCTTTTGTAATCTAAAATCGCGTAATTTTTGTAAATTGGGACTTCCTTCGTCCGACATCGCGATTAAATAAATATAAAGTCAATACTCCTAAAAATACTTGTTTTATTCAGAAAACTCGGCAGTGAACGACCAGCGCACAAGGCCAAACTTAAAGACTGGGGGAGAAAGGAATACTTCCATTTCATTGGAAGAATTAGGAAATTTAATTTTCACGACAGGTGGCTGCCATGGGGTACTTTGAGCGGTAAATTTATTTCGTTTTAATTGAAATTTGTAAAAACAAAAAATCGATTTTTAAGTTAGTACACGGTAAACAGTCACGAAATGAAAGATCATTTTTAAGTCAAAACAAATAAGTTTTGAGATAAAATCAAGATTGAATCAGTTCGAAATTGAAAAAAGAAAATTCGTACTTACGGTATACTTTTCCTGCAAGTTCAATATTAGTTAATCCAGCATTATCACTGATTCTAAAAAATTAAACCTTTCTGAATAATTTGTTTCTCGAAACAAAGGTGTAACAACAACCGCTAAATCTTGAATTTCGAGTTTCGAATGAACGAAGGTAGGGTGCGCTTCTGTCATTTTACTGTGCATCGTTTTTTTCCAGTCGTCAAGAAAATCGAAAGACGTAAAGAATATTATTTAAAAAATATAAAAAATGGCCGGAATTGTAAAAAACATTCGTGCCCTCACAAGAAATACTTATTATCTAAGAACATATTCACTAAGGCCGCTAGCTGTTTCCATAAATAAGTTTCATACTGCACGACAGGAGCCTGTTAAACAACACAATTTATTATCATCCACACAGGTAAATATCCAGTTTAAAAAAGGTAAGATTAAACAGCGGTAAATTTTATTCCTTAATTAATTTAAAGTAATTTACAGAAAACAAATTCGATATTTATCATTAAATCGATGTACATTACATAACTTAACCTAACTTTCTTGGGAATGTCATGGGCGATAGTAAATTCATTTTTTTCTCTAGATTAGATTTTACTCACCAGAAGTAAAAAGAACAAAGCCTTCCGCTGAAGAAATTAAAGAGCGAGTTCTAAAAGTTTGCGCATCATATGACAAAGTTACTGCGGATAAGGTACATTAAATCTTTTTTTTCTTCGTTTCAGAGACTCATTACGCCACATGAGCGAAGTTACAGTTCCAAACCGCCACTGACCTTAAAACTCATTACAGACCGAGTACTCTTAGTCTTAAAATTGTACGATAAAATTAATCCCGACAAGGTACAGTAATTTTGCTTAAAGTAGTAGTGGCACAATGTTATTTCATCTTTGTTATACGTACATTTTATGGAGCGTTTAAAAAATAAGTTTTTCTGAGAGTAGCAAATATTGTGCCATTACTTGTGGTTAGTCTCTGTCCCTTCCCTGATAGAATAAGTCTAATTCAAGTTATTTTTTTAGTTGAACTTGAATTCCCACTTTATAAACGATCTTGGCCTAGATTCGTTAGACCACGTCGAGGTAATAATGGCAATAGAGGATGAGTTTGGTTTCGAAATCCCAGATGCCGATGCGGAGAAGTTGCTGAAACCTGCAGATATCGTTAGGTACGTTGGTGATAAAGAAGACGTTTACGAATAAACGCAGATAGACTATTTGTGCTAGTTTTTTATTATTTCCCCTTATGTTAGGCCCAAAGTAATTTATGATATGAATGTATATTACTTCCTGTACATCGTTTTTTGTTAATAAAGTATTTAATTTGCCAATCCAGCTAGTTACGTCATTTTAATGGTAATTAATATTTTTTGTAGATTAAAACATTTCAATTTCAAATTGTATTAATTTCTGAGATTTTTTTGCTTGCAACTAATGATATTCTGGGAAACAGTTATGCAGGCTAAGTGCATAGCAACTATAGACTAGTAGGTCATTGTGCCAGTAGGCACTGAATATCAATGACATATTTTATAGTTATATCTCGCCCACACTTATTTTTTCTTATAGCTGTTTTACATCGACAATTTAATGATCAATTAATTCATGAAGTCGCTTCATCAAGAAATTGGACAAGAGTGTCGTGCACCAAATCTGCTGTCAAATAACTTCATGAATTTATTTATCAAGTTCTTGACGAATTAATACGGATAAATAAATTTGGAATATTGATTCCAGTAATAAATAAAAAAAATAAGTTTAGTTTGTTTTTATTTCAAAAATTAAATACATTGAGATGACTGTACAATAACCATAATTTATTATTTGAAATTTTACCCCAAATATAACATTTATAATACTAAGTCTACGATTAAAGAGCAGTTTCATTAAAAATAACTAGACGTGAATCGAAAACAGTTCACAACTTATAGATTAAAATTAACGTTTAAATTTTAGGAACTACCTTAATATCATTAAAACAGGCATGATTTTCTTAAAACTAAACGTAAATGCCTAATATTGTCATAATGTAAAAGTTTTAAGAATTCAGAAGGGACAGATTATCATCGATGTATTTATTAACAATCTCTACGAACGACTGGAACAAATAACGTCATTTTTTTATTCAGTATTTGACGGTTTTATAAAAGCATTGTTTTATTACGTTATACATAAAGTATCTTTTGTGCAATTCGAAAGGTTTGTTCAACGAAATATTTTTGCCTAAAAAGAAAGAAATAACGATATTTTTCCGAGTCGTTTTCTATGAAACAAAATGAAGTTGGCAGTTGCAAAAAATCGTCCCGTCTTTGTCTTTAGAAAGCAAGCAATTCGTTGATTTGTTATTTATAGAAAAAATATAGTATACAGCATACAGTGTGACTAAAAAGCATCCAGAAGATTAAATTAGTGTGCTCGAAAATTAATATAAAATTTTGGTTGTGTGGTGTTGAAAAAAGTACCAAAAATTTATGATGGAACATTAAAAAATATTTTTTTTCCTATGGATCATTCATATCATTGTTTTTGAGATACAGAGCGTTTCATGAATGAGCCACCTGACCAATTATTTTGTTTGGAACAGAAAGTTTATTTTCTTCATTTCGGCAATAAAATTTTGGTAAAATTAAAATAAGATGAAGATTACATTAAAACAACATTCTGTTTCACAGGCTGTAATTGCTGAAATTTTTCACGAGATTCTATTCAACCAATAAACGATCATGTTATCTCGAGCGAAGACGTAAGGGTTTGTCATTGTTCATTATAAACGAATCATAATCGGAACAATACATTTAAATTTGGTACAAATAAGTTTTTAAGGGTGCTAAATGCACTGGTGTTGTTGGCTTTTGATTATTTACTGCGAACGTACCAAGTATATAGTTTTTTTGGACAAGATTTTCACGGTGTGTGGTGTAAAAATGGTATTTTTGTCGAAATTCCTGAAAACGCAACATTTTTGAGAAAAACGCGATAGATTGGTCCAAAAATCAACCAACCACCCTTAATATAAAGGGTGTTTGAATGCAAATGCTCCATACTTCAACGATAGTTTCCTTGAATGAATATTACCTAACTTAGATAAAGTTACCTTAGTACAGTTTTGCTCCCTTAAAATGGCATTCAAAAAAAATTTATTTTTTCATTTTAACCGACTAATAGTACTAATCGAACCTAACCAAAAAGTTGTCATAAAATCTCAGTGGGTAAGGTCATAACTAACGCCCTCTAGTAGATGGTTAAAAACTAATAACACCATTAAAAACTTGTCCGCACCAAATTTTAATGCATTACGTTGTTTTATGGAAAGGATATGGGTTAAATTTGATTTAAAAAAATCGTATTTGACACTCCGTACCACAAAAACAGGACGTTAGGCTCTTGTCTGCAGAAAAAATCGTTTTATTTTTTGGTATAACAGTTTTTACTTTTAAATTTCCACTCTTTTTAAGTAACGCAAAGAACTGTATCATTTTGAAAATACAAATTAATATTCAGCATTCAACAAATACTCCTTACAAGAGAAAAAATGGGTACGGTAAATATTTTCATTCGGAATTTGAAATATACCATCTGCACCCAGTGGATATGAATAGAGTTTTGCAAAATGCTCGGGAATTTATTTTTGGAAAAGTTTAATGAGCATAAACGTGAGGAACTTGCAAATTATAGAAATTTTTGTTATTCAATATTTTCATAAAATTAACATTTACAAAAGTAATATTTAAAACGGTAATTATCAAAATGTGGTGCACGAAATTTGAGTAATTTCAGAGAAAAGTTCCTTTCATTGAGATAAATCGTCACAAAAAATAAAATTTTCTCCTGAAATAAAATTTACAAAATTGATATTTAAAAGAGTAGTTACTAAAGCAGGGAGCATGAAATTTGCATAAATTCAGGAAAAATTCCTTAAAAAAAAAAAAAAAAAATTGAGCACCTTTTGTTTCCGAAGCGAATATTGTTGCCTGCGCTTCGAGAACATCCTCGCCTTCACAACTCTACGACTATGCATGTAAATTTAGAACAATCCCACTTGAATCTCATACATTTTAACCCCTTGATGCTTTTTTGAATGAACGTGTAAATAAATCGTCACGAAAAAAATTCCTTGAAATAAAAAACGCATTTACTTCCTTCAGTCTCTTTAATATCAGCGAAAAATAGAACCGCGAGCGTCGATATGTAAACTCTACAACTAATTAAATATTGATACAACTAACACACGTAATTTATCTGAAATTGTATAAAAAATATGTAAACGTCTTTTTCTACCTAAAATTATCCAACAGTGTTCCGTTTAGCATAATCCGAGACTTCGCCGAGCGCGTTTCGTAAAACAAAGAACGGTAGTTTAAGAACCGGAAGAGTCGCTCATGTTCTCGTCCTCGATCTGCATGCGAAATTTGCATTTCGCGCAAAATTTCTTGCCGTCGTGTAAGGAACAGTCAGCGTGGCTCCCGAAGGAGTCGGTCCTGCGGATCTTAGTCCGGGATTCATCACAGCCCTGCTTTGACGTAGACGGGGCGAGGCCTTGTACCGTACCGGAACTCGAACTGCTATTCTCTGGAGAAGTCGTGAGAATGCTACTCTCCTCCGTCGACATCGTTTCTAAGTCGGAATCGGACTGAACGGGTTCTCCTTCTTCGCGTACGTGGAGGATCTCTGGCGGGATCCAGCGGATAGCGCGCAGCTTCTTGTTTCGTTTCAGGAAGTTCTTGTAGTTCATCGGGCACATCTCTTCCATTTCGGAGATGCGTTTTTTCTCGTCTTGCTCTGAAATTGATAGAAATCGTTACTCGGGACACTTTTATATTAAGAAAAATATATATTTGTACCATTCGTGGGTAAGATCCAAAAGTATTTCCTTTCGTACAAGCGGATAAGCCCCGGTATTTCTTTGTACCTCTTATATAAGGTGGGATGCTTCGAAATAAACTCCAGACAACGCATTTGTAGGGTGGGTTCTTCGGAAACCGCACAAGTAATCCTCACTGCCGATTGTGCCGCCGTCGAGCTCACCATGGGGTATAATTCCCGTCCCTTTAAGCCTTTGAAAGCGATTCCTGAAAGAGTAAAGCAGTTTTAGAAGACCCACTTCAAGAATTCTTCATATAAGTTACCCATAGGCTTCCTATTAACATAATACTCCAAAGTTCCATTGCACATATCCAAATGCACCCCCACTATACTCCCTAGTCCAAACTGCGAGGCGTACTTTCTTACTAACTGGTTATGCTGGATATTACCGTGGTACGAATAACCCCAAGACTGCGAGTCTATTCCTAGCATGCTGCAGAATCTAAATTTCCAGTCCGATAATACAATTTTTGAAGTGCCAACACCTACCATCTAAAAAAGCAGAAAAACTTGTTTCGTAAATTAATAACACGATTTTTAGACTCGTCTAAAGAAAATTTCACAAAGGGAAAGTTTTTAACAATCCCTTCATCTTTAAGACAAAAAAAACTAATAGAATTACTTTGTTTACAGTGTCATAAAGTGACATCGAAATGGAAGTATTACTTTGTTAAATATCTGTAAAATCATACAAGGCGTTTTATAGCAGGAAATTGTCGTAGCATGATTATATATTATTTCCTTCCCTCCCAGCTGTATATCAGATATTGCTGGTGATTTGTGATGAAGAGATGGTCGCAAACTGGCGCAGTGACCTCCAAAAACTCTCCATTCACTTATCATTGCAATGTTTACCTATTTTGGAAAACATATTTTGGTGCATTATCTTTGAAACATCCATAGACTTTGTGAAACATTAAATCTTAGAAATGTTAAGCAGTTTAAGAAATACAATTTACATGTCAAGAACATCTTTTTCAGCAAGGGCGATAAGTTTGAAAATAAATTAAATAAAAATTAATATGAGAACCAGGAAAATAACATTATAAAGCACTTTTTTTATCTCTGATATTGCCACTTATCGATAAAAAGTCAAAAAAGGTCACAGACATATATACACGAAGTTGTATGATGTAAATTTATATCTGAAATGATTGTGACAGGAATCTTGTTGATAATGGCACCATATGGTGATTTCAATGATAAGGGAATAATTTTAGAAATGGCATTTTGTTACTCTGACCCATAGTATGATATTCAGTTATCTACAGACTGTCGTATGACAGAAAATCCGTTTAGAGATAAAAACTTGATTTTAGCTGTCATTAAACGTATGATACAAATGAACAGCTTCAATATTTACTGCAAGATGTCAAAGTACTTTTTAACCAGAATTTTTATCACTATCAATTATCATTGGGACTTGCGCTCGTATTATGTACATTATGGTATAATTTATATAAGATGCAAGTTTAGTAATTCATTTGAATGTCATTTAAAAACGCAGTAATTTTCAGTGAAACTGCACTTTAGAACTTACCACATCAGTCCCATACAAGTTAGAAATCATCTTAATTTCCCAATAATAATGAAGATTAGGCTGAAAAAGCATGTCACCCCTCACCGCAGCTGTTCCTGAACTGTACAAGGGGTGAAATAAAATATCCTTATTATTGTTAGTTATCCGCGTATTAGAGGAACTATTGGCTTTTGACCAAGTCCAATTGAAAATTCCGATATCCTCGCCGCAAGTGCACTGTAACTTTCCATCAATGATGCCTTTAACACAGCTTTGCGAACAAAACGAGTTCATATACTTCATGTTTATTTCTTTCGCTGACTGCGAAGTTGAGCTTATAAAGAAGTACATCTTGTAACACCACGCACTCACTCATAAAGTATTTCTTACTTTGTTGAAACTTTGAAAACTTTACGTGGAATTCACAACATATTAAACTCTTACTTATTAAACTACCGACCACCGAACTTTACCTCATAAACTTAAATGTTTACAGTTCATCAGTTTATTTTTCTTTGATTTGACGTCACTTACGATTAAAAAGCTCCTTCAATCACCAAAACCTGTCAAAAATTGTGGCGCTGTAGCCATTTTGAAATAAAAGTGTGTTCCATGTTCCAATTTCCATCAGAGTTGTTCAGACGTTTACAATCAGTTTACTTAGATCACATAAATTTCTTATATCCACAATTAAGGTTCGACAAATAATATTTTTTTCAAAATAGTGACATGTAATGTAGCGTTAAATAGCTAAAATATGTGAAACATTTAATTTCATTCAGTCTCTGTCAGTTGTATGAAATTATGACTGTCGCTGTCGTTGAGTGTTACTACTATTTTTTTTATCGGACTAAAACGAAAATGCAATATACCCCAAATTGCAGGCAGGTCAGAAATCCATTTAATTTGTCCGTTTTACACTGTATTTTGTGTACGTTTTTTTTTTCCTTTAACTGATACATACGACAACATCCATGGTACATTTAACTATGCCAAGAAACATAATTACAAATAAAACCTACATACAAAAATCAAGGAAGTTTGCCCCCCGGAGTCTGTCCCTGGAGTTTGTCCCCGGAGTCGAATCTCGGAGTCTGTTCCCGGAGTCGGACCCCGGAATCTGTTCTCGAAATCGGGCCTGAAGTTTTATAACTTTTATTAAAATTGGCAGGTTTATTGTTATTTATCATAGGGTCTTTCGATGTGGCAAAATAGTTACTTAGAGTTTCTCTGAACCTTAAAACATATACTAGTAGTATATATTCTAAGCTCTGAACTGATATTAGTTGCTAATAGGTACTAACTATTTTTAGCAAAACGAAAGCCTCCCATGTTAAAGGAACTAATGAACTGTTTAAATTTTTGTCTTCGATAAAACAGCTGTTTTTTTACGTGTAATGTAAATGGTTTCTTTAAACAATCCTTATTTCTGATTTATTCTACATAATCTATCGTATCGAAATTAAGAATAAAGGAACACGATGCAGAAGGAATCAGAAAATATGATTAAAATCTGATCAACTCGATTCTTACAAGATCACTGCTAAATTCGGATTAACACAATCATAGTTGCCGAAAACACCTAATATCAGCAATAATTTTTAAGAAGAGGAAGACGAAATAGTTAAATGGCGTTATAAATGACGTTTCTCGTTTATTTTGTTGACTTCTAATCTTTAACAAGAAAACTTGTACAATATGGGAAATGTGGACACGAAATTAAATTTTAGAAAGGCCGTGGTCCAACTAACATCAAAATCTGAGGTAATTTGGTATACTTTTACACAGCTGTCACAGTGTCTACTAGAACATTTCTAATTTTTTCTAAAACATTTACACATCTTTTGATTATTATGACTTCGTAGTGTTATTTATAGTTTATCTAAAGAAATTTTGTAAGCAAGTGGTTTGCAAAATTTCATAATTTTTTTGTTACAAATTGATACAGAAAAACAATGCATTGATTAGTAATGAAACATTTTAGCCAATAGACGCGAATGACGAGTCTTTCTGGGAGCAGTTTTGGTCAGAGAATGTATCCAATGTCCAGGACATATTTACCTTAGTGCCAGCCGCAGAAATTCGACAATTACGAGAAGATGCTCCGTCGAATTTAGCCACGTTATGTTATAAAGCTGTTGAAAAGTTGGTAAAAGCTGTTGACAGTAGCTGCAGAACCCAGCATGAGCAACAAACTGGTAAAACGAACTCCATGTGTAAAAATATTTCATAACAAGGAACATATTTTTGTAGTTTTAAATTGTACAAGGTTGCTTACGAGGATTTTGCCATATATTTTCGAGGATCCTGAATGGAAGGGTTTCTTTTGGTCTTCTCTGCCCAGTCAGGGGGAGGACGACGACGAATCTGTGCCGTTGGCACAATCTCTTTTGAATGCTGTCTGTGTAAGTGTTCCTAGTGCAACTTTTGATGATGTTGGTATTTGACATTTAGAAACACCATAACCATGTTCTTTTGTTTGCAGGATTTACTGTTTTGTCCAGACTTTACAGTATTAGCGAGTAGAAAAAGCGGCCCGGTAAGTTATAACACGCCTTTGTTTTTGGTCATTTCCGTAACACGTACTTTCAGGATAAAGCGGAGGAGTTGTCAGCGATAGACAGTTGCGAGTACATATGGGAAGCGGGTGTGGGATTTGCCCATTCTCCTCCTAGAAATCCGACGTTCGACACCAACCGGACAGAACTTTTAAAGCTTCTCCTGACTTGTTTCAGCGAGACGATGTACCAGCCACCGGCCGACATTGCGCAGAACCCAAATAAGTGGATATTGTAAGTGTATTTTTTAATATTTCCGCAGTAATGATTTTAATAAAATATCCCTAGGCACTTAACTTCGGCTGAAAATCGACACGCCCTGCCGATGTTCACGTCCCTGTTGAATACAGTGAGTGCCTATGATCCAGTGGGTCTGGGGGTTCCGTACAATCATCTGTTGTTTAACGACTCTCTAGAGCCCCTGGTTGAGGCTGCCTTACAAATACTTATCGTAACGTTAGACCATGACACCAGCTCGTCTACTCCAGCCGAATCTGAAGATGTAAGTACAAAACACAGCTCAAAAAGAACAAATTAAATCGCAGAATTTTTTATTATAACACAACTGCAATTGGGAATGTGTTGTTTTATTTCTGTTTACGATAAAAAGGTAATACGAAGGTTTTTTTGTCAATCAATGTTCTTTTCGTTTGGGTTCAGGTGTCTCTAACCTTAATAATCACGAATTATGCCTCGGGTTGCTTCACATAAAAATAACCACGATAGAAAGGTCTTTTTTTTTTAGTTGTCGGTTCCAGACAATCTCTTCATCAACTATCTGTCTCGAATACACAGAGACGAAGACTTCCATTTTATTCTAAGCGGTGTTACTCGTTTACTGAACAACCCGCTGCTTCAGACCTATTTGCCGAATTCCACGAAAAAGGTGCATTTTCACCAAGAATTGCTGGTTTTCTTTTGGAAGATGTGCGACTACAACAAGGTGACTATTTAAACTTTGTTAATTTGATTCGTCGTAACCGTCTTTGACGTTTCCAGAAATTTTTATATTTCGTGTTGAAAAGTAGCGACGTTTTGGAAGTTCTGGTTCCTATCCTGTACCACCTGAACGATTCCAGAGCTGATCAATGTAAGTTTTTAACGCCCGTTTTACGTTGGTGGGTATATTAGAATGAAAAATTCCGTACCGTTTCTAGCCCGTGTAGGACTGATGCACATCGGCGTCTTCATATTGCTTCTGCTCTCTGGCGAGAGGAACTTTGGAGTGCGACTCAATAAGCCCTACACCGCGACCGTACCCATGGACATCCCCGTATTCACCGGCACCCACGCCGACCTTCTGATCATAGTTTTCCACAAAATCATCACCACCGGCCACCAACGCCTGCAACCGCTCTTCGATTGCCTTTTAACTATCCTAGTCAATGGTAAGTATATAATATAACGCTTCGGTCCTATTTTCGAGTTTTCGTACTCAGTGATACTCGTCCATTTATTTCTTAAAGTGTCCCCGTACCTCAAGACGCTGTCGATGGTGGCCAGCACCAAGCTGCTCCACCTCCTGGAGGCCTTCAGCACGCCTTGGTTCCTATTCTCGGCCTCCTCCAACCACCACCTGGTATTCTTCCTGCTAGAAATCTTCAACAACATCATCCAGTACCAGTTCGACGGCAATTCCAATCTCGTCTACACCATCATCCGTAAACGGCAGGTGTTCCACAGCCTGGCGAATTTACCCAGCGACTACGGCACCATAGCCAAGTCGATGAATAAACGAACTAGATCCCGACTGACCAGTTCGACGAGTCACGAGAATGTGGCCGAGGTAGCCATGGAGGGATCCCACCCGGCCTTACCCGCGGAACCGGGGACGTTGAAGGCTACTTTGCCCGACACGCCCCAGATCGGGCAGATGACCGAGAGGGAATCCGCTCATCCCTCGATACAGCAGGTGGAGACCCTGCAACTGACCAACGGCATGGCTGCTGTTACTTTGAACACGCCCTCTAAGACGTCCGTCACTATCGGAAATGAAAGCAAGGTAGGTTTTATTAAGTTTTTGTACACTCCAATTCCAAAATAGTGGGTAGTAAGTCATAAATAAAACAATTCTCAAGTTTTTATACTTTTTAATATTGTAATGTGCTGTTAATTCCGCATAGTGTTCCAACATATTCGTATTCATTTGTTTTCTTATTTTTCTTTGTGTAAAGTTAGGTTAGGTTTGGTTAAGAGGGCTCTATAGCAAATAGCCAACCAGCAATACATTTTTGTAGGTTTTATTACACAATTTGTCTAAATATGAATCAATGCAAAAATAACAGACTTTCCCCTGTTTTAACGCAGATTTTCTATGAAATGGAGTTGATTTCAAACTCAAATAACTTTTTAGTGTAAAGAAATGTGTAATTTACTATGCTGCTTGTTCAAAGGCGGCAAATTATAAATTTCTTTACAACAAAAAGTTATTTGAGTTTGAAATTAACTCCATTTTATAGAAAATCTGCGTTAAAACGAGGGAAAGCTTGTTATTTGTGCAATTTCATTTTACCATTTTTACAATTCGTAGTAATTTCAACGTTTTATTTGTTTGAAGAGCGCGAACAAAGACGTTTCCCCAGAAGGCAAGGAAAGCAAAAGTACGACTGCTTCGGAATCGTCTGCCTTTTCAAGAAGCGTAAATACGGTAACACGAAATACGTGATGTTTTCCCGAACAATTACCGATAACTGATATTTTAGCGTAACAGCCTACGGATCAGTGGTCCGAGTGAAGGTCAGAACGGGCAGTGGGTTCCCACGGGAGAATGGGTCCACTCGTGGAAATCCAAGCTACCTCTGCAGACCATCATGCGGCTCTTGCAGGTGCTGGTGCCTCAGGTTGAAAAAATTTGCATCGACAAGTATAAAATCGTCGGTAATTTGTGTTTCTCTTGCTTTAAGGGTTATTTTTTAGGGGTTTGACGGATGAGAGTGAGATTCTGCGGTTCCTCCAGCACGGTACACTCGTCGGGTTGCTTCCGGTACCCCACCCGATACTGATTAGGAAGTATCAAGCCAACGCTGGCACCACGACCTGGTTCAGGACTTACATGTGGGGGGTGATATATTTACGGTGAGTGCAATGTTCGTTTATGATCGTTCAGTTGCGACGAAATGTTTTTTTTTTTTAGCAATGTTGATCCGCCCATATGGTACGACACCGACGTTAAACTGTTTGAGATTCAGAGGATATAGATTTCGTGTAATTTTCTTAGGTGTAGTTTAAGTTATTTATTGTTGTTTTCGTTGTAATATCTTAATTTAATTAAAGCTTGACACCATTAAAAAAATTTTAAAAAAAAGTAACCGTGGTAAACCAAATAATTTTGAGGGGCTCGAAGTTTAAGGCGTAATTTGCTAGTGAGAATAATTGTATAGGTTGTTTTCGAGTTTCCCGAAAAAAAAAAAATGCTTCTGTAACATTTACAAGTGTCTTATCGTTAAAATTAATATGCATTTATGATTAAGACTGTATCGGAAGAACCGAAAGAGAAACGCTGTAACACAGAAAATGTAATTTTGTAATTCAGTTACCATATCGTGATGCATCGTGCAATTTTCCAGTGATTAGGGACATTCCACTTAAATTATATGAATATCGGATATAATCAAAACTGTGAACCATTGTTATAGATGTCTAATTTTTATTAAAGATTGTACTAGTGCTATTAAAGTGATGAAAATGATGTTACTTTTTAATCTTCCCTATTTTTTTATAAACAAAATACAAAAATTATTTTGAACTGAAGCCTCGTTTCAGACGAGACGATTGTAGCACCCTCGCAAGGTCGTGGTAAGTAGATTAGTCCAAGCAATCTGTCACGGATTAATGTTAAATTTGCAGAAATTATTACCTGGACAAAAAAAATATGACCGTTTAGAAAATTAAATTTTAAATTGAGTTTCTTGTTCTTTAAACTCGATCCAATATGGCGAACATGGTTAAAAAAAATTGCAAAGTTGAAAAAAACGGTTTTTCTAAAATAACAAAAAAAATATAGCACGGATTGAAAAATTTTAAATGAGAAAGTTGTAGGTTTTAAAAAGATCTATCGACTGATTTTTTGAAAGTATCGATTGCTTTGTTACTTTTCGAGATATATCGAAAAAACCGTTAAAAATCTCTTTTCTTCTATAACTCGTTTACATTTACATGCCCATATTTGCTATTTACTGCAAGCATAGCCCGCGGCAAGCCAAAAAAGTACATTTTTGAAAAATTTAAAAATATTAATTATTTTTCGATATATCGATTTTTTGAAAAAAAGGCGCTCTCGAAAATTGGCTAGATCTTCTCAGCGGATAGCCCTACAGTAACGATTTTCGGTTTATTTTCTTCGTAAAGAGTTATATTATCACGCTGTTAAAAAATGTTGACGATTTTATTAATTTTAAGGATCAAAAAATGACCGAAAAAGTTGCACTTTTTTTTGGGGATGTTTTTTTTCAAATAACTATTTCAATTTTTATTATTTTTTTGTACTTAATCTGGGGTAGCTAAATATGAATATTATAGCATTTTCGCCTTAGAAGCAGAATAGACCTGTAAATGTTTAATTTTCTTTCTTTAAAAGTCATTTTCATAAAATGAAAATTGAAATAGTAATTCGAAAAAAACATACCCAAAAAAGTGCAACTTATTCAAAGTCATTTTTTGATCCTTAAAATTAATAAAATCGTCAACATTTTTTAACAGCATGATAAGATCTAGCCAATTTTCGAGAGCGCCTTTTTTTCTAAAAATCGATATATCTCGAAAAATAATTAATATTTTTTAATTTTTCAAAAATGTACTTTTTTGGCTTGCCGCAGGCTATGCTTGCAGTAAATAGCAAATATGGGCACGTAAATGTAAACGAGTTATAGAAGAAGAAAAGAGAGAAGATTTTTAACGAATATATCTCGAAAAGTAACAAAGCAATCGATACTATCAAAAAATCAGTCGATAGATCTTTTTAAAACCTACAACTTTCTCATTTAAAATTTTTCAATCCGTGCTATATTTTTTTAGTTATTTTAGAAAAACCGTTTTTTTCAACTTTGCGATTTTTTTTAACCATGTTCGCCATATTGGATCGAGTTTAAAGAACAAGAAACTCAATTTAAAATTTAATTTTCTATACGGTCATATTTTTTTTGTCCAGGTAATAATTTCTGTAAGCATTTCTCTATAATGCTTGGACTAGATTCCTAATAGGGGTTTTCGTATTGCGTTTTTAAAAAAATATAAGCATTTAATTCCTGACGCAAACGAGACAAACGTAAAATTGAATCTATTAAAATTTTTTGCAAACTGGTTTCCGAACAACAAGATCAGTGATTTGATGAGGTTAACACTATCACAGTTTCCAAAAAGTCCTGCAGCTGTTTTCTGATTTTAAGAAGTATCTTATTATGGGCAACTGTCCCAATGGAACAGATATTGTTAGACAAAACTTGCTAATTCATTTATCCTGCTATTATTCTTTATTATATTTAATTTAGAACTATTATCGGGCAGAAGCAAATATGCAACCAGCAATACATTTTATGGATTTTATTACACAGTTTGTCTAAATGAATTACTGCACAAACCATTTAACACTGATTTTCTATAAAATGCAAGGGGTGAAACAGCGAAGCAGATGTTTCAGGCGGCATTTTAAGACTTGATTATTAACTTTTTATAAATTTCAGAAATTGAAAATTTCACAAAATCTGAAGAAATAGAGTAGAGTGAAAATTTTCCTAACATTGTAGTATCTTTAAGGATTTTGTTAACCATTCCTGTGTCTGTGGCCAGTGAAGAACGTTCTTTTTCGAAATTAAAAATTATAAAAAATTCTTTACGATCGACCATGGCGCAGGAACGGTTAACAGACAGACGGATAGCAAATTTTGCTATCGAGAAAGATATAACAAATAATTTGGTATACGCTGATATTATTGAAGACTTTGTTAATGAAAAATGTAGAAAAGTTGATATGTGTAAAGATCCCGTTTTGACATTATTTAGTTTCTTTTTTGTTTTTATTGAATACTTTTTATTTTTGGTTTTATTGGAATATCTGTTTTATTTTTTATGAGATGTTTCTTATAATTTCTGTTTGTTTTTTGCTAAACTATTTTTTTATTTATTTTTGTCTATTGAAATGTTTTTTTTATTTTTTTATAACTTTTTTATTAATAAATTTGTTATTTGTTCCAACAGTAGTAACTTGTATATATTTTTTCTTAGGGCGGCAAACAAATATTTGCTTCAGGTGCCAAATACCCTGGCGCCGGCCCTGCTTTTTGGTGTAAAGAAATTTGTAATCTATGATGCCGCTTGTTCAAAAGCTGCAAATTACAAATTTCATTACAACAAAACGTAATTTGAGTTTCAAAATTACTCCATTTTATAGAAAATCTGCGTTAAAACGGAGGAGTCTGTTATTTGTGCATTAATTCAAATTTGGTACCTGATTTGCATTTACTGTTATGTTTAATTGGTAAAAATATAAATTTATTGGAAGCCCAATAAGAGTTGAACTAGGGGACCTAAAATGATATGGATTTTTTTACCAGTATGCCAATTATTAAATAGTTTTACCAGTATTACAGGAAATTTAATTTAAATCTTTTTCCTCAAATTTTTCGAAAAAATAAGTTTGAGAAAAATCGGGATTTTGTGAAACAGTGTCATTACTAATTTTTAGTGTGTCAGTTTTACAACTAGTAGGCTATGACTTCATGTGTCATTTTTGACATTTACAAAAGAGTATCAAGAAAAAGCAATTCCATTAAATTAAATTCTTTATTTTGTTTTTATTAACATATTAAAAAAGAGGAAACTTACAAACAAAACATTAACAAATTTAACTATAACCACATGAACTACCGATATCGTTAAATAGCACTACAATAACAGTTGAAAATGGCCACCATTTTCTGTAATACTTAAATTTATCCTCCGCCGAAAATTAAGTCTACTCTGCACAATAGCTAAGGATAATTTGCATGTATTATTTTTACGATTCCATAAATCTGCTTCAAGTACAACCGGTGTAAAATAAACAAATTCTTTTAACCAAACTGCCGGTTCAAGAAGTCTGGTACGTTAGCACTAAAACGCGGTGGAGCACCATCATGCATGGACCATCCACGGTTTTTCATAATAGACGAAAGTATACAGAAATATGTCCCGTGATTATACGTCCGGTGACTACTATGAGAGGTAGGTATAGATGCAATATTCATATTATCCACTTTTTAAAACTATCTAGGAAAAAGGGAAAAACTGATTTCTTACTTTTTAAGGGATTCAAGGGTTTGAAATATTTTGTGGTATCGTTTTAGAACTTTATCTTTGTTTTTTAATCGCTGAAATGACGGCACAACAATAATGTTTGACTCCAAAAAAGCGATTGACTAAAAAAACCGGACTCCGGCAAAATTACCGGACTCCGGCAAAAATGCCGGACTCCGACAAAAAATAACGGACTCCGGCAAAAAAACCGGACTCCGGCAAAATTACCGGACTCCGGCAAAAATGCCGGACTCCGGCAAAAATACCGGACTCCGGCAAAAATACCGGACTCCGGCAAAAATACCGGACTCCGGCAAAAATACCGGACTCCGGCAAAAATACCGGACTCCGGCAAAAATACCGGACTCCGGCAAAAATACCGGACTCCGGCAAAAATACCGGACTCCGGCAAAAATACCGGACTCCGGCAAAAATACCGGACTCCGGCAAAAATACCGGACTCCGGCAAAAATACCGGACTCCGGCAAAAATACCGGACTCCGGCAAAAATACCGGACTCCGGCAAAAATACCGGACTCCGGCAAAAATACCGGACTCCGGCAAAAATACCGGACTCCGGCAAAAATACCGGACTCCGGCAAAAATACCGGACTCCGGCAAAAATACCGGACTCCGGCAAAAATACCGGACTCCGGCAAAAATACCGGACTCCGGCAAAAATACCGGACTCCGGCAAAAATACCGGACTCCGGCAAAAATACCGGACTCCGGCAAAAATACCGGACTCCGGCAAAAATACCGGACTCCGGCAAAAATACCGGACTCCGGCAAAAATACCGGACTCCGGCAAAAATACCGGACTCCGGCAAAAATACCGGACTCCGGCAAAAATACCGGACTCCGGCAAAAATACCGGACTCCGGCAAAAATACCGGACTCCGGCAAAAATACCGGACTCCGGCAAAAAAACCGGACTCCGGCAAAAATACCGGACTCCGGCAAAAAAACCGGACTCCGGCAAAAATACCGGACTCCGGCAAAAAAACCGGACTCCGGCAAAATTACCGGACTCCGGCAAAAATACCGGACTCCGGCAAAAATACCGGACTCCGGGGAAACTCCGGGAAAAAACTCCGGGTAAAAAAGTCCGGGGAAACTCCGGGTAAAATTCCGGGCAAACACTCCGGGTCAATACTCCGGGTAAAAACTCAGGGTTAAAAATCCGGGGAAACTCCGGGTAAAAATCCGGGCAAAAACTCCGGGCCAATAGTCCGGGTAAAAACTCCGGGTAAAAAATCCGGGGAAACTCCGGGTAAAAACTCCGGGGAAACTCCGGGTAAAATTCCGGGCAAAACTCCGGGCCAATACTCGGGGTAAAACTCCGGGTAAAAATCCGGGTAAAAACTCCGGGTAAAAAAGTCCGGGAAAACTCCGGGCAATACTCCGGGTAAAACTCCAGGTAGAAAGTCCGGGGGAAACTCCAGGTAAAAAAATCCGGGTAAAAATCCGGACTCCGGAAAAAAAAACGGACTCCGGCAAATAAACCGGACTCCGGCAAATAAACCGGACTCCGGCAAAAATATTACAAATCGGATCGATTTGACATTTGACGTCTTAATTGCAAAGGTAAATCCTCGAGTAGCCCAGGGAAAGTATATTGTAAAAAAAATAAATAATCTTTGTCATTTTTTAAACCCACACATTTATTTTAAATTTATTTTGAAAATAGCGAAGAAAAAGTGGAACAAGCGGTCTTTAAAAAAATGTTTCTCATGAAACCTAATACCCCGACGCAAAATGAAATTACAAAAAGTTTGTCTTTGGCCTAAATCTTGGGGTAACAATTGCTGAAAATTTTAGTTACGATTATAGGTCAATAGAGCGAAAAAAGAGGCTGTCTTTACACTTAAATATTACAGCATATTTCATGTATTTCCTTTTGAAAACTACTTAGAAAATGAAAATGCAAGTGATTTCCCCAGCAAAGTCGTGAACATTTTTTTTTTAAATAAAAACTGCAAAAAAAAATGAGATATTTTTGTTTTTTATTATAATATCTCGGAAAAATAATGATGGAATTGTCTTACTCTCAATAGGACTTTGCTGAGAAAGAAAAAGCCTATAAAATAGTGTTTTGTGCGACCTGATCGGTTTATTTTTCACAGAGAAAATCCGGAAAAACCTCCAAAATCAACCTTTTTTCAAAAATTCATAACTCCGTCAAATTTGAAACTGGAAAAACAATCTTGTGGAAAATGATAGATAATAATATGTAGTTTAATCATGCGCAAGATGGTTTCTGTCCCATGCACAATTTTTGCGCAATTGCATTATAAACAAATTAGGGTATTTTTTTGAACAGCGTGACGATTTATCAAAGATGGTCCGATTTAAATTCTAAAAACGGCATCTGAAAGTAGACAACAAATTCTCCAATTTGTATATCAAGGATTTTCACCTGGGTGATGGGAAATATGCTAAAAATGGCCTTGAAAGTCGCCCCAACGCTCGAGCCAGAGTCCTCTGCTCGTTGCTTCCCCCACTACCATGTGGAGCGTACTTTCGATTGTTTCAGGCGACTTTCAAGGGCATTTTTAGCATATTTCTCATCACCCAGGCAAAAATCCGAAATATACAAATTGGAGATTTTGTTGTCTACTTTCAGAATTTAAATCGGACCATTTTTGATAAATCACCACCCTGTGCAAAGACCCTAATTTGCTTATAATGCAATTGTGCAAAAACTATGCATCGGACAGAAACCATATTGCGTACGATTAAACTACAAATTATCTGTCATTTTCCGCAAGATTATTTTTACAGCTTCAAATTTGACGGAGTTATGAATTTTTGAAGAAAGGTCTATTTTAGAGGATTTTCCGAATTTTCTCTGTAAAAAATAAACTTATCGGGTCGCATAAAAAACCATTTCATAGGTTTTTTTATTCTCTACAAAAGTTCTATTGAGAGTAAGACGATTCCATCATTATTTCTCGATATTATAACAAAACTAAAAAAAATGTAATTTTTTTGCAGTTTTTATTGTTTAAAAAAAGAATTGTTCACGAGTTTGCTGGGGAAATCACTTGAGTTTTCATTTACTAAGTATTTTTTAAAAGGCCTATAAAGAAGAAGCAGATTACGTCTTATTGTTAATAATTCGATGGACTGTGGTATGCGGTATATTAAATTGTTTAGATAATCGGCTAGTGCTTTTACGAGGGTCATTTGCAATACTTCTTAAAGGTTGTATTTCGTTTTGTGCCTTTACTGCATGATTCACACGTCCTCCTTTGTTGCTGACTAGAAATGATCCAGTCTCTCAAGCCCTCCTCTCAACATTAGCAAAGGTCTCCTGGTGTGTAATAAAACGATCAGGAAATCTTCTTTGGTCGGCGTAAATTGTTACAATAGTTCAGATAATTTTCTTTGAATGTTACTTATTTCCTTACTTTTTATTTAAAATCGTGAGTAAATAAAACCATTATTATTTATATCCACTTTATTTCTCTTTATATGACTAGCTTTATTTTCAGATCATATATTCACGCAACACCCTACTACGAGAATCGTAAACACTTTAAAAGTCTATTTACACTGGCAATGAGTATACTAGTAGAGTTTGTGCAATATATTTGTATCGAATGTGTGCGGTGTGGATGAAAATGATATTTTCGCAAGTTTACGGAAGATTCTCAACGGTCAGTCTACGAAAATTATCTGAAAGGGATGATATGTTCAAATCATGATTCATTCAACTTTAACTATGTCCATAATTTCATTTAAGTTCTTTGATCCTTAAAAATCCAAAATAATACTGCAAACCTGACGTATTTAAAAATTATTAATATCTTCAAGATCCACGTCAATTAGAAATTAAAATATCTCCAGTCACACATTTCCATATCAAATATACAAATTGTGATGTGTAAACAACTATTCCCCACAAAAAAAAAGGATTTACATATTTTTCGGAAAAACTTAGTTGGCTACCGCATGGAACGTCCGATTTATAAACTTTTTCCATTGCTATTCTTGTTCCCTTTGTCTAAGACTGGTAACTACGTACATATCCATTTGTCGATAATCGTTCCCGTCTGTGAATCCACAAGAACGGTGAACAATGAAGAGCATAACAAGAACGGTGAAGAAAAATATTTATAAATCGTTCTTAATAAATAAAATCTAAAACATATCACTTATATTCTAAATATGGCAACGTAAACAACACATATAACTTACCAAATAAAAATCATGCCTTAGACAGGTTTGTAACGGCAAATTTTATGTGAAGATTAATAGATGGCGTTGCACATGTGGTTAAACGCCATCTATGGTGCTTTGAGTGAAGATTTTTAAAAGTTCCATACTTTGTATGTATAATACGCCAACGGCATGATTTTTTTTTGGTAAAAATAAGGCATACAGCTAAAATAACTGAGTTTTGGCAAGTAGACTAGTGGCTGTCATGAAAACTAGTATTTTCTAAGATCACGGAACCAGTTTTACAAGTTAATCGAGACGATTTTCAAACATTAAAACATGTTTATGGACATAATTTAAAAAAATATTTGTTCCGGCTTTGTCCTATATTCTGCGACTAGGAAATACTTCCTACCGGGAATAAATTATACTCGTCTTACAATATTTGAGCACAATACATCTAAAAATATTATTTTCCTCACATCAAGGTTTAGTACGCAAAACTAAAAACTGAAAAGTACCAATTAATATAATAAATTCCATTTTTTCTTAAATTATATTGAGAATTTAATTCAGTCAACTGGATTAATTAAAATAATCAATCGTTTCAAAAATGCTCGGCATTGCACATTTAAAAATCTGATCTCAGTATTTCACAAAAAAAACTAATACGTGACAAGTTTGAAGGTTATATTGTGGTGGTCTCGTACTTAGCCGAAGAAGCATCGGCCAGTTCGGGGGGCATTTCAACATGAAACGAAATCCCATACGGCCTTAAATGATATATTAGGTACTCTAAAACGTACATCTGGTTGGGGCTGACATAATGGAAAGAGACCGCGTTGTCGGAGCAACAATCCATACCCTGAAATAAAATCGAGCAATGTATAGTTCGAGTATATCGCCTTAAATTTTCAAAAACAATTTATTTTTGCAGGGCCGGCAGAAGGGGTGAAACAGTGAAGATTTTTAGGTAAGTGTACGGATTTATTAATTAATATTTTTAGTTAAAATATATTTTATAGCCTTATTTAGGCCTCAAGTGTATTAGTCCAATATCATTTTTTAATAGTATTTAACAGTAGTCTCGTGTAGAGAATCTAATTCTGTTAAAATCACACACTATTTCAAGCAAAAATATTGGGGCTTTCCTTATGACGTTTTCTATTTAACAGCCTAGTTTTTACAAGGTGTCAAAGTCAACATTATAATTAAAAAAAAATTTAATAACTAAATAGATACTCCAACTTCTTGTCCACTGTTTACATTATCATTTTTTTGAACTAAAATTTATCATTATATTTAAATTGGAATCGACATTGAATTCCCGCCTACATTTCATCACGGTAGTCCAATCAAATTAGATTTTTACGTGCTAAAATTTAGTTTAGTAAACAAAGACACGTAAAAATTAGGAAAAACTCCGTAGAATTGAATGAACTATACTTTACTCCAGTTGAATGTTAGGGCTCCATTTTCAAAATGGCGTCCAAAGTTTGTAAAAAACAGTTTTTTGTTTAAAAAAAAATGTAACATTTTAGAAAAAAATCTTTTAGACAAAAGTTGTAGAACATTTTATAACAAAAATTTTGAGCAACGCCCAATGTGAATTGATAAACAAATGTATTAATTATTGCAAATAAAGGGCTAAAGATCTCATTATTTTAAAACTTCTTTAAAACAAAAAAAAAGATTTTTTTATGAAACTTTCACAATATGCAGTCCTTAGCAAGTAGATAGTTCATTTTTGTAAAATTGCTAAATATTTTAGTTTTTGTAAAACTTGAGTTTTTAGAAAAAAATACATTTTTTTCAAGTTTCAGAAAATCGTACATTAATGCACTTAAGTGACCAGTCTTGGGCTTAGAATTTTCTTTAATAGTTGTACTTGTACAACTACCTGTACAAATTATCCGAGTATTGCGAAATAATTAGAAATATGCGAATAAGCTATCGGAATTTGACTTCATTTTTTGGGTTGAAAAATGTAGATCTTTACTTATTGTTGAAATTTAATCGGAATGGCATTATTGCCATTTGAAAGCTGACATTTTTTCACGACTCTAAAATAAAATCACCGCGACCTCATTTATTAATATTGTATTAAGGTCTGAAATTTACACATTTTGTAGTTGAATACTGTTGATTCAATATAAAAAACAGTCCACAATGATTGACCCCCTTTTTTTACAGTAACCTTAATTATGTTGGGCCCCGTAAAATGGTTGCTCCGTTCTACACGTTGATGCGCGTGGTGGAGGGAGAAAGACTGTGACGCGACTGTTGTATTTGTCGATCCTACGTAATGAACTCAGCTGAGTGAATCACAATCTTTCTCTCCCCACCACGCGCATCAATGTGTTGAGCAGAGCAAGTATTTTACGGGGCCCAACAAAATTACGTTTATTGTAAAAAAAGGACAAACATTGCAGACTATTTTTTATATTGAAGTAAAAATATTCAACTACAACATGTGTAAATTTCAGACCATAATATTAATAAATAGGTTGTAGCAATTTTTTGAAAAAAAAAAAAATTCTTGGCTCTAGTTGGTCGTAGGACAACAAAAATGTCAGTTTTCAAATGGCAATAATGCCATTCCCATTAAATTTCAACGATAAGAAAAAAATCAACATTTTTCAACCCGAAAAAAGAAGTCAAAATTGCGGCAAATTTTTCGTATATTTTCAATTATTTGGAATACCCGCACAATTTGCAAAGAAACTACAACCCTTATAGAAAATTTTAACCTTAAAATGGGTCACGTAAGTGCATTACTGTATGATTTATTGAAATTTGAAAAAAATGTCTTTTTATTTCAAAAATTCAATTTTTGCAAAAACTATAAAATATTTTGTAATTTTACAAAAATGTAGTTATTCTACTTGCCAAGGACTATATATTCTGAAAGTTTCGTAAAAAAGTATTTTTGCGTGTTTAACTTTTAAAAAAATGCGAATTTTAGCCGTTTTTCTGCAATAACTAATACACTTGTTTATCAATTGACATCGGACTGGGCTCAAAATTTTTCTTATAAAAAGTTTTACAACTTTTGTCCAAAAACATTTTAATTTTTTTTAAAACAAGTGTTTTTTGCAAACTTTAAACGCCATTTTGAAAATGGAGTCCTAACATTCAGCTGGGGTAAAGTAGTGCATTCAATATTACGGCATTTTTAATAATTTTTGTTTATTGAACTAAATTTTGGAAAAAAAACGAGGCATTTTCGACAATTTGACTGGTCTATAGTGAGATATTTGTGTTGGTAATGTGTTGTAGATTTGTATGTACTTAAAAGACTGTTTCTGGTACTGCCATCTATACACAAAGTAACACAACTACAATATTGCAGATTTCTTTTTAACAAAAATTCCTAATTTTACGATTCTTCCTCCGCGAAAGAGGAATTACCGATTCTCTACTTCCACTACAAAGTATGTTATTTATTATATCTAGAAATTTAAATGAGACATGAAAAACAAAAAATTAATTATTCTATTTATTGATTTAAGTGCTTTAGGTCACATTTTAAACTGAATAATCATAATTTCGAACTCGTTGCCTTTTGAATTTTAAATGAAAATTTTATCGGAGATTTTTGGTATACCAGAGTTTTTTACTATAAATATTGGTTTTATTTCTATAAAATGTTTCTTATAAGTTTTATTGGAACATATTTTTAATTTTTTGTTATTTACAACAAATTTGTTCAAACGTCTTTAAACCCTCACGCAGCAAATACCCCGAAGCCGGCCCTGTACTTTCGTACCTACCTCCTTGCTTTCATAGTAAATATACTGCCAGTACCAGAAACTTTTGGCCACGTGACCGGGAATCAGGTGATGTTCGGGAACGAAAGGAAAAAATCGCCCTCTACCCATCGAGTCGCGAGAATCGCCAGCTTTCACCTGAACGGCTTCCATACATTTCCCCATCTCCACATCCTCTGCGCCCGAATTACTTTTCGAACACCCCGTAGAATTCGTCAGGCCGATCTAAGGAAAACATACAAGATATTTCGTCTATTACTTTTATGTAATGACTTACCTCAACGAATCTTTTCAGAGCTTCTTTACTTAAAACGTAACCGGCCCCGCCGCTCATGTACCCCTGCTTCACGTAAGGCTTGAAACGACATCCGAAATATATCGCTTCGCTAGCTTTGTAAGGCATCAGCATGTACCGTAAGTTTTCTAGTATCACATATCTAAAAATTGCTTTGTATTTAGGCTTTATTCGGGCAAACGTTAAGTTGTACGTACGTATCGTCGTCCGCTTTTAAAAACCAGTCCGCTTTGTCGTAGTAGTGCTTGTACACGTACTTAAACGCTTCTTTCGTCTTCACCCAGAGGTTGTTCCTACCTTCGTTCACTGGGAGGGCAACAGCAGGCAGCGCGTCGTCTAAAAATAAGATTGGTTGTTTCCGTGTTTATTTGCGTTATTAATAAAAGTGTAATATGAAAAAAGAATAAAAATATTTCAATACATTCCTTGTTTCATGGATAAAATACCACTACTTTGTGAAATACATGAAATTTGAATCCACAGCTTGCATATGTAAGTTGAGGTTTTAGTTTTTTTAAACGTAATAATACTGTTCGCTAGAATTTTAAACGGAAATAATTTTTTTTAACTCAAAAATAGTCGACTTTCGTTGTTTTTATTGGAGCGCAGCGTATTTTATTAAATAATGTTTGCAATATTAATTACCGCATTGCTTTTAAAGAATTTAAATAAAAAACAAACGTTAAAACTAAATTCAGACGCACCGTTACATAATATCTTACTTCCAATGTCCCATTAACACCTCCGTTTTGCAATAACTGATTATTTGTATGAGTTATGTAACAATTTAAACATTTAAAAACACTCCTTACTTAACAAATAGTGTAAACAAAGGAAAACTCAACTTACCTTCCTTAGAACTCATAAACAGCAATATGTTACACCTCTTCCCCCAGGTCGCTTTCACGTGTTTTGCCCTTTTCTCGTGATTCTTCGGGCCCGTCATGATCCAGCAAAGAACCCTCACTTCGTTATACAATTTTTTAGCCACCGTAGCGTCCTCCATGTTGTGGAACTCTTCGTTTTCCGAATGAGATCCCGGATCAACGGTTGGCCCCGCCATGTATTCCATTTCCCGACTTGAGTGTGGATCGGTAAAAGCTATCATTTCCGGCGACAGTGCTATGTACGCTACCGTAAAGCCCATCGCTAGACCAGTGAATAGAGCTACTAGGAAATGTTTGTTGAGTACTGGCCTAAAATATTATTTTTCAGATATAGTATAATATTTTCCTTTCCCTATCATCTTTCTAATGCATTTATATTACTTATTTCAAGTGATGTTATGCTGTGGGCGTTTTATAATTAATGTGCAAGCTTATTATTAATCCATATGAATGATATTATAGTACCAAATGGCTCACATGCTAAATCAATTTAATTGAAGACACTAACTGAATAAGCGATGATAAATATGATATCCTTAAAGCAGATTAAAATGTAATTTAATACAATATTTTTTCGGAATGTTTACTAATTGTTGCAAAGTAAAACCAAGTATTAGATTATTTTTCATTCGAGTAATCAAAAAGATATAAATATTTCTTGTACCTTGTAGTGGGCCCACTTACCATTTATACATTCTGATAAATCCCATTTCCTCCTATAGGAACAAAATTAAAAATCTAATTGAAGAATTAGCCTAATTTATTTCTCACATTTTCATAGTTTGAATTCTCTGTCATTATTTATTTATATTCGTTTTGATAAGTGCACGAGAAACAACTACAAAAATTGTATCTTTTCTTTTCTAACTGTAGTTCACATACTACATAAAATAACGGCACAAATACAAAAACAAATATAACACAAGCAAAAATAATCACAATCACAGTCGAACTGTCACTTTTTCGTAATATGATTGATGCCAAATGCCAAATGTCACCGGTCACCGGTGATAAGTGGTGGTAGAGAGCCTTCCGCAGCTAAGTGTAATTTTTAAGCGATAGATGGCGGTATAACAATTTGAAACTATTCAGTGCAGCTTGATTGGTCAATCGATACAAGTGAGCGTTCTACTTCACTAAACTAATAATTGATTGGAATTATGTGTTTTTAATAGGAAAATTATCAAAAAATTAAAGGAATTAAAGTCCCTTTCTAGAGGCGATTCCGTATGCATCGTCGCTAAACACGCAGAGATGTCTAGTTTTCATGCAAGAAAAAAATATCTAAAATCTTGAAAATTGGAAGAGCTAGAGAGGAAATGAATGCAGTTTTGGTTTGGTCAGGGACGTTATAATTCAACGGAATATTTTCAGATTTTTCTGAGATCTAAAACTTTATGAGAAAGGCGATGAAAATTGTCAAAAAAATTAGTAGGAAGATTTATTTATAATTGTGTTACTCATTTTTAGTGTATTTACCTATAATTCCTCACAGTCCTGTGCTCGTTAATAAATGTACTTTTCCCTACCAAATTCCAAAAAAATTTGAAAATTTTTTAAAATTTTTATGCACCCAAGTATACATCAGTAGTGTATTGTATGTTGCCTGTCCAACTTAAATGGAACTGGAAGGAAAAAACATAGACCACCAAAAAAATAAAAAATATTGAAAACAGGTGGAGCTAGAGAGGGACTGAATGCAGTTTTGGATTGGTCAGGCCTGTTATAAATCTCCGGAATATTTTTGAGCTCTAAAACTATTTGAGAAAACGATGGACTATAAATAATAGTTCATGGAAATCGTCAAAAATTTAAAGGGCGGTTTTATCTCAACTTTGAGAATATACTGTTTTACGGAGAATATATTGTTGTACGGAGCAGAAGGAAAAGTCGCTTCTTTAATTCGATCACATTGGTTGTATCGAGGAAGAACCGACTTTTTTTGTATAAGGGAAATGTTTTGTCATGGACGTACCTTGAATTTTTGCTTGGGGTGGGCCCAGGGCTGCAAACTCTATGGAGACTCTAAAAAAAAGCTTTCGCAATCAGCTACTTGCCAAATCAAATTTCAAAAACCTGTACATGTTTTGATTTCATTCTAAAAAAAAAGATCACGCAGCTAGCGACTTACCGATATGCCGATATGATAGACAATATATTTGATCTTTTTTCTGGGGTGGGCCTGCTCCCCCATGATTATAATCAATATAAGGTCAAAGAAAAGAGGGTCAAATGTAAAAAATATTAATTCCATAAAATCTAATTCATTTAAATTTAAATGTTTTATAGCCATTATACTATCTTTATACGGGAGGATGTTTAGGTTTGTGTTTCGATTATTCCTTCATAGGATTTTTATTGCTGATATTTGAAAAAACATATTTTATAAAATATTTCCGATTTTGATGAGATTATATTTAGCGATTTGTCTGATTAAAATTAAACATTTACTAAATTTGATTATAAAAGTCACTGCTTGTGAGTCATTGCAGTGATTCTAAGAAAAAAAATCCTATTTTATTCTAAAAACGGACAATTTTTGACTTATTTTTGCTTTTACAACTTACATTTAGTCAGCTACCAAGCACCGGAGGTTTTCCCTGGAATTTTTCCCCGGAGTTTCCCCCCAGAGTTTTCTACCGGACTTTTCACCGGAGTTGCCCCCCGGATTCTTCCTGGAATTTTTACCCGGAGTTTTGCATGAAACAGCTGGTACATATTTGTTTATACTCACAAATAAGTGACTGTCTAACAGCTACTAACATTTGGCTACTTTTTATTAGGTACAGTATTTGTTTTATAATCAAAGCTTCAATGCGTTTAATTCCCGACAATTAGGGAGTGTGTTTAAACTGAAACACGTGTTTTTTATGATTTCTCTTATACAGTCTAAAAATAAATCGTTTCTAAAGAGTTTTTTTTTTTAAACTAATAATTCCACAAAATTTAAATCATAGATAGATTCATAGACAAGATATAGATAGATATTTATTTGACCACTGCTTACATATATTCGTACAAATGTGGAATGACAATTTTCAGTTTAAGTTTGAACTGTAAAACAGTTGGTATTATTATAAAAAAGTGCAATGTATAAATCCTATACACAACTTTAAAACAATTTTAACAAAAATCACAGAGAACATAAAATTATACATGTCTACATACATTCGCACAAAATGTTGAATGTTCTAAAAAAAAGGTCACGCAGTCAGCGACTTATCGATTTGCCGATACGATGGACGATAATATTAGATCTTTTTTCCTTGGGTGGGCCGTGCACACCCCTGTTCCCCCCTAACTACGTCCATGTGTTTTGTTCCATTTCTTTTTATTGTGAATAGTAAATACATAAATTGTATTACTGTTCTATAAATAAAGGAAGATATATTTATGATCGTGTTGTTCATTTTTAATACATTTACTTATAATATTTCAGAGTTCTATTAATAAACGTCCTTTTTCCTATTAAGTTCTAAAAAAATACAAGTAATCAACTATGCAGCCAAGTATACACCGCATTGTATTGTATGTTGCCTACCGAACAAAAATTTGAAAAGGAACGATAAAATCGAAAATCTCGAAAACTCAATGCAGTTTTCGATTGCCGTTATAATTCACTCGAGTTTTTCAGATTTTTGTGAGCTCTATAACTTCATGAGAAAGTCCATGAAACTTTTCAAAAAATTAAAATGCCTTTTTAGAGGTGGTTCCGTACACAACTTGCTGAACACAGTAGAGTCGACTTTAACACGTTATAATTTTAGTTTATTAATAGGCTCAAAAAAAAATAATTTGTGTAATTGTAATACGAAAAAAATCGATGCAAAAATTAATTACATTAAGTTACTTACCAGTTTAGTTTTTAGCATTAATTAATAAAAAAACCTTTTTTTTTATCCTTTAATCAACATGTATAACACAATATATATAAATAGGGGAATAATCTTATTTGATGCTTAGCGATTACATTAAATAATAACAATTTTGTACGAAAATTAAACTACCGAAGCTCTTATAAATCAATACAAAAATATAATTGGTCGTAATACCATCATTTATTGATATACATACAAAATATCTATCGTTACGAAATAGTGGAATATAAATACAGCACGACACGTAATTAAAAAAACGAGATTCTGATTGTCTCCAAACAAAAAATTATGTACACCCTACGAATATATTGCCCTTAAAATATTATCACAAAACAAAAATTAAAGAACTAGTTTGTATAAACGGCACAGACGCGCAGAGATTGCTGTATTAAAATCATTATAAAAAGATTGTAAAAATCCTAATAAGTAGAGTATTCAAATTTAGACGTGATAAATATGGCACACGATTCCAAAACATGATACTTATAGTCGATATAGGAATATAGTAAAGAGTATAGAATGTATATATATAGACTTACACTTAGAAATATAAAAGATAAACTTACGCGATTTTAATATAAAATCACGTCTCCTCACCACCCTCGATCCGAGCGAGTACCTGTAGGTGTACTGCGTGTAGAGAAAGAAAAAATCCGTGTAGGTGTCCTGGCTCGATTTTAAAAAAACAACCAATATCGTAAACCGAAAAATTCAAACAGAAAAAAACAAGAAATTTACATCCCATCAATCTAAAATAGTTTCTAAAAGTGTCAACATAAAAAAATCGGGGCGGGGGCGAAGGAAAACAAATTTGTATATTGCTTGTTCCTTTAAAACAAATCGGAATTCGGCAGTCTATCATTAAGAGATCAAATTTCAGTCCGCGACTACCGTAAACAATTATGGAACCCTTCCGACAATCGAAAAGTGACACTTTAGGAAAGTATAGATAGCGTTATTAGGACTAGCTTCAATGGAGATTAGGTCGGGGTGATCAAGTGACGGCCTTCTCGTAAGAAGGCGGGGGAGAGTCCCTTATAACTTGGATGGCGTCCAGGTCGGCGGTCGGGGACAACATGACGGCTATGTGGTAGGGGGGAGGCGGCATCTCCGACGAGTTCTGCGGCATGGCCGGTGTTGGCACTTGGTTGTGTGTCTCCTCGATTTCCTGCTGCAAAAGTAAGGTCTGCTCGCGTTATCGGAAAGATATAAGGTTTTGTTAGGCGTTTTCTAAACCGTATCAAGTATTTCTTTGTTAAGAACCTGAAATCGTGGAAAGTATATTTACCTGCTCGGGCGTAGCCATGTTAGGGGCGTCTATTGGTGTGTGCGTTGGAGAATACGACGTAATGGCCTCGCATAACGAAATCAAACCACCTATGATAAGTACTATCACCAAGAGGGAACAGAACACCAAAGCTTCGACACCTATGTTTATCTAGAACGGAGAAAGTATCATTATAGGTTTAATTTAAGATTAAAATCTCCAAACAACAACTTCCCTAGCTTGTACTTACCCCGTGGAAATAATATTTTGCTCCCGCTAAAAAGAATGTCACTACGGCGAAGAATATCCACACTCCGCATTTCAGTTTGGACTTCGGAGAGTTGTTGTTGCGAGCCGTCGGGGTGTGGCCCGGCGCTATCATTTCCAGAGACCTTCCCATGTGAGGCATCCGGATGTTACTGCTGGACCCACTGAAATTCCAGAAGTGTAACTTGACCGTCGCACAAATTTTTTTTTATATTTTAACAAGATACGGTATATTCTAGAGATGTATGTGTCCTACGAAAAGTTATAAAATTTTCACCTATTATGTTTACAAGTTATCAATTTTTATTGCCTGTTTTTTCACCTATAACAACGGAATAGGTTTATTATGTTTACTTTCCATTTAGGAAAGTTACTCGTATGCAAAGATACACATAATTAAAAAATCCAAAGCTTATAAATAATTACGAAATTGAGAGCAAGGCACGAGCTACGATATCAGACTACTTACTTGTAGTGTACGGTGGGTGGCACTTGTGAATGTATCCTGGGGTGGTACCCGGGTGACCTAGCGTAGCGTAGCCGGTTGTTAGTCGCACTCTCAATGGACTGGAATCTGTGAACTGGAGTGACCATCGGTTCTGGATAGAGACTACCACACAGGATCCTCTGATTACGCCCGTACCCTTAAAACCAACAAGAACACTGTCAAGTACTGAAAAACTGTTATCCCCTGCTGTTAATGAGAATGAGGTATGGAGGAAACTGATATTTCTACAAAGTTTAAGGAATCCTGAATGTTTATACCAGAGAGCGACGGTGGCACCTGACGACGAACATTAAACCCACATCCTTGGCTGCGTTTATCAATCCAAAAATGCATGTGTATGCAATGCATGTATTTCAGCTAAATCAGAGCACAACCCCTACAATTAGTTCCATATTTGCTCCACCACGAGTACTGATAAATTCTCATTACATTACAATTGTCCACAATCAATAACAGAACCTAAAATTGAAATCATAACCAAAAAAAGATGTTTAGGCAATTTATATTCTAAACAACAACTTACGTGTTTAAGGAAATAATCGTGTTGATTAACATTACTGATATGAAAGAAAACAGGATTCTAAAGGTAAAGTAAATGTTTTGTATACATCTTGCTCCTGCAGTCATTCAAAAGTTTTTTTTTGTGGTATTGATATTTGTCGAAAAACAGAAAAACTTTTCAAACCAAACCTTCTTCGAACTGCTGGATTGTAGATTTGTGTTATTGGTTTTCTGCCCCGTCATAGCAGTGCAACTTAAAAGCCAATGGCCCTGCCGTCTACAGTTCTGCCACACTGCATATTAATCAAAAAAAGGACACTAAAGAACAATAAATTTTAGTGGCAAATTCAAATTTCAATGCAGGGAGACTTTTCAATGTCGCCATCGCCATTCCACGAAAGAGCGTGTTGTACAAAGACGATAAGTTTTACTCCTGGGCATTTCCAAGGTAACGGCTGATGTTCAATAATAATACTCAAACTATGTCGGGGACATTTAGACCTATTTTTCTTGTTGTTGATTTTTCATTTTAAGTAGGACGAATTATTTGTAGATCATATTGAAATCCTGTAGCTAGATTAGTGTCAGCGTCACTAGGCCAGTAGGCATTGAGTATTAATGACATTTAAAATATGACACCTACTTTGTTTATAGGTTACATATTACATAGTTTATTTTATTAATAATCTAAAATAAAAAAAATTGTTGCAGAATTGTGGAAATATACTTTTATTCAAGAAACATTTACAACTATACACACGTAAAATAACCTAGGTTTAAATATTCTTAACATAAGTGAACAGTTTTTTACTTCTATTCAGGTAAATTTTTTGTCCTGGACTTTTTTCCAACAAACATACTTAATAAATAATTTGTCTCTTCTCTAAGTAAATTTCTTTCAACCAGAATGTCCTTTATTTCCAAAAACTCCTTACTATTCGACTCATAAATATTCAACAACCTCTCGGTCAGCACTGCATAATCCTCACGTTTTAGATAATGGTTTTTCCTTACGCTTTCCACTATTATGCTTCCGATGGTACTTTGATTATCTTGCTCGTCAAATAAGCTTTCCTCAATCGCATCCTTCGTGTTATAAATGTAACTCATATCACTGTAGTACGGCCATTTTTCGGGATGTTCTGTGTTCTTTATCAGTTCGTATCTGCAGGATAAATCGTTCCATTCGTTAGAAATCTCTTGTCGTGTGACATTGTAGCCCAGTTTCTGGAACTCCTCTAAACCCTCGTTTAAAATATCTTCGTCCAGACTTCCATTAAGACTTTGTATTTTTGTTTTATGCCTTTTAAAACACTGTAACAAAATGTCATGCATTACAATAGTGAACGGTACAGTAGTACCGCCAAGCACGCTGTCTGTTGCAGTTTCTTTAGGCAACACATCGATATGTAATTTGGATGGAACTTCAGAGTCAATCTTCCGTTTTTTCGTTTCTGTAATCTGTTCCATAACGGATTCTATAGCACAAGCAAGTTCGTTTTCGCTTACATTTGCTGCTGGATTAAATTCCTCTGAACGATCAACCGATTCTTCTGGTTCAAAGAATGCTTTCAATGCTGCAAAGTACGCATGGTTTTTCGCAAGCGACTTATAGTACCCAGTCTTTTGATTTTGTCTGTAAAACCTTTTCAGAGATACCCACTGATTATATATATCTTTCTGAGTGATGCCGTAATTCTGTGCTCTTTGAAAGTCATCTTCTACCTCTTCCAATACGTCCATGGTGAGTCCTTGTTTTAAGATTATCGTTTTGTATCTACTTAAGGATTCGATCAAGAAGAACATCCATCTGGATTCTTTGAATTTTTCAGAGGTAGGTTGCTTAAAGTCATCAAAACAATTATCCATTAAACTGAAATAAGTCCATTCTGCTTTGGCTTCCTCATCTGTGTACTTTTCCTTGTAATACTGATAATTATCTAAGAGGTGTTTCCAGGTATACAGTATTCTCTTTCGAGGGTAATTGTAGTCCCTGTTTTTGAATTCCTTGCGAACGTTGTCAAGAAATCTTTCTAGATTTACGGGTCTGCTTCTACTCTTTATTTTTTTAATTAGATACATATTTATTAATAATCGTACTGCGTTATAATCATCGATTATTTCCATGTCAAGGTCTTTAGAGGATGCCATAGCTTTACCTGAAAATATTTCCTTTTTTAGCAATGAGAACATGGATTCCTATTCTCTATAAACGTAAAACACTCCCCTTATAATGGGCCCTTTACGTTACCCAGTTTTAAAAGTATACATAGTCAGTCTGAAATGTACTTACCGCTACAAAGGCGTAATCGCAAAATTTGATTTTGCCTTTAATAGAGCTGATAATCTTAATTCAAACAAATGTGTTTGTGATCAAATTTTAAAAGATAAGACATAACATTTACAAATAAAGGTTCTTCGTCAATTTCTAAAAGTATTTGCTTTAAAAATTTTTAGTTAAATAGTTAATAATTACCTAATATAGTCTGTGATTACCTAACTAAACTTCTCAACTGATATTTTCCTCCAATTTCCAATCATAAACTTAAACCTAACCTAAACACGAAACCCTAAGTTTTATACAGAGAATGCTCACTTTTCTACTTTTGACAGGTCGGTGCTTTAGTACAGGAACGCGTAGTAAGGTGCGCTGATGTAAGTTTTAATAAACAAAATTAAAAATCGTGCGTTCTCACAGTAATACTCTCTAGCTTAGTCAATATGAATATGAGTAATCACAGAAAACAACTTAACCTTAACTTATCTAATTCAAGCTTGATAATTTGAAACTAGTTACGATTGGTTAATTTTAAATATTCCACAAGACTTTTGGTTATTTTTTTAAATCAATTTGTAATCGTGGTGCACAAAGATGTTCCTGTGGGTTGAAAACACAGTCAAGACAAGAATCCAAAGCTGCAACTATGGTGTAGGATTTACCTAACTATAAAATATCCAGAAAAACTATAATATCTACTTTTCACTTATATATTTAATTTTACTAAACTGAAGAAAACAATTTTATATTGTGGTACCAATGCCAGTTTACAGTAGTATGACCATATACGGAACAAATAGGACCAAATAAACTATTTTGTTGATTTAAATTAAAGATATATTCTAAAAATTAAAATGTTTACTGTCTACAGTTAAATAAAAAATGTCATTCTCAAAATAAATATATTTACATAAAAAACTTATATCAATAATCAGGATAATTTAACTTTATAAAATCTACCTCATAAGCTTAGCTATAGTTTACTATTATGTCACTATACAAAAAAAAAATTATGACAAATTTAATTATTTACCAATAACTTTCTAGAACACATAGATAAAAAATTACTCTTGCATCAAGATTAATTTAAATACGATTACTCATATTTCTGGTAGATCACACGACTTCAGATTCATCACATCAGTACAGACCGTACGATATTTGTTAAGATAGAATTCCAAGGAAACCTTTGCGCCCCTTTCTTGGAATAAACCACATTCGACACCCCAGGTAGAAAGACATTGAAACTGCTACAGTGGAGACAACAGAACTGTGTTGGCTGACTCTTTCTTGGAATTCTATCTCATCAAATATTGTACATATTTACACTTTTTATCATTACACTGAACCTGATACAACAAGATATTTTCAGTTTTATAATACACTGTACAAATATAACTATTGCTTTTCTAGCATAAGACGCAAGAGTCTGTTTGTTTCCCGCTGCAATAAATTGTTTTGTTTCATTAAATTTTTTATCTCGATAAATTCCTGATTGTTCTGTTCCTGGAAATCTATAACGGTGGCTAACAAATTGTCTTTCAAACCATCGTCATCCCCTATCGCCTCAGACATGACACTTTCATTGTCGAATTCCTCGCTTTTTACATTTACTCCCAGTAATTTAGAATCAAGGTTAAACGGTTGTGGTGGTACTGCAACATTGACGTCTGTGGACTTACTCGCTACATTGTCACTATTGACCGTGCTGTTTGCCGGTTTGATCACTTGTGACACATACTTAAATCCCTCAGGTACCTTTTTCACCGCATCACTTCCCTCGGGTGTGGTTTTCGTAACATTTACTTTCCTTAAAATATTTTTAGCTCTAAAGTTTTCGGGCTTTAGTTTAGCTATCTTGTTTAACTCGCGGGGCGAGATAAAAATTTCTTTCAGCTTCCCCCCCGACCTTACGGGCAGCCTCACCTTACTAGTATTCATTGGGGGTTTCACCATGTGTGGTAGAGTGTTACTTTCTGGAGGCTTTTCTAATACCTTCGGTTTAGTCAGGGCCTCGGTTTTCTTCCCAATAGTTGAAGGCCTACGAAATATAACCTCTTCAGGTGTTGTCTGTGTATGAAACGGCTTATTTTTAATGTCCACATCACTATTTTCATTTGCTTCGGTTGTATATACTGTTATATTTTCACCCACAGTACATATATCGTTGAGTTCATTAGTTTCGATCAGTACGTCTTTATTTAAATTGGTGTTAACTTCTGTAGCTTCTTCGTTTTCTGTTAGAATCATCTCGGAATTACAAGAACTGGCACTGTTAATAGAAACCGATGCTGTTTCACTACTATTATTATGTACATCGTCAGTCTCAGGACAATTCACTTCCAAAGGTACTAAGTTTTTCTTTTTACTAAGAATAATCGTTTTATTTTTAGGGCTAATTGGTTTAAAAAAGTCCTTGGACGTCTGGGGAAGTGTAGGCTGTTTATCATTTATATTCGTCCTCTTTTCAGCTTCCTTGTTATTTGTGCTTGGGCTGGTCAAGTTGCTATTCCCGTCAGTTTTTAAATTAACCTCGCTTGGTACACTTTCCTTTAAAAGATTATTGCTACCGTCTACTTTTATCACGAGTAATAGCACAGGTGGCTGCGTCACTGCGCTCGGAGCACTGTAACTCTGTAATGACATATTGTCTTCTTGCCTCTCTTCTTTAGGTACGATGAGGCATTGTTGGCCCAGCCCGCCGTACATATTCTGGTAATTGTTAAGTTCTTCGGGTCCGCGGAAATTGGTGGATACCTCATTGTCCGATTTGCTACTTTCTTTATTAATTCGCTCCATTATTTCCAGCATTTCCCCTTCAGTGAGACGTTTATCTTCACTAGGATCTGTTAGCAGCGTTTGAGTACTACTTTTTGTTGGGGGGAATCCGAGGAAACCGTTTCTAATTTCATTCGAATTTGCAGAGTATTTCTCGATGTTGTCGCCTTCCACTCGTAACCTCTTTTTGAGTGGTAAGAATTCATTATCAGAAAATTGTTTTGTAATCGATGGTAAGTTGATTGTTAGGTTCCCACTGCTTCTATCGATATCGGAGTGGTCTATATTTATTATATGGACTTTGCTTGTAGGGCTGCTCAAGTCCGTGCTGTCCCTTTTTTCTTGATTTACATCAAAAGACAACTTTAAATGTGAACTAGGGGATGGTTCAGTTTTTGCCACTAAAATTTCACTCGATTGATCTTTGCTTTCTTGTTTTTTCATCACTTGTTCTGCTTGTTGATTTCCTTGAACTTTTAATTTTTTACGTGATTTACTCCTTCTACGTTCTTCACTAGACCTTTTCGTCTTTTTTTTGCCCAAACTCATCCTTTCGTCATCATTTGCTTTCGACTTATAGTACAGTGAAACTTTTTCTAGTTGTACCACTAGATTTGGTTCAACCGATTTGTTTTTAAAAATTTCCGGGCCTGCTGATTTGGATCTTTGTCTAAAACGTCTGACTTTACCGTCACTTTGATCATGAATTTTTTTATTCATCCTACCCCAAGGGAATAAGAAATCATTCCTGAAGTGATTTTTCATCGCATCGAAATAAATCCAAGAAGTGTCGCTCTTTCCTCTAACTACCAAGAATTTGTATACGTTCATGAGAGTTCTCCACTTCTCTTTTATGCTGTCTTTAGTGAAATAAAATCCCAAGTCCTTGAATTCGGATTGAATTTCGCTTAAAACTTGGTCACTGTCATAGCCGTGTATCACGCAGGTAATTTTTTTCTCAGTAAAACGTTCTATAAGGATCTCCGTTAATTCTCTGGTAAATGTCATATTCACAATATGTCTTCCTTCTTCATCGTGATATCCTAACAGAGCCTGTAGATATGGCCACTTCTTTAAGCTTTCGGGGTCATTTTTCAACTTCTCATACTTCAAATTTAAACCCCTCCATTTGTTTTCAATATCCTGTTTGGTTATGTATAAGTAACCATAATGTAAAAATTCTTTGTGAATTTCGCTTACTATGCTACTTTGCTTCTGGGTCTTTTTAAGAGCTTTCCGTTTCAAAAAGCACTCTATCAGGAACCACACCATTTCCTCCGAAAATTTAGGGTATACTCCGCAGTGAAAATCTGATTGCTCATAGCAACTGTCGAGAATTTCATAATATTTCCAACTCTCTTTCTCTTCACCTGTACCTTTAGTCTTCAAATTCAGATATTTCGACACTAAATTCTTCCAAGTATTTTTAATTTCCTCGTCACTGTAGTCCTTGAACCCAGCTTCCCTGCATTGCTTTATCATTTGGTCTATGAAAACTCTTTCAACCAACTGCTTAGTTTTTAGTACTTGTTTCATGTTTATGTAGAAAAGTATGAGACACTCCACTGCTGATGAATTTTCTTCCATGACTCACTACACTATTTTCTTTATTCTGTTTACGAATTATTAAGAAAATTGAGAAAAGTCAATTTCTCTGACTGTCTAATCGGCATTAAAATGAAGTTAGATAGTTTTACGAATTTTTCGTCTTTTGGATTATTTTCAGACTACCTACAAATTAAGCGATGATCAGAAGAAGAAGTAGAGGCACGTGGAAGAACATTTGAAAGGTTATGTTTTCGTATCAACCATAGACCTAGTAAACTATAGACGGGCCCTAGAAAGAGAGGTCAATCGTGTTGATGTGTGCAAGGCAGATGAAGCTAGTGCAGGCAAATACCGGTAAAACAAATCATTTTACACGGGTATACCGATACAAAAACACCTACCCAGGAGTAAAAGTCATGGAAAAGATTTCTTAAATTTTTGTGTGTGATTTAGTGTATGTGAAATATTTGTTAAAATATGGTGCAATCGTGTTCAGCGATCAATTGCGTAAAGGGACGTTTAAGTGGAGAAAAAATAAATTTTCATAGAAAAGAGGTTATGATGGTATCAACATGTATATACTTTTCGTATTTTTCTGAAAAAAATGAACAAGTAGAGTTGCCTCTGATGATAACAAGTTTGTATTTCCCCCATCCTCAAAATAAAATGTCATTTTAACGTCAAAATTTTGCCCCCTTAAATGCATATACTATTAAATCTATGCTTAAATGTCACTCTTCAAATTATTTTTAATCGTCAAACTAAATATGTACATATAAATAAACAGTTTCAGCTGAGTTGTGCTTATAACATGCTTCAGCCAAACTTTTCTTTAAATAATATGTTCTAAAAGAAAGCTTCGATATAGTTTTCAGAAGAGCTTGTGGTAATTTTAATTGATCGAGCTGACGATATGAGGAAAATAAATGGAGAAATACATAAAGAAGGCATTATAAAAACTATCTGGCAAATTGTAGCTATGAATATTTTTTAAATAAAATAAAATGTCTTTGACTTTTCAAACGGGAATACGGCTAAACAGAAAAAATGGGTAAGGAATCGAGTATAGAATTAAATGTAGCGCGCTACAGCCGAAGTTCTGTGAACGAAGTATAAGCCCGCACTAGGTCTACCTCTCTCGCACACGTCTGTGCGATTGCCGTTTATATAGGCAAAATGACAGCTTGGTAGTCCAGTACTTTATAAAGTCTATGGTAACAATTAACTATCATACATAACCTAAACAAAATATTTGTATTGTGTATGTCTTTCTGCATTGTAGTGGTATTTAATGTATTTTTAGATCATGAATACGATGGACGACCAAGAAATGCACCCTGAAAATATAAACTCCGAGGAAACCTCAACCGAAGAAAACCCCTATGCTTATCTCGATCGACAATTTTCTTCTGAAAATTTTAAAATAGAAGTGAAAAATTTACCAAAATTTTATGGAATCAATGTATGCAGTGGTTTACGTTTTGATACAGTTCATTTATTAAATGATTTGTTTTAGGAATTTCGAAAATTGTTGAACCAGAAATTAAAACTCAATTCCAACAAAATAAAAACCGTAAAACGAAATAGCCCCTACGCTTTTGTTTGCTTTAGAAATAACGAAGACAGAGATAATGCCTTGAAGGCACTGTCCAATTACAAGTGGAAAGGAAAATTATTGGAAGTGATAGTAAGATTTTACACACAATCTGTGAAATGAACTTCAATAAATTTAATTCCAGAAAGCGAAACCAGCACCTGATCCGTTAGTTAAGAAAAGGAAGGAAGAAGCAGAGGACAGTGGAGTAAACAAAAAATCAAAAACAGATGTAGCATCAAAGGACAAATTGAAATCTTCAACAACTCCATATTGGAACGTAGAATATAACGAACAGGTACATATTAAATAATATATTTGGGGAACACTGTCTGTATTTAAATTTTAGCTACGACTGAAACAAGAAGATATTAAAACGGTGTTAAAAAGATTAGGGAGTGACTTAGTGCACCATAATCCTGAATTGAGAAAATGGATAGATAAACAAAGGTCTGCGTATAACGGATTACCTTGCAATTTACGGGACATAAGATTTGTGAAAGAAATTGACGGGTGTGTAGGTCGTGATAAACAATATTTCAACTTTTCTTGAAAAAGGCATTTCTTTTATAGGTATCGAAATAAATGTGAATTTTCGGTAGGAATTGATGAAGAAACCAATCTGCCTACTGTTGGGTTTAGAATAGGGAGTTACGTAAATGGTACGACGGGAGTAGCACCAGTCGAGGACTTATTGCACATTCCAGATTCCATGAAAATCGCAGTGAAGGTGATTATTCTCAAGTTTTAAAGAATTTTGTGACAAGTGGGTGAGATATAACCTACAAAGTTTGTCATAACTCATTGCTGGTCAATGCCTACTGGACTGGCGCAAAACTTACTTTGTACCTACTAACAAAAGTGACTACCAATCTGTAGATAATAAAGCACGTCTTATTTTTTAACCGATAATATTGGCGGAATTTATATTTCTCATTTTTTAAGTAAAAAAATACTTCACTTTGTACTAAAACAAGAGGTGCTCACATAGTATCCACAGATTAGTACGTCTCTTTTGCCAGTAGGCGCAAAGTTTTGTGCCAGCAGGCATTGAAGATCAGTGACAGTTAAGATACAACATCCAAAATGTGCCGGTGGATCCACAGCTAAAATTGGAGTTTGAAACAGGTCTATGTTGTGCCGATGAATGATATTAGCCGTTTACTAGACATTTGGGTGTCTTCAATTCTATTTATAACATTTTTTAAGGTTTTTCAAGACTATGTGAGGGCCTCCAATTTAAAAGTGTTCAGTCCCGAATTCCAAACAGGACACTTTAGACAACTTATGGCCCGTTCAGCTTCGGGTCAATTAATGCTAGTCGTCGGTATTCATCCTCAAAATTTAAACGATGATGAAGTAACGGGTTTTAAAAAGAGCCTGGTTGATTTCTTTTCAGTGGGAGACGGGAAGAAAGCTAACGTTACTTCTCTGTACTATCAGAAATTAGTCAAAAAGTAAGCTGAACAATAATTGTTGTTTATATTATTAAAAAAATACAATTTGTACAGGAATCATAACAACGACTTTATACCAGCAGAACATCTGTGGGGCGATACTCACATTTACGAAACGATCTTGGGTTTGAAATTTAGAATATCGCCGGAGGCTTTCTTTCAGATAAATACGAAGGGAGCCGAGGCTTTATACAACACAGCCATAGAATTGGCCGCACCTACTGGTAATTCTACCATTTTAGATGTGTGTTGCGGAACTGGGACTATCGGATTGTGCTTTGCCAAGGTGAGTTGCCTCTGATAACAAAAAAAGAAAAAAAATTACACTACAAATTTGATCTCAGAGTTAAACGTAGAAATAGAAATGCTGTTTGCTGTCGTTGTAACTGTTTTTTTAGCAATGCACTCAAGTTCTTGGATTGGAGGTAGTACCTCAAGCAATCGTTGACGCCAAAGAGAACGCTACGATCAACGACATAGTCAACGCTGAATTCTTCACTGGAAAAGCAGAAGAAATTTTAGGTTCCGTCTGCTTCAAGGCCACAAACAATGAAGTCGTGGCTATCGTGGACCCGCCAAGAGCTGGCTTGCGTAAGTGGATTCTTTATAAAACACCTTTTACGATTATAACGGCACTTTCTTTAGATCAAAAAGCGATCCTTCAAATTAGAAAGATATCCAAGATCAGCAAGGTGATATATATCGCTTGCAACCCGGCATTAGCTTTAAAAAATTTCGTGGACCTGGGCAGACCCGAGTCGAAAACAGTACACGGTGAACCTTTCGTACCCGTGAAAGCGGTGCCCGTGGATATGTTTCCCTACACGAAGCACTGCGAGTTGGTGGTTTGTTTCGAGAGATGGGATAAGGTGTCGAAGGAGCAAAAGGTCGAGGAAACTAACGAAGAACAGGGAGCTGGAGAAGAAGCAGTAGTAAAAGATTCATAGATGGAATTTTTTGTTGACTTTTTCCTTCAATAAAAATAAAATTTAAAAAAATGTGGTTTTAATTAATATAATAATTTGACATACCTTATATTACTGTTCAAAATTTTGTCCATCGACGTGTAAACACATTTGTGCCCGTCGTACCCAGTTTCTACGAACTAACACAAATGTTGTGTCGTTTCACCATAAATTAAAACGATATTCATCAACTCCTAGTTGCTATACACGTAAGCCATTTTTGGCACTTGAAAAACTAATGTAAACACTATCGCAAAAATGTAAATACATACCGAAATCGGATTTCAGTATTCGGAATCGCCCGGGGCTATGTAGAAAGAGAGCGAATTGGGTACAGCATACAAAGCGAATGCCCAACGACGGTTTTTAAATACTACAACCTCAATAATTTTTTTCTCGGAAACTATAAGGATATAAAAATTTTTTACCATACTCACTCCATTTTTCATGACGCATCTATTCGCAAATTTTTTTGGATAAGTTGTGGATCACCCTGTATAGGAAAAAAAATTAAGGGAAGAGAGTAAGGGAAAGAAAAATGGGCTAGTGTATAATTATTTTATTTACCCTAGTCCCTTAATAATTTACATTGACTGTAGATCAGAATGTATAAGTAAACATCGAAATTGGGACGCCTAGCCGGAAACGGCCCGATTTTCAGGCTGAGACGTCGAATTTCGACAGAATTTGTAAATTGACTAGAGTTAAAGAAACATTTTTAGGAATGCATTTTTAACATATATACACAGTTTAACAAGGAATAATCCACCTCGAAAACCAAATAGTTATATTTACATACAATATATACAAATAGTCATTGGCAAAGAAGGTCTAGCTATATTCAGATGTTAAAAGATTAAAAAAAAATACATCTTATAATAAATAACTCGGGGTTTCTCTCATATAAAAATAACAATAAATAAGAATACAACAGTTATGTGGGAATCGCGTGTAAAGTCGTCCGTGAAGAAAATCAACAAATCCCTTTGGAGGAAAGAACTTAAGAACTGACACTAAATAATCGTTACGTTACATAAATATTCATATATGTACAGACTCCATAATTTTCAAGCTCAAAAATGACTATATTGCCAATTTATTCTGAAATACAAATAACAACTCTGAAATTTCACAAAAGATCAGTAATAGTGCAAATCTTAAATTTTATAAGTGAGAAACGAATTTGCCGCCCCCCTTCCCGCCGGCGTGTTTCTATGAGCCCTAATTTCTGCCTTCGTGTGCGGCCGACGGAATGGACGACGCGATTTTTTTTTTCTATTCTATCTACAACAACCGGGACGAACATTAAGACAAGTAAAAATTGAAAATTGATATATCCTGTCCCTCGCTCAGACGCACTCGTCATATAAAAATAACCATTGAGGTACAAAAATACGTTATATTTAAAGTCACACGTATATTTTTGTACCGTCAGCGTTAGCTCTGAAACGATAATCTGAGAAGTACTATTCACGAAACAATCACAGTAAGAGGAATACTGGAAATCAACGTGTCGGATTAGAATATGCTCTGGTACACGTTCCTGAAAGCCTTGAGAACAGCGGGATATGTACCAACGATAAAAAGACGATTTCATTTAAAAAAACCCTACTTGCTTACAACAGAGAGCCTACAACTGTCATAATTCATGTGAGTAGTCATACGAATTTACACTGTAATCACCTTATACCTTTGTACGTTACTTTGAGTGGGCGACTGTCACACGGTTTAAGCGAACCCCGTCCGGGACATGCAAAATTATTTTTTCTGGAAAATTACCTTGAACGGGTAAAGTTAGACACTTAATCAATAAGTGATTATGAAATAAATTCTTTTGTTTAAATCAAATAGTTATAATTGATTTTTTAAACTGCACTTAAATTCTTGTCTACGCCGTCACAGGGCAGTTTCCAAACTTGGTTGTATGTGCATTCTTATCATTTGCTTTATTTTTAATTGCAAGCAAAACTGGTTCATGTTTTAACGTTAGCCTAATACCGATCCACCTGATGAGATATGACAAGGACAAGTTAGTGTAACCTCAAATAATGGCGTGCTTTAGTCCAATTCCACACCATTCGCCAAAAGTTACTATTGTTGAGTGGGTGTTCGCCACACAAACAGTACTTAACACGTAACCTAGCAAAAAACTCGAGCAGTAATCAATAATGATAAATGAAATACACAAAAATAAATAGTCTGTTGATGGCTTCCAGCGATGAAAAACATTCAAATTCACAGTTAGATGTAATGTCTCCAAATGCGGAACAACTGGTGCCCTTCACTTCGTCACCGTTGACCCGCACTGTCTCCCTTCACATGCATTGTAGGTTGCCTACAATTCATGTATTTGTAATACATGATTACGGTGACGGCGTATACAAGTATTAAAGTGCATTTTAAAAAACTAAAACTAATAAATTATGAGCGCTGTTTTTTTTTAATGTGATGCTGACTTTCTGTAATGTTTACAAATACTTTTCAATAATACCGAGATTCAGTCGTATAATCATGTGATCATGTTTCAAAAAATTCAAAATCTCGTGTTATCGCACCTACTTCAGACGTGTTTAAAGTTATGGCAGATTTGTACAAAAACTGTGATGAAATTAAAAAAACGTACGTCGTTTAAAAAAAATCAAACATTCGTGAACGTCAACGTTATAAAACATTCCGTTCCTTCTAGAAGACACTCCGACACGAGTTCGCCGTTAAACGATGTGATATTCACGTTTTATAATAGGCAAAGCGTATTTTTTTTATTAAAAAGACACCTAGAATTATTTAGAATACAGATTCTGCAGATCTGGAAAGATGGATAGGATGCGACGGGCTACGAGCCAGCCGTTTCTTCGGCAGCTTGTCCAGGATGTTGAGTAGCCTGATGAAGTCGGGTCGGTCGCCCGGACGGAATGACCAGCATAACATTAAAATATCCTAGAAGGCGAAACATGTATTTTTTTCCATAATGAACATTTTAAGGTTTAAACGGGACTAGTTATATTTATCAAAAAGTGGAAAATAACATTTTTTTTTCCTACCTTAACATCCCTGGATGCCTGCAGGTTGGCAAGGGGCTGCTTCATGCCTTTCCCCACTTGCCATATGATCGCTTCGGGTGGTTGACCCTTGAAAGGCCATTCGCCGCATAACAGTTCGTACCATACAGTGCTAAAATAATAATTAAAAAAAATTATAATTTACAATGGAAAACAAAAATAGTAGTGTTGAAACACATTTTCTGAAACAATTTTAACTTTTTGGTTTTGATTTGTAAACATCTTTAACAATAATTCTTTGAAAAACCACAAATAAAAAACTTTCAAATAATTATATAATCAATAAATTTAATCTTTTAAAGGGAATGCTGTATATAATCGAAAAAATTTAAGGTGACCGTTAACGACAAAATAATTTTAGTGGGTTATGTTAATAATCTGATGGAGTAGTTCAAACGTACTTAGTCTTAGTTGCAGATTGTAGCAGACATCTGTTATACAGACGTTACATTTTAAAACCCTATTTCATGCTGTGAAATTATAAAAGGAAGACATATTCGATATATGACGAAAAGAATTTTCACGGAAAATTATGAAATAACAATATATTTGTAATAATCTGTGAATTTTCATAGGTTTTAACTAAGAAATAGATTAATTTGAGGTTAAGAAATATAGAAATTTTAATGTTCCCCAACTTAATATTACCAACAATCTGCTAGTAAAACTGAGATATTTGAACTACTCTATCAGATTTTCAACATAACTCGTTAAAATTACTTTATCAATAAGTCACCACAAATTTCATAATTCATAATTAATATTTAACGGATTTATTAGAGATTAGAGTTTTAACAATAATTTGTTTTATTTCTTTGAAAAACCACAAATAAAAAAGTTTCAAACAATTACATAATCAATAAATTTAATATTTTAAAGAAAATTCTGTATATAATCGTCAAAATTTGAGGTGACCGTTAACGACAAAATAATTTTAGTGGGTTATGTTAATAATCTGATGGAGTAGTTCAAACGTACTTAGTTTTAGTTGCAAATTGTAGCAGACATCTGTTATACAGACGTTACATTTTAAACCCTATTTCATGTTGCTAAATTATAAAAGGAAGACATACTCGATATATGATGAAAATAACCTTCACAGAAAATTACGAAATAACAATATATTTGTAATAATTTGCGAAACTTCATAAGTTTTAACTAAGAAATAGATTAATTTGAAGTTATAAATATAGAAATTTTAATGTTCCCCGACTTATTACCAACAATCTGCTACTAAAACTGAGACATTTTAACTACTCCATCAGATTTTTAACAACCCGCTAAAATTACTATATCGATAAGTCGCCACAAATTTCATATTTCCTAATTAATATTTAACGGATTTATTAAAGATTAGAGTTTTAACAATAATTCGTTTAATTCCTTGAAAAACCACATAAAAAAATTTCAAACAATTACATAGTCAACAAATTTAACTAAGAAATAGATTTATTTGGAGTTAAAAAAATAGAAATTTTAATGTTCCCCGACTTAATAATACCAACAATCTGCGACTAAAACTGAGACGTTTGAACTACTCCATCAGATTTTTAACATAATTGGCAAAAATTATTTTGTTAATAACACTCACCACAAATTTCAGAATTAAAATTTAACGGATCTATTAAAGAACTAAAATTTTAACAGACATTTGAATCTTAAAGGTGAGACACAGAATTGGCCGTTTAAAGCGTTAGAATTATAATGGATAACGATTTGTATCATTATTTATGTTTCTATTTTTTTTTTGCTCGTAGTTTTGGTACACGCTGTATATTTTCCAAGTAGGTCACACTGTAACAAGATGACGAAAATTGTAGAGCTACTTACCCAAAAGCGTAAACATCGGAGGCCTTGGAAAAAGGCAGCTCCTCATCGTGGGGTTGGTGCGCGTGGAGACTTCTCATAATTTCAGGGGCAAGATAACACAGCCAGCCAGGGGGAATCCCCAAACTGTCCAATTTCCTACAGAAAAACAATAAGTTTTACACATCTTTCCGAATTCAAAATAAGAATAGGCGGGATTTGAATATTTTACGGAAACAAAAAAGAAAAATAACAATCACCATTTTCATTTAAATAAGCCAAAAATGTACTCTAGTCCTGCTTCTAAAGTACCTAGAGATTTAGAAAATCACTCTCCCAGTGGGTACGAAATACATTGAACAACAATTACATATATTTTATAGGTTATATTTCATAGAGTGACCTACTCCAGTAGGTACAAAGTAACGCTTTGTCCCAGTAGGCATGACATTTAAGATTGGCAAACACTTTGTTCATTAAAATTGTACAGTTTTGAACAACCAAGAAACGTTACAAGTACCTGTTTCCGAAGCACAATTTCGTAACGCTGAACAGTCCAAAATCAGTTATGACGACCTTCCCGTTCTCGACAAAGATATTCTTACTCTTCAAATCTTTATGCACGATCCCCTTAGCGTGCAGGTACCCCATACCCTAACAGAGAAACAAAATTAGAACGTATCCGACACACATTCGCAATCGCCCAAACAACACAAATTACCTGCGAAATCTGCTGAGCTACGATCGTAGTCTTGTTCATGTTAAACTTGTCCTTCCTGAGATGTATGTGGGTGTACAACGTCATGCCCTTGCTCAAACTCGTGACGATGGCCAGCTTCGGCGGTTTCATACAAGCGCCCATGAATAAGATGAGGTTCTCGTGTCTGGTCTTGCGGAATGTCGAGACCTCGTTCTTGAACTGTTCCAAGGTCTTCTCGTCCTTCAGGTAGTTGACGTTCAGCACTTTCACGGCCACATCACCATGCCAATAGCCCCTGTGTACGGTGCCGAACCTACCCGTGCCTATAACCTCGTTCATTTTCAGTTCGTCGAAAGGAATGTCCCATTCTCTCATGGATAACTGCAAGCGACAAGCGTAAATACATAAATTTCCTTGCGAAACTGTCAAGACAGGACGGTTTACTCACGCTGTTCTGCCTGGGCCACCTGTGCCCGTCAGTTATGGTCTCCGTGTCGGACACCTGGCTGTCCTGAGAGTCCACCCTCACGGGCGTTCTGTCCGAGTCTGTGCTTGTGCTGCCGGAAGTCTGTGATGCCGTCCGTTCGCTCTCCCTAGACTGTTGCGAGCTGGTCAGGTCGTGATGTAGGGTAGTCGTGATGGGTAGGGGATGAGTCTCCAACGTCACTTCGTTCGCCTCACTGTGTGTGATGTCTATGCGAAACGGATCGATAATTGCCTTTATTATTTGTCAATTCAGTTGTAAAAGTTTTAAGACAAAGACAATGTTTAAAAATATGCAAAAACACAGTTGTGCGTTTGAACTACTAGAGTGAATTTGATCCAATATGTAATTTGTAGGGGAATTAATAGGTTTTTTAGTATTATTTTAGCATAAATTCAAATGAAATATAATTATAATTATTATTTTATTTGAAAATAGCAAATAATTGCAAAGACAATCACTTTTTATATTTGTTGAATACGTTTTAAACATTTTAATACGAACAAATCTTCCAAAATTTCAATAACGGGAGTGAAAATATTATGGTACGTATGAACTACTACAAAGTGCATTTGAACTACAATGTATTTTACCAGGCGCTTCACTGATTTTTATTACAGAACATGTAAATTTCGAGGAAATTTCAACTTTTTCAACTACCGGCTTACCTGGAAAGTGAAAAGTAGGCTTATGACTAGCGTGGGGGGTAGTTAGGGTCTGAACTGCAGGACTCGAGGGTGTTGAACTGTTACAACTAGACGTGTTTGAGCTGGAATCGGGGGGCTGCAATTCACACAAAAACACAATATTTTCAGTAATAGTGACGAAAGCACGTACTATCGAGATAGAAAATGATTACCGGAAATGGCGGAGTGTTGATCAGCGGTTGTGGGTGCGAGCTCTTCCTGTTCCTGCACCTCGTCAGAGAGTTCATGATGTTCTTAGCGTTGCGCGACCTGCCAGAAGTCGGCGAAATAAATACTTGACCTAAAAAGGGTTAGCTTTACGTACGCCCCTAAGATTTTTTATCATATACCGACCTTCTATCGACAGATTTTTCTTGAACTCGTCGAGCAGCTCCGGAGGCAATCCGCACGACGGGGCCACCTTATCCTCGCAATCCCTGTGGCAAGTATATTTGCACTCCTTACACTTCAGTCCTGTACCGAAGTAGATCTGTTTCAGACAGTACTCGCAGGTAGACATCATCTTGAAGGTCTTAGTGAACCGGTGGTTGATCTGGTGCGTCATTATCCTGCCCCTCACCGGAGGCGTTCTCGGAGATTTCGGCACCTGGAGACTTATCGCTAAAAAGGAGCAAGAACAATAAAAGATATTTTCGAGTAAAAGAAAATTACGTTTGCAGGTGTTGTCATTGTCCGCCGCCGTGTTGCTGTATGGTGGCGATTTTATAGGGCTCGTCAAGATGGGGCTCGCGTAGCCCATGGTCTCAGGTCCGGGTTCTGTCGGCAATCTAGCCCTCCTTCCCACGGTGCCCGTTCCGCTGAAATGTTCGATTAGAAAGCTTCGAGTCGTAAGGTAACGATCAGACTTACTTAGTGGGGTTCGTTTCATTTTCACCTTTCGAGGCGGCTAGTTGGGATTCGTGCGATTTACTTTTCGTAAGCGGATACGAATCAGGTATGAGAGCCGGCGGGTTGCCGGTTAAGTGCTTCCGTTTAGCAGGGGGTGTCGTAGGAAATTTCATACCTAACGTAAATGTAATTTTTAATATTTTCGGAAAATTGGACGTGGACGCTGATATTTAATTTAATTTAGCATGGCTGCCGTTTAAAAGGAATTTTGGTACAGTAAAAAATTGATTACTTTATCAACTGGTCATTATTTTAAAAAAATATCAAATGTTTTCAAAATATAAGTTTAAGGAATCAAACATTTTATACTGTACCTTGATTACGTACATGTAATATCGTTTTTAATATAGTGGTTAAAGTTTAGTATTTTCTGGCATTGTAGACTTATTCTAACACTTAACGCAACCTAGACATATAGAAATCAATTCAATATGCAAACATTTAAAGAAACACATAAGTGCACATCATAATTCGGTCATCGATACCATTTCTAAAGATACAGAGTACAAGTCACAATTTTTATGTAAATATTCTTTGGGAGCCTTCATACAATTTTTTATTAGTGACGCATTACAGATAGGGTCGATTTTGTAACTGACATTTTATTTAAACGTAAAATATGCAGTTAATAAATAGCAAAATTACATTTTCTGTGGCCTAGATAGCAGTGCCAACATTGACCGATAATAGCAGGAAACAACGATGTAAGTATTTCACAATGATTATATTGTATAAGTAGAAATGGTTACCAATAAACATAAAGTCTAAAAAAGACACTGAATTTCAAAATCCATCACAACACAGAGTAGGTAGAATTCCAAACCTGATCTGTAAATAGTAACATATGCGGTAGATGGCAAAAAAGACAATTATCCATTTAGAAAATTAGATTAAAAAATAAAAAATCATGATTAATAATCAAGGGGCAAAGCAAAAATTAATAGTCTCAGTTAAATTTATTTTCCGTGTTAAAAAATGTTTATATATTTTTTTCATTTTTGATTTAAATAGAACATTACATATTTCTACTTCATATCTATGGGTGAGATATAACCTCAAAGTACATGACATACCTCAATGCCTACTGACACAACATTGTTTTGTACCTACTGTAAAGAGTGACCTATTACTTTGTAGGTTTTATTAAATAAAGCATGACTGGTATTGCACTAGGCAAAACCGGTAGGTACAATGTAATGCATTGGACCAGTAGGCACTGAGTAGCAACGACATTTAAGATATGACATATACTTTCCAGGTTATGTCCCACCAACACAAAAAACATTCATAAAAATTAAAAAATTTAGTAATTCTCTAAGCATTACTTGTGAACCTAATTTATTTACATATTTCTCGGAAATTAGATAATTCTTAGTGCGAAAATATCAAGTTTCTGTCTTTTTAAGTAAAATTTCAAAAGCGCTTGCTTTCCGCCCTGGCAAAGAGGGACAATTTACATGCACATGCGTACCTTTCCCCCTGTTCTGCCCAGGGGGAGTTAGGGGAGGTCCGAGCACATTCTGAGCATTCAAAGAGTTGATGCTAGACACTGAGGAGGATGGCGGGATATTCGCACCTCCCCTGTTGTTGTTGAGGAGCAGGCTCTCCTCCGATGGTACCGATGCCCTGGCCGCTCTGGATCTACCGGGACGGGGCGACATACCCTTCAACTGGTGATGCCTGTCCCAGGAGTCCCAGTACAGGTGCATGTCGCTTGCATCTTTGTCGCCACGTTTGAGAACATCTAAAAGATAATTTTGCATTTTTATGTGCCTCGCATGAGCGAAAAACATTTAAGATAATAGTACTCAAGATAAAGTGTTTCCACTGAATGAAATAATTTTAGCATGCTTGGTGAACAGTACAGTAGTTATTATACATCTAAAGGATAATTTTACGCTCTATAAAACATATACATAAACGTACCTGTATATCTCTTAAGATTATGTAGTGCTCGACACAACCTACTTAGCTCTTCTGGTCTAGCACTCTTGTCATTCAGAATGGTTCTCAATTCATGTTCTGACTTCTCTTGAAGTTCTTCCACGGAAGATATCTTTTGACAAAGCCCGAATATACTGTCCTTGCCCAGACCAACAACTTGCAGCCATTGTTTTAGCGATGGAATATGCTCATCGCATCCATTTTTCAGTTTCAGCTTGGTCACAAGCTGATCAGAAAACAGTTTAATCAACTTTCCCTAAAAATTGACACAAGTGTATTAGTGACCAGCTGACATAGGTTAAGATTATTTTGTTTCACAATGGATTTTGCAATGTCTAAATGTCCCCTTACCTCTAACGTTCTTATTTCTTGTTGTGTTAATTCTGCACTTGTAGCACATTGTGTCCTAAGTCCTTCTAAACGTTCTGCAGAAACATCAATCATAGATTGAATTATATGTAGGTTGTTTAGGAGTGTTTGCTCTGACCCTTCATCAGCCATCACAAGTATCACAGTACTGTTACAGACTAATATTTACAACTACTATCAATAACACATATATTTACATATCACTATTTTTTTTACAGATTACAGCTAAAATTATGCTGAATTTCAGTTTTGCCTTCTGTCATCGGCCATCTTTAAAGCTTACTGACGTTGGTTACAAAGGCAGCGCACTTACCGACCACGAACCCCAGCCGGTAAAATTTAAAATTGTGAAAACAACGTCATAAAACCCACATACTTCTATCAGATAGAAGTATGTGATAAAACCATAACTTTAGATATAAATTTATTTGAGATGAATGTACAAACCTATTGATGCTGACGTAATTATTATTGGTGGCGGCATAGCTGGACTCACCGCCGCTTATTGGCTGTCTTTAAAGGAACCAACACTAGCCGTGGTGGTACTGGAAGGAGGCGGTAATTATAAACTTCTGTACATACTTTAAATACAACTTGCAGATACTTTTGCAGCGTATATCGGAGGTAGAGCCTTTTCCGTGCCACTTTTGATACAACGAGGCAACAAAACATCTCATTTCGATTTGGGGGCACAATGGGTTTGTAAAGAACAAAATCACTTGTTAAGCCTATTCGACTCTTTAGGGATAATATATCAAGCAACTCCGAAGCAAGGCAAAATTATTATACATTATCAAGGTACTTACACCTGCGAGAAACATGCCAAGGGTAGTTTACCCTTCTTCAGCACAGCAGAAAAGTTCCAGCTAGCGAAATACATAATCAAGGTGAGTACATGTTTGTGTATTTAGGCGTTTTGTATTAGCTTTTTTTAGGTAGAAGCTTTGTGTCGTAAAATTAAAGTAAATGAAACTTCGAAGTACATTAAGCAATTAAATGGGAAAACTCTGGAAGAATTTATTAACGAGACAGTCTCTAGTAATGCTGTACGAGCTGTGATCAATCATATGGTGTTTGTTCATTGTGGTAATTAAAAACATATGTATATACGAAGATTAGAAATTATAAAAATACATTATTCCAGGTGTTCAGTCACATGAAATTTCTGCTCTATTCTACATATTTTTCTGTATATCAACGAGGGGCATATGCCATCAGTTGCCCACGGAAGAAAGGACACTTCTCGAATTCAGAATAAAGGTTGTATATCATTTTCGATTGATAACAGTTTCACCACTTACGATACTTTAGGGAGGCGTCCAGGCACTTTGCGACAGACTCGCTGACAAGATCGGAAGAGACAGCATTTTCACCGACGAACACGTTAAATCCATCACACTAGGCCCCAAATACGTTGAAATAGTAAGCAAGCACACCACCTATCGGTACATGTTTCTATCACGATCCATGTAGAATACTTACGTGTAAACTTCTCATTCCAGTTGCTATTCCGTGATAGTAGCGGTGGCCCCGAAAGACGTCTTAAATATCAAATTCTCCCCGTCCTTGCACGAGAATCACACGGAAGCCATTCGCAAGACTTGTACAAGTACCGTGACGAATTTCGTCGCGACTTTTGAAAGGGTAAGCAGTAACGGATGTCAAACCCGTTAAATTTTATTTTGTAACGCTTTCAGGAGTTCTGGAAAAGTTCTCATTTATCGGGAGAGTGTTATTTCTTCGACAAGTCCCACTGCAAAGGGCCGATAGATTATTGCACCAACATCAGTTCGCCCAGCAAAGTGGCCCTTACGGGAAGGTTATTTTCTGGGAAAGTCACGAATAACAAAGTAAATAATCTTTCTGATATCGTTTCTCTTTTTTTTTTAATTGTTTAGATTTAAGGTTTCTTTAGCAGTTATCAAAAGCTTCAAACTATGCACTGGACTGACACGAACTAGTATACACGACATATAAATACCGACGAGAGGACTTAATCTCGAATTACAGTTTCTTTTGAAAAAAAGACTGATATGTCATTCGAAATGTCAAAATCGCGCTCAATTCTGGAGCTCCAATTTGTAATTTTCTAAATTTTTTTCTGTATTCTTCAGTTTCCCATCTACAGGTCGGAAGTGCTCGATCAGCTGGCGCACTACCTCGGAGAGGCGGCTCTATACCCCCTCGACTACTACGAGAGGTCTTGGACCAACCACATGTGCCAAATGGCCGGGTGGGAAGTGGGGAACGAGGATTACATCAAGCATGTCAGCCAGTCGTACGACAGGTAGACATGGGCGCAGTTTTTATATTTTGATACGTTTGCTTTTATTTTTGAACCGCAGGATGTTTTTTGCCGGCGCAGAGACGACACACGAATGGTACGGGTACTTGGCGGGGGCGGTCCACTCCGGTATGAGAGCGGCGATACACGCGTTGTCGCTGATCAGACCTGCAGCACTGAATCCCAGCGATATAGACATAATAAGGTAACAAACGTTTTATATGCATCGCATCAAAATTAACGCACCAAAAAAATTTTTTCTGTACGATCGAAAAGGTAATTTTTGCATGAATGACGATAACTCGGCAACAAATCGTAAAAAGCTCAATGAAAATCTATGTATCTTGATTAATAACAGAGATGAAGTGATTCAAAAAACATTGTTAAAAAGACAAGGGACCATAGTTTGCACCGATTAAACTATTTTAGCTCGCAAACTTTAAAGGGTGTTTGAATTTGTGACGAAAATAAACTTTTCTTCCACACCCTGTATATGTTGAAAATTGAAACTTCACTACCGCGGAGCTAATTTTGGCTGGTGTATTAAGTACGGTGCAAATTAATTTTTTTTCAAAGGGGATAATCTTTATTTTTAGCCCGAGCAGGCGGAGAACCCAGTTGATCCCTTTTCGGACGTATTACTCGGAATCTGCATATGCCGCTGCAGAAAACTGGAAGCTCATCGCTTCAGTGTGTCTATTGGTCATAATAGCTCTGTGGAAACTAAAAAGGAAATATTTGTTTGTTGGTAAATAAAAGGTCATGACTACAAATTGTTTCTTTATGGGATTTCGCATAAAAACGACCACCCTCAGTTTTCAAACTTTAATTTTACAAAAACGACATATAAAAAAGTTCCATTAGTAAATTTAAACTTATTAGGCAAGGAAATTAAATAAATCAAAAACAACCATCCGTATCAACGATTCTTTGAGTTACTTGGAGGTTACACGTTCTTACTCGACCTTTTCAAAGTGGCTGCTCTCACTTCTAACAGCACGGGCCTCTCTTTCGTGCTAGGCATGAAAGAGTGCGCCCGTCTCACTCTATCGCCCTCCCTCAGCATGGGCGCCACCTGGTACAGTTTCGCCTCGAGCAACTCCTTCCTGTCCTCCGAGAACTTTATCTTTTCGTGGGCCGATCGCAACTGCTTGTCCAGATCCTGACGTTCTTTTTCTAGCTGGGCGAGTCTGTCTTCGGCATCTAAACAGAATCGTAAAGGGATAATTCATACTATTTTTGTAAAAACTGTTTTTGTGCACCTTACATTCATAATTTTGAAAATATTTATACATACTTCTTAGCTGGAATTCTTTCCGCTTCTGGAGATCCTCGTACTCCTTCCGCTTCACCCTCTCTTCCTCTAGTAACAACTTTTGCTCCTCTTGCAACCTCTCTAGCTCCTCTCTCTTCTCCCACTCCTCGGCCAGAACCCGAGCTTGCAATCTACATCAAAGTAAATATTACAGTCATTGAAGCTTTTCACCTCCGAATTCTTTGAAACTGAACCGATCGACTTGAAATTTGGCAGATAGTTAGAGAAAAGGTCAATGAACATTAGTGACATACCGCCGATTGACGCTTCCACCCTGTTGGGGGTTGACACCCCTTCTTGAGGGTGGAAATTTTTTTTCAAATATAACGCTGGAATTCGATATATTCAAATTTTGAGCAAAAAATATTCAAAGAATTTTTTCGAGAACTCAATAGTTTTTTAGTTATTCAAGAAAGAAAACTTGGAATTTTGGGTGAAAAAAACACTTTTTCAAAGTATTTTTCGCGTATAACTCAAAAACTACGCATTTTATTAAAAAAAGTGTAATTAATAAAAATTTAGCTTATAAATAAACAAAGAAAATCATTTTTTAAAAAGTGTTGTACGTCCTATACAAAGACAACTATGGTTAGTGGAAGGGGACTTGTTTTGGAAGGGATACTCTAATCGATGTATTCAACGTCAAATAACGGAAAAAGGATTAATTTTACGTGTATAACGCTCCTGGAGTTTTTTGTAGTACTCAAAAAGACCTTCAAAATGAGCTCTTGTAAAAGTTAATTAGAGCAAAATTGAAGGAGTTATGGTCAAAAACAGTTGGGTTCCTCATATTTTTTAAGGAAAAATGAGCAGTAAACGCTGTACCATTTCCATCAGAATTAAAATTAATCGTAGACCCTTTACAATTAGTTTTATTTTAGTGTTTTTCATACGATCCTGAAGTTAGACCGGTTTAGAATGCGTATTTTTTTAATAATGTACGGTAAAAGTTGAAAACGAATTTTTTATTATTAAAAAAAAATTGCCTTATTTATATAATAATTCTGAAACTATGACAAATACAGAAAATGTAGCATTTTTTTCAACAAATATTTTGCTTTTTTTTTATTCCTATAGCATAAAAAAAAGGAGATATCGCCGCTTGAAGAATCCATTTTAGTGAGAAAAGGACCTGTTTCGAGCCCTTCGGTCCTTTCCCTTTAAAAAACGAAGGACTTAAAAGGCCTGTTCATTCAGCTTTAATTTCTTTTTTTAATTTTTCTCTACGTTAATTTGACCCGGAAATATTTGACTACGAATACAAAAGCATCCTTTTGGCTTTAACCATCGATATCTCAGCAACTAATGATCAAACAAAAAATTTAGGGGCAGTTTCAAAATCTCGAATAAACTTCCTACAAGGCTATGTAGCGTTCTTGGAAGAAAAAAATTTTCTTTCATCCTCGACATTAACTTGAAAAAAGTGAAAAAAAGTGACTTTTTGACTTGTTTTGCTAAGTCGACCGCATCTTTGCTAAAATCGATTATAATAAAAATATTTTACATTAATATTGGTAAAAGGGTAGGTTATAAGAGTTGAAAATGGTAAAAGTAAAATATTCTTTCAAAAACAATATAAGGGAATTTTTATTTTAAATTATTGCACAATTATAGCCTTCCAAGATTTAAAACGTAATTTTTTATAATTTTTTTTAGCACAGGGGTGATTTATCAGGGTTGAAAAGTGTTATGAGATACAAATTCTTTCATAAGCAATGAGGGAATTTTTATTTTAAATAATTGCACCGTTAAAGCATTCCAAGCTTTTAAAAAGTAATTTTTTATCATTTTTGCCAATACAGGAGTGGTTTTTAGGGGTTGAAAGGGAAAAATTCTTTTATTAGATATGAGGCAACTTTTATTTTAAATAATTGCACGATTTAAACATTCCAAATCTTTAAAAAGTAATCTTTTATCATTTTTGCATAGGGGTAGTTTTTAAAGGTTAAATAAAGGGTCAAAAAGATTAAATATACCATAAAACATGTTCGAGAACATGGAACATTATTTAATCTTTGTGCTTGAACAAGATTTTTCCCAATAAAATGCTTAAAACTTAATTTTTTCAATTTTTCTCACTTAGGGGTAGTTTTTACCCCTAAAAAACAAAAAGCGTCAATCGGGCTTGTGTCACTTTTGAACTTGAGCCCAAGATGGGCCTTATTCTAAATTTTCATGCAAATCCATGCAGTTTCAAAGAATTCGGAGGTTGCAGCTTATTTTCAGCTTCAATTACTGTACTAAAACCCCGTTTTTCATACTTACAACCACAAATTCGTCGTTAACTTACCCTCTGACGATTTCTTCGTCTCGTTTAGCCTGAGTCTCCTCCTCCAACAGCTTCTCCAGTTTGCTCCTGATCTGTTCGAGCTCTGTTAGTTTTTTCGCTTCTTCCTTCACCACCGCTTCCAGTTCCTTCGCTTGCCCTTCGGCGGCCTGCCTCGCATTTTTCTCTTTCTGCAGCAGGACTTTGGCTCGAATCATCTCTTGAACCCGACCCTGTCTCTGTAGGCGCCTCTTGGCCGCTTGGAGCCTCTGGTAACTCTGGAAACCACCTTCAAAGGAAAATAATGGATTATTAGTTAGGAGAGTCTTAATAGAGAGATATAAGAGAGAGAGAAATGTGGAAGAGAGTATGTTTTTACCTGAATGGTCTGCGGCGAGCTGAAGAGCAGATATCCACTGAAGTCTGCTCATATGATCCGTGGTACCCAACTCAAAAGATCTCTCCGGGGTATGTAATAGGATCCTGTATCCAGTCTTCGGTTCAATTTTACAACCGGGTTCTATCGGCAGAGAACCGCACCGGTCCTTTTCGGATCTTCCTTTGAAGAAAGTCAATTCGGAAGGTCGAAGAACGAACCAGTACTCCCTCATCGTGGGAAAAATGTACCCCTTCTTACAGAGGAATCCTTTTTTTATCACGTCCTCCACGATTTTTTGGTAGATGTCTGTCACTGCCTCGCTTATGGCGACTTGGTCTCTGACGCCGTCGAGACAACGAGATTCCAGCACTGCTATGAACGGCGTGAGACGGAAATTGCCCATCGAGATGCTTAAGCTGGTGAAGTCCTCTTCGTCAAAGAAACATCCCAAGGAGGAGGCAAGGGTTTGGGCGAGGCTGCACACTTCGGTGGGGTGCAGCAGCACCTGGTAAGTATTTTCATTGTTTTCGTCGGGGATCAGTTCGGCTAGGACGCAGAATATTCTAAATATCTGGAATATGGACTCGTCGGTGAAGATTTTCTGGTCCCTCTGGAGGTATTTCTTCCGGCATACCAGCCAGCACACTTCTGCGATTCGGTTTTCGAACGAACGAAGTTCTGGGAGTTGCAGCTTGTTGGGTAGGGACGAGAAGACTTCTTTCTGGAGGTAATACTTGAATTGGTCGAAGTTTAAGGTAGGGGTGCTTCGGAAATGCTCCAGTCCTCTCTCCACACCGTATAGGTCAAGCAGAGTTCCGATGTTGGCAGTCAGTACCTTAAAATGTTAAAAAATATGTGTTTTTTTAAGTGGTAATGGTACGTTTCCCAGAATACTAAAATGAAATTATTTTTTTAAATTGAACATAATAAAGTATTTAAGTATTTCTTACAATTTTTTTAAAGAACTGTGTTTATCCAATGATGTGATATCATTGAATTTATAACCTACGCTATAAATATCAACCGAATTTCCATAACTTCTCAGGAATCTTATATGTACAGAAAATAAAATAAAAAAATTAACTCATAGACGAAATCTTTAATCAAAATGTTATTTAAGTCTCTAATAAAATACATCAATGCCCGAAAATTATAAAAGGTTCCCTAAATTGTTAATAATATACAACAGTAAATGAAAATAATATCATAAAATAATTTATATAATCAAACAATGTTAACTGGCTAAACAAGAAAATTAGTTTTTATATATTCTAATTCATATTCTAAGTGTTTAATTCAAAACTCTCGGAAAGTGAAGACGAGCATTTACCAGGGGCTGTATTGGAAGCGGCACAAAGTGCTGTTTAACAATTAATCCCAAAAAAAATTGTCGAGACAGTACGAGATTGCCTACGAGTTCAAAGGGTGGTGTAGTTCGAAGAAAATTCCGAAAGTGTCTGAAGTGGTAATACTGGCATATTTCGAACATAAAATTAATAAAATTAAACCTTCGACGTTATGGTCAGTATATTCCATGTTATAAAAAGTACACTGAATGCAAAAAAAATATAAACATCAGAAAATTTCCAAAACTAATACCATATTTGAAAAGCAAATCAGTTGGATACCGTCCGAAAAAGTCCAGAATTCTAACGAAAGAGGAAATTGAAATGTTTTCCTGATAATAGTTTTCTGCTAGAAATGGTTGTTTGTTTCATTATTTTGTGACAGTACGGCGTGTTTGTGTGTTTTCATTGTTAAATTGATGTGATATGAAGAAAATGTATACAAGATAAGATTTATACTAGCCTATTCAAGGTATGAGTACGAATAGTACAGAAAAAAAAGTTAAAACCAAACGTGCAGCTGGTAGAAATGTATACGCTCAGTAGAATGCGAGCGCGGGCAAAGGAAACCGATCACAGTTGCATTGGGCTACTGGGCAATAAATCACAGCAGATGACAAGTGGTTGATAAATTGCCTAGCAGTGAAGTGCAGCAATGCGGAATTTGGTGTGATTCAGGTAATTTTAATTTATTATAGGCACCTTCTATCAATCATTACTTATTTACTAATATTATCACATGGCACTTTGGAGACCTTTTGAAACGGAACAAAACGAAATTTACCACCAATATAATAAAATTGTTTGAGGATATAAATAATAAAAATATATTGGCCAAATAAACATATAATATACATTTTCTACACACTATATACAAATTATTATAATTTTTTACCTTTAGCAGAAAATTTTTTTAGGGACGCCTATGAAACTTATTAAATTTTATTACTAGATGTCTTTTTGCATGTTCAACTGACTTCGGAAAGACTATTACTCTATATTTATTATAGTTTTGGAATCGCATCAGTGGTCATTAGTTGTTTTTTGTGTCACCTTGTAACATTTTAATCTAACAAGTCAATCACTTTATTTTACTGAACTATAACTATTCCACAAAGTATGTATAATAACATTACGACATGTTTAAATAGTTTAATAGTACATGTCATTGTTTTTATTGACTCATTTTGTGCTAGGACGAAATATTCTGCATACACAGAAGCTGGCGTTTTTCATTACTAATTACACCATGAATATGAATCAGCTGTTAAAATATGAGCCATTAAATGAAATGATAAAAGTAATGAATCAATTAAGTGCAGCGTTTTTACTTTTATCCGAGACATGAGATTAATAGATTAATGTCATCGTCAACATTTACGGATGTAACGGATTCCCATGAGAAGGTCAAATTTGAACTAAGCTTTGTAGTGTTCTTTAATTTTCAATACAATTTAATAATTAATAGTGTTTTCTGGCTTGAATTTACTTCATACATAAATTTTAAAAGCCTTCTTGATGTAATTTTTAAACTAATGATAATGAATCCACAATGAATTTTTATAGATACACGACACGACATTATGTAATTTACGCATCGAAATGAATAAAAAGATAAATATTTCATGACGGGTATAAAAAAATAGACAAAGTTGTTTTGACGTTAAAGAAATTTTTTAGTCGATTACGTTATACAAAACATATGAACTGATTCATAGTATTGCGGCTATTGACTATGAATTCGTTTAATAATTATTGTAAATTCATCATAAATACAGTAAACCAGTTTTCTGCAGGACCGGCTTTAGTTTTTTGCCTTCTCGAGCCGCCTTCAAACAAGGACCTTCGCGTTTATTATTTTTAATCGAAAAAAGCCATAATACACACGGCGTAACTTTGAATAGGGTAACATTTATACGGTAAAAATTCAGTCGCAGTTTAATGATGGATTGTCGCTTATCAATTAACCCTTTAAAATTCTATTGACTTCTACTTACAGTCGATTAATTTTTCGAAATTTGAAATCCCACTATTCTATCTATACAGTTAGTCATTTCGCTAGTTCACTACGTGAAATATTAGCTTTTACTGAAATCGAAATAGAATTTCTACCTAAGTGTTGTGTTGTGTTTTATTTAATTTAACTACAACCCACTATTCAAGAAACTTTACATCAACTGTTTCTTAAGTATTTAACCGAATATCTCTAGATATAATAGTGTCATGTGTATTTGTCATTTGATTGCTTTACAATATTGTTCGTAAAAACGATAATAAAAACAATAAAAACTACAACTGAGCGCACATTGTTCTGGAAGATAAGTGGTTTAAAAAATTGCGCTACAGAAAAATATATTTTCAATTGTAAGCTAGTGGACCTAAAATTTCCGAAAAAGGTCTGCCCTGTACATAAATAAAAGAACATTTAGCGCGTATAAAATGCGTAATAAAACCTTGAACTAAACTCGCAAACATCAGTTACCATAAAACATCTCATTCTCGATATCTATATTAGGAAAAATCAGAAAACTTGCCTTACAGCTGTGCCGTTTACTCGAAATAACAACGCACCCGTACACGTAATCTCACTCAAAACCCCTAAAACTAGGAGAAAATAAAGCAACTCTACACTACCTTAAGTTTCGACTTGTGCACAAACCCGGATTTGTCCTGCTGCAGGGCTTCAAACGCCAGCCACACGCAGTTGGATATGTTTTCGAGCAACAGAGCCATACTCACTACATTTCGAAGGCAGACAGTTACTTCGCACGTGAATCACAGGCTGCCGCGAATGCCGCGATACGCCCACTACGACCAGCTGATTGCCACTGGTTGATTTTGTTTTGTTTATTAAATTAAATCGTTCCTTGTCGGTGGCAAAGCGGCACCGCAGCAAACGATGAACGTTAGTTCGTGTGGGGCAGGGCATGTCAATTATGAATAAATGAAATATTTGATGAAATTGTTAAACGGAATAATTATTACTCAAGAGGTTGATAAAAACCGGATGGAGGTCTACGACAGGATATATTAGTAATGTTACAATAATAATGACAGCATTTATCCCAGGAATTAGAGTCAGGGTAGGCTTTGGTCTAGATATTTATGTCGCTTTGTGAAGTTGGACAAATGCAATGCAGTAAATCTTTTGTCAACTATGTATTTTGTAATTTTTGCAAATTTCCGTAGTTTTCAAGCCGTTGCAGGAAACATTTAAAAAAAAAAAATGCTATGGTTAATCGTGCGAAAACGTAGAGAAACCTATAATCGATGAAGTGCAGATGATACCGAAGAATTTACAGGAAGCATTTTTGAAGAGTCAGATTTCATACAAGACGAAGAAGATGGTGATGAATTCATTCCTGCCAAAAAAGTAGAATTGAATAACATCAATAGAATAAGAATAAAAGTTTTTATTTTCATAAATATAAATCATTATTACTTTGTTATTTTTTATTGTCCTTATACCCTTGAAATTTTTAAAATAAACTTATTCTTCAATAAAGCAAAAAAATGAAATATGAGACAAAAATAATAGCAGTCAGAAGTAGAATTTCTGTGGATATTTTTAATTTATAAAAATTTCATGTTTAATTTGTGACGGATTAATACCGATAATGTATACATTTTATGACGGCATTGTACTCGTCTCGACGAGATATCTACTACAAAAAAAAATCATCAAAATTGGTTCTCGAGATAGAGACCGAACCGAATTTGAAATGTTGAGAGCAAAAATATCTAGCGCCAAGGGCTAATAATAATTTTTTCAGATTTTTCAGGTTTTCTGATCTAATTCACTTGGAGTATTATGTCATGTTATTTAATTAAATAACAATTCTTAATTTATTAAAGAAAACGTATTAATTTTGTGATTGTTTTTATTTACTATAACCAGAGCTGGGTAATTCCTGGTGAAAAAGTAATTAGCAATTACAATTCCATTTTTTTCCTGTAATTGTAATTGTATTTAAGTACTTTTTTTTATTAAAGTAATTTGGAATTGTAATTGCAGTAAAATTGTTATAGGAATTGCAATTTGTAATTATATTATTTGAACTATCGAATTACAAATTACTTCTATAAGTACAAATACTGTTTCCAATTACAATTACTTTTTCTAATAATTATAATTACTTTTAATATCATGCGTAGTGTTGCGTACAGACTTGCAGACTTCTATTATTTCATTTGAGGAAAGCCTTGTGCGCGTGAACAATAAAAAGTGATTTGGTGAATTAACCTCAGAATTAACAGAGTACATTTTATTTTATTATAATTATTATTAATTTAGAAAATATACGAAGTAAAAATATGTTGTCTATAGCATCAAGTTTTATAAAAATATATATTATGTAACTATGTGTTACTGCTCTTATTTTGAGTTGAGAAAACTTCTGGTTCGGTTACTCAGCCTTTCACTCGTACTTGTTCGATTCGAAATTTTTTTAATAATAATTATTGCTTTCCAGTCTACCCAAAACTACTGTATTCTATATTTTGCAAATGTACTAACAACCAAAAAAAAGAGCATCGGGTTGAATTAATTACCTGACCAATAATATAAAATTATAGTATGAACTGAACTAGTTCAAATAATTAGATTAGGAATAAAAATATAAAAATTCTATATCAGAAAATGAATAAGAATAATCTTTTCATTTTAGTATCAATTCTAATAAATAATAAAACGCAAAATTACACAACACTTTTAATTTAAATTTTTAACTTAACTTTTTCCTTTTTCTCTATTTGGTCACTATAATTTACTTTATCATAAAAGTAATTAGAAAAGTAATTAGAATAGTAGGTAATTCTTAAATCCATTTTCCATGTAATTGTAATTAAATTAATATAATTCCTTTTTTAAAGAATATACTTTGTAATTGTAATTAGTTCCTTTTATTAAAAAAGTAATTTGTAATTGTAACTATTTTTAAATTACAAGTAATTACCCAGCTCTGACTATAACTTGGTTGCACGCAAAACAAAAGCAAAATTGATAGTAACTGTAGTAGCTATGCTTGTTTCAAAGCATGTTTTATAACAATTTAATGAAAGACGCAAATAATAATAAATAATACAATAAGTACTTTACGTGGGCGTCTATTTTTTAATCAACTTTATATCAACGAACGTTGGTTAGTGTGGTAAAACGGGCTGTGCAATTTAAAAAAACCAAAGTTGTTAAACTATAAAAAAATGAGGTCAAATTGAACAGTCACTTTACATATATACATAATTTTCCTCAAGTCACGAAAATTGCAGGTTTTAGAGGTCATCAGATTTCAAAATGAAGTTTCTGATATATTAGTGGAAAAATAAACCTATTTAAAACTGTTTAATATTCACTGGAAGGCTGCAACCAGTTAAACACACGCTTGTAATGACGGTGTACGACAAGATCGTATATTATTCCTAGTTAGGATTATAGTGTTGCTTCCCTTTACTAGATGGCGCATAGTAAAGTAATTACATCGGTATATTCCCGTTTGTACCTATAGTACGATCGTATTCGATGCAAAGTAGAGCAAAAAATTGTCGGTCTTTTATCAAAGGAAAATCGTGTCATCATTTTTAGGAGGCGTAAGATGAACCGTTTCAAATTTAAAATGAAATTGAATGTAAAATCTGAAATACCGCCGCATACGCACTGTGTTCTGGTACTAGCTGTAGTCGGCCAGGTGCATCGAGTGTACGAAGTGGTCGGTTATACGTCAAATACTAACCTGGCGAGCTTGATCGTAGAGCAGGGAACAATAAACAGTGGCGCGTACAGAGGTGAAATGTAGTACATATGTGGAATTTAAATAACGAATTGGATTTATAATAAATTACATTTAAAACAAATAGTTTATGAGAATAAAGGGATTTTTGTAGGAACAGGGTTCCAGACGTGAACTGATCTCTTCATCGCACCCCATTACGATTCTTTTTTTTATAAGGAGAACGAAGTTTCAAAGCAAAAACCTTGTATAACAGATATACTATAAATATTTACAGAATGAAAACAAAATATAAATCCTATGATATGATTCTATCAAATGAAAACACTAACAACAATTCTCTACCAATCTCAACAAAATAAGTTATTTTTCTATCAAACAAGAAATGTTAACAAATTATAAACAAAATATAAATTCTATGATTTATGTACTGTACGCCAAACTGCATTTTTCTCATCTTCATTTAATATTAATTTCTTCTTTGCACCCCCTTTTTTAGGTTTCTTAACGTCTCCTTCAATTTTCTTCTCTCTTAAAATTTTGAAAACAGATAATTCGCTTACTCCAGTATATCTAGAACACATTTCCACCAAACCAGTCTTCAGTTTCATGGGATGATCCTTTTCTAAAGGGTTATAGACATTTAATATTATCGTTTTTTCTCTGTAACTTAATATAGATTTTTTTGTACCCACAGCAGTACATCCGGCTCGCGAACATCCAGGCACCGCCTCCATTTATCCATATAACGACAACAGAGCAATAATAATACAAAAAACTTCACTTCACTAGCACAGAAAATATAATAGCATTCACGATTCACAAACAACAGCCCGAAACACACACACAGCACACAAATAAAACACTAAAAACACTTTTGTTACGGAGCACAAGAAATATGATTTCACTCACAAATTCTCAAATAATAGCGCGAAACACACATATAGCCCGAAAGAAATATAATTGCACTTATAACAGTTATAACCTCACAAATATCGCGAGCGAGAAACACGCAGCACCAATACAACCGAAACGAAACTGACCACGCCAGGCCGGCACGCGCGCCGCCGCAAAAAACACAAGACACAAGTCATATGAGGGATAATGAAGGGAGTAATAAATGTATTGTTGTCCTGCCGCCCAATGTGCGAAGGAGATGCCTTTGTTTTTCATTTTGTCCTTCATAAATATATAACTGTTAATCCATAATGCATAAAGAAATTATTCAATTTCCAAAACCCCCTATAAAATGTGTTGCACTGATTCCCTTAACAAGCAATGACTTATTACTTTGCATCGAATACGATCGTACTATAGTTCATCGAACACAAACATGAGAATTGAGAAAATACAATTACCGATTATTTAAAATAGCAAAGTTGTGGATACAAGATGCCCTAACAGTGTTTGATCTGTTCGGAATTTGTGGATATTTAATAGGTATTCGTACATATTCCAATGAGCTAAAATTTGATAAAATAAGCAGGCGCAACAATAATTACATACTTAGCGTTTAGAATTGTAGGAATTGCATCTACTGATACTATTTTTTTATACGATTTCCTCTACAATTAAACAGAGTCAAAGCGAAGGACGAAAAATAATAATATCCGCAGCACGTGTCTAACATTATTTGTTATATTGCTTTTTGTACAAATCAAGTGACGATTGTCGCAATCGGTAATCCACGGCGTCATCGCTAACGCGTCGTCCATTAAAATGTATAACAAGGTATGAAAATAAATATCGAAAAAGTAACAAACACTTTATAGGTAATGTATGAGGTAATGGTTTGTTTTTATTGCCATAACTACACGGATGAATATTACCCGCAATGTCAACTTTGGAGACAGGTGCGAGATTGGGACACATTTAAAGCAATTAAATTCCTATTAAAATTGAATTTCTTTGTATATCACATATTTATGAAGTGTGAGAATTAAAAATTATGTAATATTATTAAACAATCAAGCCAAGTAGGGATAACAATAGGTTCAGTTATACAGGGTGATGTAAGTTTCAAGGTGGAAATTTCACCAGGTGATAGAACCAATTATTTTAAGTAAAAAGTTGATACGTCGATTTAACTAAACTTGTTTTGGTCCAAAAAGTTGAAAAAGTAAATAACATTTTCTTTATTATCTTTTTACTACTTCGAGCTAAGTTCGTGAAATTTTGTATCCGTAGTTTTTTGGGATGAGAAATTCGAATTTATCCACGACTTCGTTGTATCTTTTAGAGGGCGCCACAAGCGACTAATAGGACGCATTTAAATTACCAAAACTTTTTTGATGTATTTCAGTTTGGTCTGGAAAAATCTTGTCCCCCAATTTTTCTGCTTAAAAAAAGGTATCCTTTGCTAATAACTCTAAAGTCAACCGTTTTCAACAAAAAGGTATTTAAATTTGTAAATGCATAAATAAAATTGTTTTGTTATTTTCAATTCTCTTGAAAAACATATATTTTTAACAGTTTATTGCATTTGAAGTAACTAATAAAACCGACACAATCCTAATTAGGTAAATGGGAAATATCGGAACTACCAAAATTGCCAACATTGTCGAGTATTTTTCGATATAGGTGTAGATTGAAGCAAATAATTTATTTACAGTTAAGAGGTTTTGTGAATATTTAAATTCAACGCGCATTAACCATTAAGCTGGACGGATTACACGCCGATTCGCCTTGATGATGGCGACGTCGCGAATTGAATTTATCATGCGCTTGCGACTTTTCTAGGTTGTCCGATGATTTCGTGTATGTATACGGTATTTTGCTATCAAACAAGGAAAAGCGTTAAAGGAACTTCTCAAGTATATTTTGGAATTAACCTAGACACATATCTGCTTATAAAGCGCGAGTATGCTAGGAATTTTAAGCAGAAAGTCACACGTTGACCTGACCGTTGGTTTTTATTGAACGTTTCGTTTCAGTCTAACAGAGGCTAACAGTCTTCAAGCCTTAAACTTTTATATCTTTAACTTTGTAACATTTTGTGTGTGAAATAATAATAAAGAAGTAACACAAACTGTATCCAGAAATGTATCAATACTTTGAAGCGTTTTGGAGATTGGAAAAGCGATAAAGGGACTGGAGATTGCCTGAAGGATATCGAAGATTCTCTTGAACAGCAAATCAGCAGAGGAATAAAGTTTTCAATGACAACAATGCTGATGCTCCTTCTACTACAGCTAGTTTTGCTCTTCGACAAGCCCCATGATTGTCCATTATTAAAATGAATGAAAAAAAAAAGATCAATTAAACAATATGTAGTTAATTTCTCTTTCAAGTAAGACACCTGGTTTGAGATTCATTTTGTATCAATATTAGCATTTAATGTACTATTTGGGGTTTTCAATAGTACATGAGATAAATGTTCTTCAACACCTAAAAATTAATTTCGCTTTTACTTCATTCACACTTTCAACACCCAGTTATAACCAATATGGCGACCAGATCGTGAAGATATAAATCGTTGAATGAGTATTTTTAACCTTAGTTTCTTATGGTTTGGTTTCCTGCGAAAATAGAGGCAAACTTTTCTTTTATTTTTTGATCATTGCAAAGTAGTTCAAATCTCTACCCATCATTTCCGGTTCCGTATTGGTACGTACGAACCTTGACCACGCCGGTACTTCCGTTAGATGTATCGATACAGTTGTTATGTTTTCCAGCTCTAATCGATAGCGATTCATCACTATGTGTCAAAACCAATACTTCGATTTCTGTTTTGATTTGTAACTGAATTTATTTAAGGAATATTTTGCGTACCAAAATACATTTCCGTAAATAAATATTGTTTTTATAACAATGTACAGGGTGTGTGGTAAGTATCTACCAACCTCTCGGTAGCGTATAGGGCAGGTCAAAATAATATTACCAAAAATTAAATATAAGTATTCACTACTTTACTTGAAAGGACGCAGGTATTCAAATGGTTGGTATATACTTACTGGATACCCTGTATGATACGGCAGTATTTAGAACAGAAAAGTATGTTTTTGTACATCCTGCGGATGTCAACGTTTCTGGTAAAGTCGCTGAGTTTGTAATAATTTTGGAATTCTTCATAAGGATGATTAGAAAAAATTATAATGTAATGACTGCGGTTAATATAACAATTGAATAAGCACCGTGTCTTATTCAAACTGGTTCCCACTGAAAATTAAGTGGCAGATATTCCTAAAAATGGTTGTTTTCGAAATAGCTGACTTCCTTCCAGGCGAATGTACTGAGGATCCTCCATTACAAAAGTTGCTAAAGTCACAGAAATTGTAAATGTGGCTGATAATCTAATTTGAAAAAATTGACAGTATCCAAATATATTGGTCTTTAAATTTCTTTCTTTTCAATGAGGTAGCAATAAAACAAATACAATACAAATAAATAATTACAAACAATATAAAACAAATGATTGTATTGAATTTATTGTAATACAAAATAACAGGGGTATCCAAATATCTAACTGGAAAAAGTCTCTAAAAATATTACTAAAATGAGGGAGTGCTCTGTGAGGCACAAACCAATCTTCCAGTCTGAGTGGTAGTGGTGCCCCGTCAGATAGATCCGAGCGAGTGTTTTGGAGATATTTTAAATAAGTTTCGTCATTTAGTCGATTCGGTAAAATAACTGGACCAATTACATACCGATCAATAACATCGATCCAAACATTTATTTTAAACTCTCGTTCCAATCAAATCATTCGGTAACAATTCTTGCACTTTTTGGATATGATATGGGTGTAGTAAATTACGTCTCATCACTCGGTACCAGTTTGTCGAGATAGAATTCTAGTACTAATTTGTAGGTTATCTTTAATTAATTGTATTCAAAATAAGTTCTTCGTCTTGTGCCCTGATTGCAATAGCACGTTCTCGGTTGTTACTAAGAAACTTTCCTGTTTCTCGAGCCCGTCTTTCAACATTTTAAAATGTTTCTCTATGGGGGATTACACGATTTGGAAATTTTCTCCGATATTCTTCTGTAACACTAATAGCATGTCAACTTGTTCGCTAAATGAAAACTTCCCGGCCATTTTCAAAACACTCAGCAAACAATTACTAAAATTATATGACTTTTTTCCTGATTGTCAAGTTTAACGTTTAAATTCATAGCCAACTTTTTAATTTTTGACGATTTTAAATAACAGTTAATACATATTATTAGTTATTCGTGTTTTTGTTGCAAACGACAAAGTTATTTGAAAAGTAACAAGAGTAAGAAAAGTTGTAGAATTAAATTCCCCATAAAATAAAGTAATAATTTTTCAAGTTCGCCAACGGGTTACAAAATTCTGTCAAATTTTAATGGTGCATCATCCCTTATCAACTCTTCTTCAATTGAACTGTATTTACTGTCTTAATGCTCTTGGTACACTAGCACCTTGTACCAAATTTGGTTTTTCTAAGTTCAAGTATAACTGAGATAGGTATTGATTTTTTTCGCAATTTGAAACCCCACTTTCAAGGTCTATAACTGCTCAGGGATGTAGTTTAGTATAAAAGTAAGTTGCGTTAAATCACCATATTTTGAGTTTCCCTACATGCCCCTGTTCTGTGTCGGTTGATATGCGAAACACCCTGTATATCGATAAAAAAATGTTGGGTTTCTTTACTTGTGTATAAAATTAATATGTCAATTTTTCATCATGTCATGGAAAACAGTAAGTACGGACCTGGAATGTACGATTTACTCGCGGACCTTACAACAAAACCTACTTGTATGGTTATAACATTCAATTTAAACTTAAAAAAAACTCCCATTGCGCCCCTAAACGGCGCCCATGGGAATGAACAAGTTTTCAGTTTAATTAATAACAACAACTTAGTTTTATCTGGGGCATACACTTTTATAACCACCTTTAATATCTTGCTTAATTGGCACACAGTTTTTTTCAGCTATGAGAGTCGTTGTCGGTTTCAGAATCAGGATAACGCCCGGTATAATGTAGGAATGAGGTTATAAAAATGTCCATTAATTGTTTTTCCTCCAAACTATATCCGTCTCGTTATAATAATTATTATCGAGGGAATACTTTATCAAATACAACAAAAATGTATTTGTGAAAGAAAAATCAAAAACAAACCTAATATAAAAACAAAAACTGCGTACAAAACTACTAGATCAATGCCTGAAAAAAATAAATCAGTAAATAGTAAACTTAAAATGCATTTTAATAAAAAAATCCAGTAACAAGGCAACCATGTAAAAAATAAAACGCTGTAGTGCATTTTTTTTCACGAAACTACCTCTCGATCAAAAATCTGTATTTATATGTCCATACTTAATGAAACTAGCATCAGTCCAATCATGACACCAGAGCAATAATTATACCAATGGTAAAGGCCGACCCAGGGTACTTATATAAATGACGTTCTTTTCTGTTTGATAGCAGTCTGGTGCGAGAAATCACTAGACCACCATCTATACGGGTACAATTGTCACGTTGGGGAAGATGTTGATCGGCTGAACATCTATAGGGGTAGAAAAATCGAATTTTACAAGAAACAGTTCGTTCTAAATTCCGATTCGCATTCTTGTCGGTGTAAAATAAATTTGTGACCGTCGTTTGGAAGATCTGACCAAAATGGCCAAGGAAAACCCCAACATGGAGATGAAGACTGTGCAAAATGGAAAGGGTGGTGAAAAATTCAGCGACGAGCTTACCAAAGAAGAAAAAAGTAACGGTACGTCGACGCTTTGTTAAAAAAATATTTGTTTGTTTTTGCGATGTTTGTTGTGAAAATTGCAAAATTTTAATTTTAAAGAGGTCGGTTAAGCAAAAAAGAACCGGATTTTAAGAGAAAGTTTCAAGATGTAGTCGGACGGGTCTATCAATTTATGATTTATTATTCCAGTTATAATTACAGCTTGTCAATCGATATTTTTACTGTTTAAAATAATATCTGGGATAATATATTCAATTATCGTTAACCAGTCATTAATGTCTATGATTATTATTGGAGAAAATTAATAACTGTGGATGTTTTTTTAAATAAAATCCTAGTTATGTGTAAAATTTGATGATCCTGAAAAGTAAACGAAGTGAATCAGTGTTTGTTAATAAAATTCAGCGTTTCTATTTAATCCGAAAGATATTATCGGTAATGGGAAAATTTTGTTGCATATGTTCGTGAGATTATCAGGTTTAATTCGTATAAACATCATGTATTTGTTATTTATGAATTTCATACATTTTTGAAAGCAACTTTTCTAAAAAACACATACATTTATAGTTGCATATATTTTCCTCATACTGTATTCATGTCAGCAAAATAAATTTTTGTAATAATGTTCAACAAATTTTCCAAAAACTAATTTTCATATCGCTAAAAATGCCAGACCGATAAAGTTGTAGTAAAAATAGTCATGGATATGCGAAATATCTTGGTATTTAACAAACACGCAACTTGTTAGGTGACGTTTTACATAATAATTGCAATTTTTTAATTTATTTCTTTTCAAATAGATTATTATTTGCGCTTCAACTATATTTCTTGATTTAAACCTAATTGGAAATAACCAACTATTTTAAGGACATTCGAAATGGAATAAAAGTTATACTGCCTACATTCTTACGTCCTCTAAATGAACTATGAACTGCCCAATGCCGAATTATTTATAGCTTTCACTCAGGAACTTCGAAAATTATAGCTCTTTCGGCAGGTAATGATATAAGATTGGTCTAGTAGCCTTACGCGCTAAGAAAGCGGTATTTTTAATGCAGGTGGTCCCTCCCAAACCCGTTGCATTCTATCTCGCCTTGGTCAGATCTCCCGAAATCGCCTAGAGATTGCCATCAATCATATCGTAAATTGGTGTTGGGAATTTGGATTAATTAATAGCACCGCAGGAGTTCCTGGTGCTTGAAGGATTTGGCGCCATAGAACTATATTTTTTGTTGGGACACCCTGTATAGTTCCCATGTTGCAAGTAACAATTGGTTGGTTGTCATGAACGTTTTTAAGGAAAAATCTACACGATTTGCAAAAATCTTTCATTCCGGAAGCGGTTGCCAGTAACTGCGGAAGTACGCATACGAAATTTCTGCATTTCCTCTCATATTTTCGCTCTCGCGAATGTCAATACCATCCACTTTGTTTGGCATTGCCCGAACGTTCACTTTTTGGTCAATTAAAAGTCCAGAAGCTGCGTCTTACACTGTCGATGTTTCGGTTTCTCGCTAAGTTATTTTTGGTTGATTTTTAAATTTGGTTTAACCGTGTCGCAACCAGCGAAGAAGGTAAATAAATATGCGTGAAGCAGAACTGAGTGGTAAAGGTTACATAATTAGATAATAGAATAATCTGGGACTTCTAAAAAGAAGATTCGTTTAAAAATTGATACGTGACGAGCAGCAATTTTGTGCGAAATCCAATTAGAGACAAAATCGAGGTGGTTAGGAAGCAAACGTCTGTTCCTTATTAATTTTTTAAGGCAGGGGTAGTCAGGTGTGAAATTGCATTAGTATTTTTGCGAATGGTCTTTTAATTCGACCTAGTTATCGGTAGGAGATTCATAATAAAGTCCCTAGATACCGATAAACAACTGCCATTTTGGGGCAAGATCCCTGGGCCAACCTTAAAATGTAAATTTAAATTTTCAATAAATTTTTACGCAATTATTTAATTTTCACATAATTTTTAATAATTCATTGTGGAATACCTAAACATTTCCACGTATAATGATACTAAAACAATTAGATTTTAATATAACATAAAATAACCTACAAATAATTGCCAGTTTTGAATGGAACTACTAAAAGTTATAGAAAATACCTTCATAACAAGATAATTATAATTCAAGGTTTCTGTTAAAAATGTGTTTACTTCTTATGTACTAAAATCTACGCTTTATATCCCACAATTTTGTTATAGAAAAGGTTTTAACTTCGCAAATTTGGTATCTTGGTTGTTAACATTGTTTTGAATACGGACTGTTTGATATTTCAGATAAATAAGCTGACAGAACATCTTCAATGTAATAGTAACCATTACTTTTTTCTTTTCGCTCTATTCTTCGAAAAATTAATATGCTTTTTCGTACGTTCTCCTGGATTTCATTAGTAAGAATTCATCACTGGCGACAGCAACCCCTTCTTGAGACTGAGAGATTTGTAAAAAGCGCCAAAACGTCACACACCTCTGATAACAGACAACTGTGATACAACCAATTTTGTTTTTATGCTGTCGCTCTAGAAAAGTCCGTTTCTTATCACTTTTTAGCTCGAAAAGTGCATCGTTACCAATCTATACCTGTTTTTGCTGAAATCATATGTTTTATTTTTAATTTTAGCACTAAAATGAGTGATAGTGGCGACTATAATACGTACTGTCAGTAAAATCTCCAGAAAAATATAAATTTACGTACCAAAAATTCACGCAATGGAGAGTGAGAAATACAAAATCATTTTTGAACAATACTATTTTGAAGAATTGTCAAAAAATAAAGCCATATTCATTATGGTGTTATAATTAACTACCGAAAAAATGAATAATGTTTTCAAAATGCTCTAGACAACACATTTTTATTGAATCATATCAACAAACTTTTGTATGAAAGCGAAGAACTGTTCTTATTTCTTTGTTTGTCAGACACGTTTAAAACGAAATTTCGAGTTTAAACTCGAAATTTCAACTACGAACTCGAAATTTCGAGATTGTACTTGATAATTCGTGTTCTCGATCGAACTCTAATCTATCCGCTGAATTTGTATTCTAAATATTTGGAAGGAAAATTTAATAAAACTGTTAGCTGTTCTTTTTATCTTTAAAAATGACAAATAGACCAGGATCGATAATTTTTGAAACCAAAAAAAATTATAGTAGGATGAAACCCTATGAAAAAGAAAGAGAATATAACAGAAATGAAAGGAAAAATAAATTTTTAAGGGTAAAAAACGGATTATCTTGATTTCCGGAAAAACTACAAGTCTTATGGAAAAAAGTTAAATAGCAAAGTTTTAGGTAATAAAAAGATCTACAACTTTTGTATTCATACTTTTTTCACATAACCTCAAAATTTATGTGAAAAATTCAAATAACCAAGTTTTTGGTTTTTTATTTTTCTTTTACAAAAAAAATTTTTGCATTTCCTGAGAAAACTTACCATAGTAATGTATATTTTTTTACACCATCAGAAAGTAGAGATTTCAACGAAGAAAAAGCCCACCGACGTTTTTAAAAAAGCAGATTTTTTGACGTGAGAATTTTCGATTGAAAATTAGGGTGCTTTTTCGATATTACGTAAAAATAAGGTAAAAAATAAATATTTCAAATCAAAAAAATTACAGCGTGTTTGGGACATAAATAGGTAAGTTTTCACCAAATTTCGTGAAAAAAAATTTTTGTAAAAAAGAAAAATAAAAAACCAAAAACTTGGTTATTTGAATTTTTCACATAAATTTTGAGGCTATGTCAAAAAAGTGTATATACAAAAGTTGTAGATCTTTTTATTACCTACAACTTTGCCATTTAACTTTTTTCCATAAGACTTGCAGCTTTTCCGGAAATCAAGATAAACCGTTTGTTACCCTTAAAAACTCACCCCCTTCCCCTTCCCGACCCCAGATCGCCCGTAAATTATTTTTTTTTTCATTTCTGTTATATTCTCTTCCTTTTCCAATGGGTTTCATCCTACTATAATTTTTTTTCACTTTTTACCATTTTTGAAGGCTTAAGCACTGGTCTAAAATCTACAGGGTGTTTCCAAAGGGAGCTCAAATGGTACTGGTCAATATACAGCTAAAAAGCACAAGTTTTGTATAAAAATGACTACATCCTCTCAAAGTTTCCAAAAAAGTTTGGAATAGCGGCAGAAATTGCTGTAGGTATCTCCTAAGGCATGAACGTTTTACTAAGGCCAACTTTAAGTAAAACATGTTCTTTTTAACTGTAGATAAACATTGGTTCTGTCATACCATAATATAAATGTTCAACATCACAGCAAACATACAAAGTTAAAACAGGTATTATTAAAAAGTTATAAATTTCTAAAGAGAATACTATGTGTTTTTCTCTATCCGTTTTTCATAATTAACCACTTCGTCAGCTCAATTAGTGCTAAACATTTTAAATTAATTCAAGACAACATACAACAGCAACAAAATTATACCGCGGATGATAGGAAAACGGTGTAGTACTGTTCCACACGACAATTATACAAAAATTAGCTTAAAAAAACCGCATGTTACACATTCGATAGCATTTTGAAATTCGCTGCTTGCAGATTAAAAAAAAACGCATCCTTGAAACGGGCAAAGTTGTCGATTCCATTATATTGTGGCTTCTATTATAATTATTGTCCAGATGCACGCATATTAACATACCTGAGGCTTTGTGTAATTCAGGCATTTGATTATAATGGCATTAGTTACGTGTGCATTCAGACAGATGTTACGTAATATATGTAATAACAGCTGAAATCGACCAGACATAAAAAGCGATGATTAGTTAAATTCGCACCGCATTTGTTGCTATTAAAAGTAGATTAAAGGCGGGATATTAGTAAATTCCGAAAAAAAAAGTGAAATAGGCGATAACAGAAACCCCGGTCGTAGAGTGCAAGAAAAACAAAGTCCTGGGAGCTCGAGGTTGAAATAATTTCGCGATTTTGTTACCACGCAATTTTCATTGTCAAAGTTTTGTACTTGGGAACAACGAACTTTACATACATTTTTAATACACGT